TGTCGTTCTTAAATTTGTCCTTACTTTTAACGTCATATGACGTCCCTAGATTACATTAGATCATGCAGGAATGAAGGCTGTCTCCTTATAAAGGTGGTGACCAAAAATCATGTAAATAGAACAACAATTTATATTTTTAATATAATATTAAAAAAAACCTTACACGCATGGAATCCGCGACATCATATGATGACGTTCGGCCAGCTGCCCTAACTTTTAACGACATCATATGATGACGTTCGTCCGATAAAGGTTAATGTCACACTGGTGTGTTTGAATATCAAGATGTAGGAAAGAGAATAGAGTGAAATGCAGTTCTTTTGTTGATTTTATTCAGTGTCATCATTGTGTAAGAGTGAGTGATCTGTTGCTTGTTTTATTTTGATTCTTTTGACATGCGTAAAATTCTAAGACTGCTGTATTGAGGTAGGTCAGAATATCTCCACCATAGCCCTTTGAGTCCTAGAAGGTGACAGAAAGGGAACCCAATGCATAGGATATAACTGGGCCACTCTGTCATTGTGGGACCCTGTTGCAAAATCCAAAAAAGTGAAACTGGCTGGTGTACAGATCTGGAAGAATCTTCTAAGAAAGGCTGTTGCTCAAAGAGCTCTGTTTTGCATTGATGATGATGATGATGATGATGATGAAAATACTAATAACTGCTAATAGCAGTGATTAATCTCTTCACTGTACAGGTCAGTTGTTTGCTAACAGTGGTTGTTTGTGACCATGTGCGGAAACATCAGAAATGGATGCTTGTTAAACTCTTGTCTTGTGTTTGTGATTAGACACAGGGTTTGGATTGGTAATTGGATATGTTGAACTCTTATAACCAGTGGCGTGCTGTGCATGGAAGCAAGGGAAGTATTGCTTCCGTAGTTAAGAAACGAAAAGAAAAGAAGTCATATAAATACGAGTAATTCAGTTTGAATAATAAGGATTTTTAGTCTGTCATTTAGCGCATTTCCTTCTCAAGGCCACATGCCTCCTACTCCCCCCTTACCCTGCTTGGTGGGACGGACCAAGTTTCCTTCGTTAATCTCCGTACGAATTCGTCCCATCCGAAGTGGGCAACGGAAGAAAATTTTGGTTTGCTGGCTAGACCAGCTAAGGAATGTGTTCATTCAATGGTTATGTGAAAATTAACTGTTTATGTGTGATTTTAGTCTTGTTGGGTGTTATAGGTAACATTAAGTTTTATTAAAATATTATAAGTGCATATTTATATGGTGTAAGATTGTATTTGTGATCGTATTTTGACGCGTCAGAAAGAAGCTATCCGCGTTTAAGGGAAGCAAGTCTGATATTGCAGTAAGAGTGGCAGGGACGTGAATAGACTACATGCACAGACCACAGCTAAAATGAATGCTGGCAGACAATGCGACTGCGACTGTACAATTGAAAGCCTTTTAAAACAGATGTTTAATAGCAGGGACTTTTCTGAAAAAAAAAATAATTATAGAAAGAGGATGACTGACATGAGAGTTGCCAGAACTTAAAGCACAAACCAAATTATGTAAGATTTGAGGCTTTCACGGCAGTGACTATGAAGAAAGCAGTCTTCTGGGATTTGGCACCGTGTATATGTGGTGTTAACCGACGTTTCGGAGGAACGTATCGCCCCCATCTTCAGGGTTGAAGAAGTATAAGTAAATCTGCAAGCGACAACACCGTGAGACACGGTCCAGCAGACTAAAGAACATACCGTTGAGCAGAGAGGGAAGGGGATGAACTGCAAGTAAACAAGTGAAAGCAGTGGTGTGGGAGGGGTGGGGGAAGGGAGCCGGGACAAGCGTGATTTTGTGTAGGGGAGAGTGTAGCAAGGTTAAATGGCTGGGCTTTAACTGTGAGCTGAGGGTGGGGGGTTGTTATGTTGGTTGGTCATGGCCTTGTGGCTTCCTGGATCTGGCGTCATATCCCGGTGGGTGGTTTTTAAGAGAACAGATAAGGGGTTTCCAAGACTTGCTGAGACGAAACCCATCCTCTCTGTTCATATTCCCTGGATGCAGTTCGATCTCAATGGCTTCCCTAATGATGCGATCCATATAGCGCGTCTTGGTGGCGAGGATGGAGGTATTCTGAAGCTGAATGCGGTGTCCCAGTTCGATGCTGTGTTCAGCTACGGCCGACTTGTCCGGATGTTCGAGACGGATGTGCCGCTGATGCTCCTNCAGTTTCCTCCGGCCGGTTAAAGACAGCCTGGGCCTAAGGACACCGGGCGTATACAGTATCCCATGCGAGTGCGGGAAAGTCTATATTGGGCAGACAGGCCGCTCCGTGGACACGAGGTTGAAGGAGCATCAGCGGCACATCCGTCTCGAACATCCGGACAAGTCGGCCGTAGCTGAACACAGCATCGAACTGGGACACCGCATTCAGCTTCAGAATACCTCCATCCTCGCCACCAAGACGCGCTATATGGATCGCATCATTAGGGAAGCCATTGAGATCGAACTGCATCCAGGGAATATGAACAGAGAGGATGGGTTTCGTCTCAGCAAGTCTTGGAAACCCCTTATCTGTTCTCTTAAAAACCACCCACCGGGATATGACGCCAGATCCAGGAAGCCACAAGGCCATGACCAACCAACATAACAACCCCCCACCCTCAGCTCACAGTTAAAGCCCAGCCATTTAACCTTGCTACACTCTCCCCTACACAAAATCACGCTTGTCCCGGCTCCCTTCCCCCACCCCTCCCTCACCACTGCTTTCACTTGTTTACTTGCAGTTCATCCCCTTCCCTCTCTGCTCAACGGTATGTTCTTTAGTCTGCTGGACCGTGTCTCACGGTGTTGTCGCTTGCAGATTTACTTATACTTCTTCAACCCTGAAGATGGGGGCGATACGTTCCTCCGAAACGTCGGTTAACACCACATATACACAGTGCCAAATCCCAGAAGACTGGTTTCTTCAAACCAAATTATGTTTGAGGAAATTTAATTTGGAACAGTATTCTAAAACAGAATGGCTGTCCAGTTGCCGTAATATAGGAAAATTGTTTTGTTGGCCTTGCCTATTGTTTCTCAATGAAAAAAAAAGCATGGAAAAAGGCTGGGTTTGGTGATGTCAGCAACCTTCATAAAGCATTGAAACGACATGAGAACTCTCAGACTCACATTATTTCAATATTGCAACTTGTTATGTTTGGGAAATTTCGAATTGACTGTCAACTTGACAATCTAAAGCGCCAGACGATACTACATAGAGAAATAATGAAATGCTTGATTTATAAGATCTGCCATTTAGGAAAGTGGCAACTTGGCCTCCGGGGTCATGACGAAAGCGTGGATTCTATCGACCGAGGTAATTATGTGGAATTAGTTCACTTGTTGAGGAAATGTGATCATAAATTCAATGTTCACCTTGAGAACAGTACAGTATTTACAGGTTTATCAAACAGAATACAAAACGACCTTATTGACTCAATATGTGACATAAATTTTGGTGAGTTGATTGCTATCAGTTCGTTTATTAAATACCTCTGCTTCCCTTACCAAAAATAGTACCACATGCCACTGCTTATAACTCATAACTACAAGTGATTATAATGCTCTCGCTAACCTACACAGTCAATATATTATAGCACATGCAAAGTCTTTTCAGTTTCCTGTGTCTTCGCCAGTCATTCCTCAGTAACGGTCTTCGTCATGCATCAAATGGAGGTTCTGCTAACAACCTCACTGAATCGTAGATGGTTTACAACTAATTCATTGCCCCAACTGTTGACTTCAGAGCCATACCTGTCCACTCACTGGTTATCACGCTATCACTGGCTGCTGTTGATTGGTCTGGTTACATAGCCTCGGCACAGAACTTACAGAGAACACCTTTCCAAAAGTGTCTTTGTGCTGTTGCTTAGCAATGAACTGGGTATTATTAATGTGCTTACTGGCCATCATCTAGTGATATCATGTCACTATTATCTTATTCTGACACATACACAGGCGTGCCTTTTATCCTGCTCATGAGGCAAACTAGCAGCAGACTAAGCATGCAAGGAAGCCATACTAAACACCTGTAAAATATTGTGCATCTCTGTTGTGTGAAACATGACTTGTGTAGTATTAGCAAAGAGCAGTTTTAATATTGCTAGTATTTGTCATCAAAATTACATGGATTGTCACATTGTCGGGAGCTCCAAGTAGTTTGTGCTCTGTGGACTGTTGCATATGGATGTTTCATATAAGCAGCATAATGTATAATTGTCTTATTAGGTATTTAAGTTAACTCTTTGGATCATTCATAGTGTTACAGCTGAAGTGTTTTAATTATTTCACTAAGGATGGTGTTGTGAAACTCTTTCAACTGGCAAAATAAATACAACTGGAATTAATAATGATACTTTAATAATATTAACAAGGGTAATATTGACATTGTAAATAAAAGTGGAAGTAATACTGACATTTTGAATAACACTGAACACTTTCAAACTGAAACACATAAACCGGTACAGAAATACAAGTTTTTGTATGACAGGAAGAATAGCTATGGTGGGAATACAACAGAGAACCAGTCTGTGTGTGTCCAGTATTCAGAAGTCTTTGTGATAATTTGTCTCATTTTTTCCGGGTTACCGTAGATTTAAATAGCCTCTCCAAACCACATGGAAGATGCTTTCAACGTGTGAAATTCTGAAAGAAACCCAGAAAGTACATTGCTTGTAAAATGAATTAATAAATGTATTATCACTGTGCTTCATATTTCTTATTACATTGACAAGAACGAGGAGGCATACACTGACATTTGTGGCTTAGGCATGCTGGCAAGTAAGCTGACTGTTGACAGTCTTGATCAGTGCACCAATTCACTGAGATGTGGAGGGTATATAAGCTGTATTTCTGAATGTGTAAGAGTGGAATTGAGAGCTTCAGAGTGCATACTCTCACTGCTAGATATGTCAACTGATAAATGTACATTTTATGTAAAGTGTTTGCATTCTGGCAAAGTAGAGGATTCATTCCTGACAATAGCTCCATTTGAAAATGATTTTCTTGATTCATAATTTAAATTCTCTGTTGCTTTGCTGGAAACATTTTTTGTGTCTGCATGATAAATGTAGTGCTGATGGAAATTAATTTGATGTTACAGAGAGATGGTGTTGCAGACGATTATGACAAACACAACCCAGAACATCGTCAGATCTACAAATTTGTCAGGACATTATTCAATGCAGCACAGCTTACAGCTGAATGTGCAATCATAGCATTGGTATACTTGGAAAGGTTTGTCTGAAATACTGCTATTTAAACTGCATTAAATTAACTTGTCCCCCATATATAAATATAGTAAAATATTTTTGATTGTAATTAATTGTAAATAGAAAATATAAACTTCACATTATGTTGAAGAATGCTGTCTTCTGGGATGTGGTGCCTTATAGATCTTGTGTGAACCGATGTTTCGGAGGAATTTATCGCCTCCATCTTCAGGATAGATAAATCCACGAGTGAGGAACCATCCTGAAGATGGAGGCGATAAGTTTCATGGGTACCCCAAACTGTATCAGAATATTGTACAATACTTCCCTCCTAACTAAATCATAGGCTTTCTTGAAGTGTACAAATAGCTGATGCACTGTCTCATTGTACTCCCATTTTTTCTCCAGTATCTGATGAATGCAAAAGATCTGATCTGTAGTTGATCTGTTATGTCAAAACCCACACTGATGATCCCCAATAATTTCATCTATGTATGGAATATTGGATAAAGTTTTCTATGAAGTTGATAGCAGTAATAATTACTACAGTCAGTTTTTTCACCCTTCTTGTAAACTAGTACAATAATAGACTCCTTCCACTGATCAGGCAATTTTTCCTTATGCCAAATAGAAGTAATTAGCTTATGAATCTTAGAACATAATATTTCGCCTTCTGCTTGAATAAGTTCTGCCAGAATTTCATCACTACCTGGTGATTTATACCTTTTCAATTTTGCAATGGCACTTTCAACCTAAGAATGGCTAGGATCAGGTACTAATGGCTCAGCTGTATGGATTTCTGTCTGCCTAACATCACTGACCATATTTACATTCAGTAACTGGGAGAAGTAGTTCTTCCACTTATTCAAAATGTTGTGGGAATCTGCAACCAGATCACCATTCTCATCCTTCACTAAGTTACTGCTAGGCTGGTAACCCCTCTTAAAGTCATTTATTCCTCTCTACAGGTCTCTAATGTTTTTGCCCTTACCGTTCACTGCAAGCTCATCAGTTTTGTCTTTCACATATTCCCTCTTTTTGTTCCTGAAACGTCTGCTGGGTTCATGTCTTATATTGTTCAGATTATCCCCATTTATTTTGCTTGGATCGTCTAACCATTGCAGTTTGGCTTGTTTTCTTTGGTCTTATAAATTTGAGCATCTTTCATCAAACCGTGGCTTATGCTTCTTCAGTTATTAATGACCTAGACTCTCCTTGGCAGAAATTTTGATATTCTCTCTAATCGTTTCACAAGCTTTATTAACATCCACCTCTGTCCAAGTTTTGCAAAGCTGCGAACCTATGAAAATTCTTAGAATAGTTAATGCAAAACTGAGCATAAGTCACATTTAGTATAAGATTGGTATTAAGTAATAAGTATTAACATTTAAGGATTAAGCTGGTAGGTAATTATCGGTTACGCAAGGGACCAACATAACATAACATGTATAGTGAAATGGTAGAGGAACAGGCCAGCCACCATCATGATCTTATGTGGCTAAAGACAGATTGTAAATAACTGTCCCAAAACATGATAAATATTAACAATAGGAATTGTTCACTCATCCCTAGTAGATATAGTATTGTGTTTGTGCTGGAAGTTTACATAACATGGATTCTCCTCCGTTCAGGCTTTTGACGTATGCTGAAGTTGATATTACACCAGCGAATTGGAAACGAATTGTACTGGGAGCAATTCTATTAGCATCCAAAGTATGGGATGACCAAGCAGTTTGGAATGTTGATTACTGCCAGATTTTGAAAGACATAACTGTGGAAGATATGTAAGTATTCATAATGCAGGCCTGGTATAAATGATGTGGGTGAGAAGAAATTTGTGTATTTTTGAAACAGTTACAGTTACAAAGAGGAAACAACATGAAAACCACAAAGAATTTAAGTTTTCATTGGCAACATTGATTTTTAGCATGCCTGTTGTGAGTGGTGCTCCAGTCACTATCAAATGAAAATGGCATCTCAGGAAGTAACAGGCAAGTAGAACCCATTACATGGCTCCTTAGGTGTCTGGACCTTACTTCATACAACTTACCTGGGGGGATATGTGAAAGACCGGGTATACCGACCTCCAATGCCATAGACCCTTTGAGAATTTTGATAGTGAATTTCACGGGCCATAGACAGTGTCGATGAGTCGGTTGCAAGGTACATAGAATTTGAATATCACATATGCAGAGTAACTAATTCATTCATTCATTCATTTATTTCACTTTCTAATTGATCCTGATACAGGCATAATACAAGCCATAGGATATAGAATGAGTCACAAGATCAAAATTTAAGTTACAGTAATTAATTGAAACATGTCAAAAACAAAAAACAAAACAAACAATTATAAAGCATAAAGCGGACATACATAAACAAATTTACATCGGATACAATAAATATCAAAATTCTAATTCTGGTTCACTTCATTAATAAAATTGACAAAATTATGTGAGATAAGACAATAATCCAATACAGCAATTGATAACAGTAAACCAGATACAATATAAACAAGCTGTATGCTAAGGCATGAGTCAAAGTTATAAAAATTCATTATATAATATAAAATTTATAGTAATATTTCATCAAAACATAAAATTATATTCATCTAATTCATTCTATATATCAGGTAAAATTCCAATTCCATAGATTCATCCATAGGGTGAAAGCGTCAATGTCATCCTTAACACCAAATTTCACCATCAAAGAACTCCTTCAATGAATAAAAGGAATTCAGTAAAAGATAATTTTTATGACATTTTTAAATTGGATCCTATCCTCTGATAATTCCTTTATGTAGGGAGGTAGATGATTACATACTTCAATACCCATATAATAAACACCATAAGCTTTATGAGTTTCCTTGCTTCTTTAAAGTTGTTTCGTGTTTGTATCTGTAACACTTAAAAATACACTAATTTTTATCACCCAAATCATTCATAATCATTTTTAATGATAATTGCATCTGTTGACTTTAAGAAGATTTTATTATCATTATTATAAACCAGGGGTAAGTATGTTCAGATGAGCTATACTACTTGCGCGTGTACTTAATTTTGATAACCTGCACACTAGAGAATGTACATTATATTATATTTTTAGAAAAATACAATAGGCTTGATTCCCTGAAAATAAAAATTATTTTTTGATTTGGTAAAGAAGGTCAAGTTTTCCATGCACTTTACTAATGAAGTATCACACCATTAAGGGGTATGGAAGAGTGGATGTACAGAGCCATATATTCTTGACCTCAGCACTGGTTAGAGGTGAGTGGTCAGCATCACGCCTTGGCCACCTTACCCCCAGGGGAAGAGCCCCTGGTATGCATTGGGTAGATACTGGGTGGGCCTCAGTACCCATCTGGACAAAGAGGAGAGGAAAACAATCATGCCCCTACTAGGACTTAAACTCTGACCATTCAGCAGTCCAGCCCATAGCCAGTTGCTATGCTGACTACTGTATCTTGACTCATATTCTTGGTTTGGAAACAAGCAAAAATGAAACTCAAGTGAATGCTTTAAGCATTACAGACTTCTCACATATAGCATGCTCTTGTGAACATGGTATTGAATTTTGATTTCCATAAAAGTGGGGAATTTCTTGACTAGATGTGAGACTGTCAGATTTTCAAAAAGGACTTGGCTCCATGAAGTTAATTAAACTCACTTATCCTTTGGATATTCAGAGAGTTGCATGATGACTTTTTGTTGTAGAAAAAGTGTTTTTTGTTCACATCCATCTTCAGAGTCTTTCAGAGTCCAAAATTTTAAATGCATATTTATGTGGGTGTGAAGCTTTGATTTCAGGAGTGGATCAACTTAAAGGAATGCCTGATTGTTGTTTATGTTGTATGTGCATTTACATTCCTCCACATGGCATTAACAGGAATGAACTTGAGCGTCAGTTTTTGGAGATGCTGCAATTTAATATCAACGTTCCCTCCAGCGTATACGCCAAGTACTACTTTGATTTGCGGACTCTTGCTGAAGCCAATGATCTTTCATTTCCTGGGGAGCCTCTCAGCAAAGATCGAGCTCAAAAGCTGGAAGCAATGTCACGTGTGTGTGAGGACAAAGTAACAGAACAAGCGCTTCGCAATGGGTATAAGAAATGGTCAAGTATGGACAATGTAAGTACTGGTGGACCACGACGAAGTGTTGCCATTTTGTCCTGAGTCTGTTCTACATGGGAACATGACCAGTGATCAGGGAATCATAAACTGTCAGGCATGCAAAACGTCTTTCTATGTGCACCACACCACAGAAGCATAATGAGGTTTTGAGATCAGAGGCATATATTCCAAGAAATTACTTCATATTTCAGTACTGTCATACCTTTATCTGTGGTTCTGTAATTTCAGTTTCATCTGTTGTATGTTGTGACTTCATTATGGCCAAACGGTGGCATTTGACATTTTTAAGTGGAGTCCTATTACAAAGCCTTCAGTGTCCAGCCCAAATTGTTTCAGAGTTTGAGTATCTCAGTGAAGGAACTGAATAATGAGTTGTCTTGTAAGAACTGAAGTGTTACCAAAGTCTGTCAAGTGAGTAAATTTATGTCACTAGAAGTATGCCATACATCTTGAAGTCAGATGCAGAGAAATTGTCAGGGAATAAGGGTATGCAACAGTATAATGCTAAATGCCTTGATTTTCAAACTGTGGGCTTGACTATTAATTCTCCTAGCATTTGTGTATTAACTTGACTCCAAAGAAAACTGGATATACAGAGAAATACAAATATAATTTTTATCTTGTAATATGTGAAAATCTAGCATTTGTAACATGTCACATGGTGTAATATTATAATTATAAATGCAGAATTCTTGAAATGGTGGGTTGGCATTAAATAAGTTCGTGATTGGCTGCACACATTTTAAGTATTATTATTTTTTAATATGTGCAGCTGAAACTGTATTACATGATTTGATGTGTATTATATATTGATTTCTGTGATCAATTATTTATGCATAAGACAACAGAGATATGCCAAAATAGGCATTTATTAATATTCTCTTATAAAGAGGGGTCCTATGTTTAAGCTATGTTCATATTTTATTTCTTGGTCAGGGAGTAAAAGCAGTCAACCATTTTAATATGAAGTAATTAATGGGGTCAGAATTTTTATATACAGCAATCCCTTGTCACTCATAAGGGTTGCATTGCTGTTCCTGCAAAACAAAAGTGTTGGCAAGGGATTGATTTACTTTAGAAGAAAAATTTATTAGGTTTCTTTCACTGTATGGAATACCAGTATGCTGCATATTAATTTGCTGTGAGGCTTATATGGAGAGTCATATAAGTTCCTTTCATTCCTTAGTGGGTGTTACAAATATGGTCAGTCAAGGTTATTTTAAGCTGGCTTAGCTTGTTGAGTAAACTGATGATGCAAGGTGATGTATCTGTAGCATGTGTTATATGTTTAAAGATTCTAGTTGGAATATTCAAAGAGTAACTTTCAGTATTTGTGATAAATTATGCTTCATTTAAAAATAGACTGATGGGAAAGTAATGTGCTATTAATATACCACCTCTTAATATTGAATTAGTTATGTTGCTAAGATATCTTGCCTGTTGGCTCTCTTGGAAATCTTTTCTCATTATTCTGCAAATTTAGATTAATATCTGTGAGATATGAGGTTCTCGCAGTGTTTTTTTTTTTTGCCAGCATTTCTGAGGAATATTCGTAAACTTCTACCAGGCTACACAGCATCACATCCCAGAAATCAGTGCATACTTATTTTGACACAGTTTATTTCTAGCAATACAGAGAGACCTTATGAGGATATAGATCTAGTACTTTGTAAAAATCTGACCTAAGACATGTAGAGCATTTACAACAAGAATGTCACTGTATGCATGAAATGAATAATCTTGCAACTGATCTTTTTATAATGAAATAAATAAATCAAACATTATGAAGTATATTTTGAAAATGTCAGTTTTAATTCTGAATGCTACATTATTACCCACTCATAGACTGTAAACAAACAGGCAAGGCTCAAGTGTGGCAATGTTGGTGGAGGATATGTCAAGAAATAATTTTTGCTCATGTTCGAATATCGCATATTTTACATTTTATATCCATTTATGACCTATTTGCTGACTGTCCTTTATACAATATGTGCGTCAAGTAGCAGATATGGGGGATAACATTTTTCTGGACGTTTCTAGAAGAAGGAATTCAAATATACGTAGTATAAATGTGTGAACATCCAGGTTCCATGACAGTAAGGAATTTCTTTGCTTGGTGAATTAAATCATTTGTTGAAGGAACGTTTTGAATCATGTGATTAGTTGGTAGCTTCAGCTGTCTGAAGGTGGGTTGTTACAACAGGATTAAAATTTTATTTGTATGGGGTTTGTGAAGATAGACAACGGGACATTTTCAGTTCAGGAGTGAAGCAAGTTTAAGGAATTGGCGTGGCTGTGGAAGAGGCCCCAATGGCCAAACAAGGTGACATGTGAGAGAGAGAGAGAATCTGATTGGTCTGAGAACTTCTAGGTTTCTTTCATCAGGAAGCCAGTAATGAGACGAAGATTAGACATTCAATGAATGACCTTGGTTCTGATAACAAGCATAATCAAAACTGAACAGCTTTTATAGATAGCACATTATAATTGATAGTAATGTAAGAGACAGTGTCACCATTACAGATTGTTGGGAATATGATGCTGGGGCATGATCACACTCAACACTGCATACATTTAGTCATGAGATAATGATGTCACATTGCCAAGAACTGACACTGTATGTTCAGAGTTGGGGGACATGGTGGCACAAAGAGATAACTTGACTTTGAGCTATTTAATTTGGAGTCCAGAAACACTTTGGAAGCCTACTCAGGGCAGCCTGTGAGGACTGACAAATTTCCAGACATATGTGTATTTGTGTGTGCAATTGACATCACTGATGATTTGCCACAAGTTTGGATCACATGACTACATAATGCTGTAGCAAGTTTATACGGATGAGAATGAATAGGTTATTATGTCAGTTAAGCAATTTCAGGACAAAAGGGAACAGATGATAAAAGGTCTGGTTATTCAGTAAGTTGAAAAGTGACTGAAATATAATGACTTCTCAGTTGCTGTGATAATGGAGTGGAGAAGTAGAGCAGATAATGTAAACAATGGATAATCCAAAAATCTGGAGATCTGCTGCTTTTAACCTAGAAAACCACCTAATAATTTTTGCTTTACTGCTAGTCAGTAAACAAGTGAGACATAAATTTTGAATAGAAGACAGCAACCTTTGTTCAATAGTATGGAAGGCTGATAATAAAAAGCAATAACATGAGAAAATATAAATGTTGAAAAGAGTGAGTTGATGCATAGCCTATTCCATATTGCTGTATTACTGAAACAGATGTAATGGGCAGTACTAACATCATCACAGGAGGCCGTAATCAGTAACTAAGTTGTTTTAGAAGTCCTGTCATTAATCGGCAAAAGAGATGATGACATGCAGATAATTAAAAGAATCTGCCATTGTAAGAAATGGCCAGCACTGTAGAAGGAGTGAAGTAAGAGATAATATTTTAAAGCTGGCTTATCTATTTTTGTATTTTGATTAAAATTTCAGTAGTCTATGGAAGACTCTCAGACTTTTCCCAGTTGGAGTCAGAAATTATGTAGTTTATAAATAGAGTCCTGAATGCCAAATCAAGATAAGTGCCACGGTCACAAAAAGAGGCATAATGTCTTAGCTCTGAAGCATACATAGTGCAGTCTTGTGACTTCAAATTACATAGCTTGAACACTCATCTCTGGACATTAATATTCCATTTTGGTTCATAGCGCTGTTCCAAAGCCATGAGAAGTTTGTGATATGACCTAAGCTCTGATGGCTTTGGACTGGTGAGGTCAGCTGTAACTTTGTGGGTATCCTTTCCTGTGACCCTAAACAACCAGCGTTTCTTTTATTTTGTTAATGACCTCAATTTCACCATTGATGACTGATATTTGAAATGGAGGATATAAGATTCAGTGCCCGCTTTCTCCAGACTGAACTCACATTCTTCAAAGCCATTATATATCCGCAACTTTTCCATGGAGAAATGATGATGCTACATAGTGTGGCATCCTTCCAAGTTTGCAACAGGCAGTAAGCAGAGCTCAGCATGCTGCCTGCTTCATATGGTTTTCTTGCTTGACTTGCTCTTCAGCCCTGAGAATGAAGATGTGTTACTCTAAATGTCAGGTTATTGTCACTGGACTACATGGCATTGCATCTCTGAAGATAGAACTCTTCTTATATGATTCTCTACAAGAGATATGGCAGGTTGGTATGGTGGTAACACTGTATATTTGTATTTATGAAGTGTTTAGTTGAATCTTGGCCCAGTTGGTAGTTGAGATTCTTAATGGGTTTTCTCACTTCCTGTAGAAAAATTCCAAGATAGCACCTTGAGTAGGACACTAACTGTTCCTTTCAAAACCTGTCAGATTCCATTAATCACCAATCATCTTACCATTCAATGCTTGGGATTCTGATAGGTTTATAAAATAACAACATATCTGTATGATTGTTTTTTGCAACTGCCATTATTCTATGGATTTTCTTTTGGATGTTAAATACTTATTTGCTGTTAACTGAATTTCCCCAGAATATTCTCCTATGTGGCAAGATAGGTTGCAAATAAGCAAAGCAAATTAATTTTAAAATATCCATTTGCATGACTGATGTTACTGTTTCCATATCAAAGCATGTTGGTCTTAATTCAGTATATTCAATATATTCTATAATTTCATTTATAGACCAAAGAATTTCATTGTGCCTATGCTTCCAATTGTTTTATCACTATTTAGATTAATATAAGTTTTGTTGACAAAATTAAACTGTTTGAGAGTGTAGTGCAAGTTTATTGGCTTTAAACCACTTCTTCAAGCTACTGAAGACATCATTCAAGCAATTTTGATAGTAAAGATATTCCTTGTTACATGCAAATTTGAAAAATGACTTTTCTTTTTTTAATCTGCTCAACTAATTCAAACTAATTTAATTAATTGCACTTAATTTAATGTGAATTGTTTGCTGATTGACTGAGAGAAGTGGGAGAAGCTAGAGTAGGGTATTGTGTGGGAGGCAGTGGAGGAATGCAATGGAAAAGGGGAATGATGACCAAGCCATGTAACCTCTGTGCATCTGCTCTTGCACAAGAAATCAAGAGATCGAAAAACAATTAAAAATGGATGATTTTTTAAAGAAGTCACATCCAGCAGATCTGCCAAGTATCCCAAACAAAATTATACTAACAACTTATTGGCCATAAATGCAAATCTAATGATGATTTTTTAAACCAGTTGAAATCCCTCTACTGCTTCAGTTATTGCTTTATTATTTATTGCCTTCTCCTGTCACCCCCAACAACTCAATGGCTCATCAGTCATGCATCCAGTGAAAATTAATTGCAGTTATTAATATAAACTATTTCCGTTATCTGAAGACTGTTCAACAATGTTTAAAATGCAACCTGTTAATATTTGAGAGACAGAGTGAAACAGACATAATGTATGTCTGAGGACAACTGGAAAAGTGATTTTACCTCAGTAGCACAGGTTTTCTGCAATTGTGGTCATCCCATTTGTTGGCAATACCGTGGAACCTCGCTTAATGAGCACCTCTCATAACAAGTAATTCGCATAACGAGCAAAACAAATTGTAAAAAATGACTCACTTAACGAGCGATGTTTCGCATAACGAGTGATGAGAGGGGAAGTCCCAGATTGTGCGCTTGCTACATCAGTCTGTGTTTAGCACTCGTTCCGCTAGCATCTTAGTGTCGCTTGTGATCACACATTTTTCCAAACTTGTGTTCGGACATATTATTTGTGATTTTTTTTTGTGTGCAAAGTTCAATAACCTTTCCAAAAATGTTCCCAAAGAAAAAGCCGCAAAAGAATAAAAATAACCGTAGAAATGAAATAATGTTGTATTTTAGCATCCTGTTGCACTGATTTTCGTCCAACATAGTGCCATCATCAGGTGCTCCATTTACGCTAATCTATTGCATTGCTTGCCATTCTATATCATTGTAAAATTATTTAAAAATAATAACAGGTGAAATTGAGTGCACTACAAGACGGACACTGCATACATATTGTGACGTGTCGCACTATGTATGCAGTGTCCATCTTGTAGTGCACTCAATTTCACCTGTTATTATTTTTAAATAATTTTACAGTGATATATAATGGCAAGCAATGCAATAGATTAGTGTAAATGAAGCACCTGATGACGGCACTTTGTTGCCAAAACATGTCGTGAAATAACAGGAGAAATTGAGTGCACTACAAGATGGACACTGCATACATATCATGGTAGAAATGAAACGTAAAATCATTGAAAAGTAAGAACGAGGTGTGAGCATGGCTGCTCTGGCACGCGCATACAATCGGTCTACGTCAATGATTTGCACGATTTGGAGTTGCATTGTGTTTCACAGCAAGAAGTTGTGGAGGAGAGTTTGTCAGAGGAGGAGGAAGAGGAGGAAGAGGTAACAGCAAAGCAACAATCTTCTGGCGCAATAAGAGAAATGCTGAAAGCTGGGAAACTGTTGCATCGTACATTGAGAAGCATCACCCTAATAAGGCAGTGGCTGTGCGCACTACAAATTTATTTAATGATAATGCTGTGTCACATTTTCACCAAATTTTTCAGCCTCGGCAAAATCAAATTTCTGTAGACAGCTTTCTAGTAAAAAAGAATTAGATATGTATCTTAAATGATAAACTAATTATTTCGATTTTTTGTTTTTTGTTTTCTGCAAATCGAATTTGCATTCCAGGTTGGTTCATTCCACATAGAAGAAAAGATGAAAATGATTCGTGCTCCTTAACAATGTATATATAATTTTCTTTGAATAAACATTATACATAAAATTTTTTGAGAATTTTTTTTTGGCATGGAATGCATTATCGTATTTTACATTAATTTATATGGGAAAAAATGTTTCGCTTAACGAGTATTTTGCATTACAAATAAGATTCTGGAACGAATTATGCTCATTAAGCTAGGTTCCACTGTATTTAGCATTATTTTTATAAATAAAACATTTAAAAAGCACTCTATTCATACTTACATGACAAAAATATTAAAATAAGAAAAAGAATATACCATACTGCACAAGATAACCAGTTTAAATAGTGGTAAATATAGTCTGATTATTTTTATAGCAGATTGCAGACATTTGCATTGTTTCTTATGGAGAAATTGCATTCGGTATATGCAATTTAACTGCCTGTGACTTTTATTTTGGAACACAACTGTCACATAAATCAAGGAGTATCTGAAGTCATTCTTAGGTGTTAAATAATAATAGTAGTATTACCAACAAATGGTATAGGTTTGGTTTGAGAATTAATGATTTGGGGGGGTTGCATTGATATAATCAGAAATGTTTTAACTTGAATCTTGGAATTTTATTTATATTTCTATGTTCTGACACTGAGGTATGATTTAAACTGTTGTCTATTTATACCTGAAATTCCATAAGATATGTTGTGATGATAATTCATAGTTGACATAATCAAATGCTTTATTCAGGTCACACATTATTCCAGCAACATGCATTGTATCACTGAGGATGCATAAAATTTCATGTGAGATTTTGTACAAGGCTTTAACTGTTATGAGACCTTTCCAAAATATTAATTTTGCTTTTGCAAGGATATTGTTTAAATAATCACACTTATACGTGCTCTCTTAGCATGTATTGATTGGTGGAATTTAATGCTTTTGCTGTGAATATGAATGTATCTTTTGGATTCATGATAATAGCCCTAGCCTGACATGTTAAACACTATCTCTTTGTAAGAGTTATGCTGTTTAATTTAAGACTTTGAGCCCATATTTCATATCAGTTACCAGTATTTTAATACAGTATATGTCAAAGAATGTTTTCTCTGTTGATCATTGTAGAGTTACTTGTGGACATTAGATTACTGTGAGATGTTTTAAGAATAGTACATGTTTGCATTCTGGTTTGAGGAATTATTGATTGTGCTGTTGGTTTCTCATTTGCCCCTCAATTGCTTTTTACATTTTATAAGCAGGCATTGGGTGAGTGTGTCAATATGTGAATGATACCTGGAAATTTCATTACTATTTCGTGTTATACATCACAAATAGATTACAGTGACTGAGAAAGTGTTTTTCTGGTAGATGTCATGAACAAATAGGATTAAATATAAATATCTGTGATGGAAACATGTTTTCCATTCAAGTTTTCTCAGTCTAAGTTGTCCTGAACACTTAAATAATATTGTGGAATGTAGACCTATTGTCAAGCAACAATCATGAAACAAACAAGCAGGCAACAGCCAACAAACAACAACAGATGAATGGTATTTTCTGTGCAATCTGTGCCAAGATGTTATGCACAGGACAGTTAGTGGGGAATGAGTTCAGTCAGTTAAGTTAGTTGGTAGGTGAGTGACTGACTTAATCAGTCATTGTGTTAGAGAACTCCTGAGGTTCAGCTATGGTGAACCATAGCTGTTAGGAGCTGGTAGCTGATGCTGGGGACAGTTTGGGAACCGAGAGGAAGGGGAGCATCCTCCGTTGGAAGTCACTACCGAGCAACGACTAAGCAGCCTTAAAGAGATTCTTGTATGCTGGTTCTTACTACTCACTGAAAGAGTATTTTAATTATCAAACTCTCGAAACATAGCTGTTGAAGTTTACATATCTTTTTTAGTTCTTTTAACTTTTTGGTATGTTTACCTGTACCTGTCTCTGTTGGACAAGTGCCCCATGGAGTATATTGTTGTAATTTGTTTCTAGCATAAAAACAATCTGTATATCTCTTTTTTTTTAATACATTTGGACAAGTGCCCTATTGCACAGTTGATCATGTATCTTTGCAGAGTGTATTAATTATCACTGTATTTTTACTTCTAAGCATAAATACTGAATTGTACTTGTTTCTTTTATAACTTTTCTGGATTGTTAGTATATTTTTTTATTTGTTTTATTCGCATGTTATACAGTTTGTTATGTATGTTGCTGACGAGTGCACTATTGCACAGCTATTTGCATATACTTAATGACGGTAACTACATCCACTGGAATTGTAATCCTTATGGATATATGGTGAACTAATAAAGTAAATAAATAAATAAAAGATGTGTCTGTGGTCACTAGTGTATGTATGAGCAATAGTTAATTGTAAAGTGTAATCACACACTGTATCAAAGAGTCCAAGAAATTTGATAAACCCCGTCTATAGTGACTCATACACGTGACAATATTAAGTTTCCTACATGTGACAGAGGGTCAAATACTCCACTACATTTCAGTAAGAATATCTTGGATTGACTTTTTTCTAAAGGAACTGCTATGTATGTATGTATGTATGTATGTATGTATGTGAAAGGGGTGGGCCATAAAATCCAGCTTGCCCCCTGCGACCTTCAATGATCTATTGTGTTTCCTCTTTGGATTAACCCTTTATTAATCCTACACTTCGAATGAAATGTAGGAATTTATTTATGGGGCCATCATAAAAGTCACTTGGTTCCATAAAGAAATGGCCCAGGTGACAAAATCTTAAATAAGCTATGGCCTCACAATCACGTAGGATATATGTGGGTGATTCGTCTTCTTGTAGGCACCTTTCACAGGTTGGGTCATCTGTCAGTCCCAGAAGTGTCCAGTAAGCAATCCTACCACAAAGTAACTGCTACGAAGCTTGATGGATGCAAATTGAAATGATGTTAATTAAGTTAGTTCATATCACCAGGTTTTATCCAAAAATTTAGTAAGGTTTTCTACAACGCCTGGGTTGCAAAATTATCCATTGTTGTGTTGAAATTGATGGGGAATTATGGAAGCTGGATGGTAAGGATCGTTCTTACCGACTGAGCTCCTGGCATGGGGGGAGGAGGATGGGCTTCTACAGCCGGCCCGCAATCGCTATAGTATTACTATATCTTGGTAGATGGCAGCAGATATGCTGACAATCGTTGACATTGAAATACCTGCTTACATGTAAGCCATGTAAGTAACTAGGTAACCATGGCCTGTTGTTATACCTAGTTGCATACATACCGATTAGTGCTTGTGGTGGTTGTCATCTGGAGTCGGAAATTAGATTAAGTGTGTGGTCTGCGTGGTAGGGCGCTTAGTGAAGTTGTGGAGCTTGTCAAATCTCAAGGAAAGTGTTATTAACATCGTGTGTAGTTAGATTTCACACCATTTCAGAATGGACAGTAAGACGGAATCGAGACAGGAAATTAATTTAGAATCTCCAGAGTCCGATACGCGGTCCAGAGACAGAAAGAGACCACATTTCTCTTCATCCGATACTGGAATTAACAGATATGTAGCAGGGAAGAAAAAAGAAGAATATAATGATAGGAAGAAGCACGATGATAGAGAAGACCATCACGGGATCAGGAAGCGAAGGCCCAGAAGGGATTCGATATTAGACGAAGACAGAAGTGGAAAGGAAAAGAAGCGAAAGAAAAGTGAAGAGGGTGAGGAAATAGGCTTAAGAATGTCATATCATAAACATGAAAATGACCCTACTTATTCCAAGAGAAGGGGAAATAGAATTAATCGTGAAAGGGATTCAAGGTATCAGAATGAGAGGTGTGATAAATATTATAGGTATTGTGATAAGAATGACACAGGATATTACCGTGAAAAGGAAAGTAATAATCACAACCGGAGGAAATATCCAGCAACAGAGGGGACAACCTCAAGAACTGGTGACAATGAAAACACTTCCAGAGGTAGGGATAAGAAGGTGGAAAAGAATGATTCTACACAAAATGGTAACATAAATACTAAACATGACTTGCAGGAAGACACAGTTACAAATAATTCTTCCACTCAGCAAAATAGAACTGTCGATTTATTGACATCTAGGACAGGAGGCGCATATATACCTCCTGCCAAGTTAAGAATGATGCAAGCCCAAATTATGGACAAATCTGGTGCCTCATATCAGAGGATAGAATGGGAAGCACTGAAAAAATCTATACATGGGCACATCAATAAGGTGAACACTGGAAATATTGCTATTATCGTGCGAGAGTTGCTGAAAGAAAATATTGTCAGGGGGCGAGGGCTACTTTGTCGTTCAATAATCCAGGCGCAAGCAGCATCAATGACGTTCACCCATGTTTATGCAGCGTTGGTAGCAGTCATCAACTCCAAGGTAAGACTTTTATAACAGTTTGTTCAGTGTAAACTGTATTTGGAAGTGTTCCATATTTAGATTTGAATTTACCCTTATTACCCATATTATAGAGGCATTATGAAATTTCGAATAGCAGCAACATGCAAAATTGAACATACTGCTTATAATAGACCGTTTTCTTAAGTCTTGTATGGTGTGGTTTCTTGCTATTCTGCTGTTGGCAGTGTGTTTGAAATGCATACTGTAATCACTGCCATCCAGATATGAGAATCAACTGGCATGTAGACTGCTATAGTATGCATGTTATATTGATACCACTTGCAATAATTTTAATTTTCTTCACCTATTAGACATGCAGGAAGCTAACTGCCCTTGCCCAGAGGATTATATCATGTGTATGATCATTATCACTTGCATAAAATTGGCTGACGTTTAATGCAACTACTTCTTGTAAGGAAATATTCAGTTTATGAAAGAATAGCTTGCAAATCTTACTGGCTTCAGATTGCAAAAGAGTCCTGATTCACAGGTGGTATCATGCCAGATTTTCTTAAACATTTTGCGTTCTTAGTTAAGCATTTTATACTGCTAAATCAGAAATGTTTTAATCGAAAGTTTATTTTGAGCAGGATGTGTTAATAGTCTGTACTGTCATTTGAAGGCTGTGAAGGCATACACGTATACAGGGAGTCCCAGGAGGAATGTGCCAGAATTCAGGAGGGTGTTCCTTATGTTAAACTATGCCGATATAACCCAAAACACCTATGTCTAAAGTTGAACAGTTACGGAGATAATGGCCCAAGAAAAGTGTGGTCTTCTGGTGGCTCCACGCACTGTAACCTATCAGCTGAAAAGTCTTATTTATGTTTGTCCTTGAGTGTGGTGATGACAGCTCATGTTAGTCCCATACACTCGCATACCAGAACGCGCAGTCAGCAATGTTATGTCAGTGCTTGCCATTCATGTGTCATGTATAGTGCTTGGAACTCTTAACAACAACTTTGACATGGCGTGCGAGTTTTTTATAGTTCAATTTAATGGCTTCATGTCACTCACAAATTAGTTTGATGTTACATACATTTTTAACATTACAGAAACCACATATTCCTGCCAGTTTTAATATGTATTTCATAATCAACAAGTGTGTAACACCTGTCAAAGTTTCACACTTCTCTGGCCATTATCTCTGTAACGGTTCAACTTTGGACATAGGTGTTTTGGGTTATATCGGCATACTTTAACATAAGAAACACCCTCCCGAAGTCTGGCACACTCCTCCTGGGACATCCTGTATAAGGCACAGTATACACTCAGACTTTGGTGTACTAATTTAGTTAATGCTGAAAAAGCATTTAGTGTACTAATTTTAATTAAATTGTTTTGTTCCCACAGTTCCCAAATATTGGAGAATTGCTGCTGAGACGGCTTGTCATCCAGTTCAGACGTGGTTTCAAGCACAATGATAAGACGATTTGCATTTCTGCTGCAACATTTATTGCTCACCTTGTAAACCAGCAAGTGGTAAGCAGAGTTAGAAAGGTTTCTCTGAATAGCATGTGTTAATCATATTAAATAACATGCATTATTATAGTTGTGATTTAAGCAGTTCTGACCAGCCATTCAGTATGATACANCCTTTTAACGGTACTTCATTAAATTTCATTATTTACATCATTTGTAAATTTTAATGTTTCTTTTCTTGGTTTTTATGAATAATTAGAACACAGTTTTACTTTAAACAACAAAATCTTTCAGTTTTTCATAATTTTACCTTACATTTTTCCAGTTTGTAAATCACTTTACAGCCATCAGCAGGTTCTAATCAGAAAGTCAACTCAATGGCCAGTACATGCACAGATCTTCATACATAAATGAAAAAAAAATTAGCAAGATCCATTACAAATCAGAGAAAATTTTATGTCTTGGACCTCACTATAATTCATTCAAGGATGTGCCAGAGCACTCCAACCAGACTGTAATATCCAATTAACTAGAGGCAAATTGAACCATAGTCCCACATTTTAGGCATGCTGTTTATGAAAATGCATTTGAATTAGGCTTCAGTTTCAGCATTCTTTGTAGCACCTAGAAGGAAATAAAAATTGAAACAAATAGAATTACCAAACATGTTGGTCAAATGACAACACTGTTGGCTCGTATTTGAGAGATGCTTTCTCAGTTGGGTCATGACTGCCTTCTTCCACATCTGTTCTAATTCATCATTTGCCAGTCATCCTGCCGTTCAGCGCCATACAGTCTAGATACTGACATGGTTGTAAAATAGTCCACCAAAAAGGCAGCTGTTTATTTTTACAAATATTGGGGAGAATAATTTATGTATAGAGTGTTCAAATATTCAGTCTGATGCAAGCTATACTCAAGATGAGGAATAAATATGAGTCCCTTCTTTTAAATAACATTCTGAGTGCATACTTGACTTATATCCAGTGAGTCTTAATTGAACACATTAAATATAAACATCATGTTCTACACTTATAGGCAAGCAGAAATGTTAATAAATGTATGGTAAACTGCCAAAGATCATCATCCTACTGCATGACAATGCTTGTCAACATATGGCAAATTTGATGAAGGCAGCATTGGCATCAGTGGGCTGGGAAATCATGAACCACCCTCTTTACGGCCCTGATTTAAACACCATTTGTTTGGACCAATGAAGATGCACCTAGGACAGAAATTTCAAACTGCTGAACTTGAACGCAATGTCCTATCCTGGCTGCATAGTCAGAATTGAACCTTTCATGCTGCTGGCATCATTAACTTGCCATGGAAATTGGAAAAAAATGTGTTTGTATAAAGGGAGAATAGCTTGAAAAGGCATGAGAGTCTGGCAATATTGGCATTTATCTTCTTTTTGTAAAGAAAATAAAGTCCAGGTGAAATTATAACCACCCTTTTATAATAGAGGGTAAATGAAAGACGATTAACTAACCCCTAAAGTAGAGCTCCTCATGAGTAGCTGATACTGCTAACCTGGTGAACAAATTCTGTGCCATTTATAGAACCATAAGATTCGCTGTTGTGTTCACACCACCAATTCCCAGAACGTGTCTTGCTGGTCATGGACTTTCCTACTTCTTGCTGATGTTTATATGCTGAAGTGATGCTTTAAATGATATCCTTTCATACAATTTTGGAATCAGCAGTCAGAGTCAGAATTAATAAAATTAAAATTAAATATATATTACAACTGTGTTTATGTTTCAGGCTCATGAAATTTTGGCTCTGGAGATCCTAACTCTTCTTGTGGAAAATCCAACAGATGACTCTGTGGAAGTAGCAATAGCATTTCTGAAAGAATGTGGCATGAAATTAATGGAAGTGTCAAATAAAGGAATTCTCGCCATCTTCGAGATGCTACGTAACATTTTACANTGTAAAAAAATGTAACGCTGTCCCTGTAACAGGCTATGGAGGCCCATATGGTTGTGAGATGTCAGGGCTCCCACATTTTCTAGAGAGTGAGCTCACAGATGGCTGCAAAGTTGTCAGCCTTACGTACCAGCTGCCCCTTACCCCCCAGGGAGATTTCTGGTACACATTTCTGTTAGAGGCCGAGTCGACCCCAGGCTCAGAGTGTGGCTGGAAGGATTTGGTCAATTGAAAAATTCAATGACCTCATGAGGAAATGAACCTGCAATCTACTGGCTTGTGGCATAATGCCTCAACCAACTCGGCACATAAGGCTGACAGCCTCACCGCCATCTGTGAGCTGATTGTCTAGAAAATGTGGGAGCCTCAAAGTCACACAATCCTGTGGGTCTCCACAGCCTGTTATATGGTTTGAAGCATGTAGGATGAGGAATTTGCTTGGTTGTATAGCAAGATTGCATTCAAGGAAATTGAGCCTGGTGTGGGATAGTGGGAACATTAGATATGGAGGCTCCCCTTCTCATATAAGCACTGTGCACTTCATCGCAGGATGAAAAGGGGCCAACTTTACCCAGAGTTTAACTTTTCCTCTGATGTAAAACAATATTATACTGCTTAGAATGGTCTCTTTTTGTCTAACCTTCCCACTGGCCTAAATCAGGCTCCATGTCCATACCCAGTTCCATTTGTTTGAGTGGCCACATTTCCTGCAATCTGCCAATATAACCAAGTCAGTTCCTCTGCCTATATATGTTAGTCCTGAAGACAGAGTCAATGTGTTTCTCTGAAACATTGGACTCCTGTAATGTTGCAACCAGAAGATCACAGTGTGAGTGATCATCAGAGATACATAAGTTATACAGACTGGAAAGTAAAGGAAGGAAGGAGCAGGTTCTGCAAGTCAGTTCCACTCCCTCTCAGTGAAAAGTAGGTCAGTAAGTTGTGTTATATCTCATGCGCTCTCTATTTTTCAAATTCCATATACAGTCAACTCTCGATTATCCGGGATAATGGTGGGGATGGAAATCACGATTAATCGAAAACCCGGTTAAGACAAATTTTATTAAAAGTAGTACTGTAATACTGTACGTTCATAATACTATAGGCCTACCTGTATTTAAATTTATTCAACCTCATTTTTATGTCATCTCATGGCCTATTTAATACTTTTTTTACATTACACTGAAGTATGAATTAGTTATTTCAATCACAGTCTTCAACAACATCCAACACTTGTTACGAATATTCACACTTAACACTTAAAAAAATTTAATATTGTCATTTACTTTTTCGCGGCATTTTCCTTTTTCTGTTGAATACTTAACACAGCATGCTTCCTTTTACACCCTGACATTTTGCTAACGCACTTGAAGATCGATACAAAGAAACTAACTGGGGCAGTGTATCTGTCCTTGAAACTTTCCACAAATCCTTGCATTCTTTCACCCCTACCCTAGAACATTGTGTTAGCATAACGGGACCAAAGAATGCAGAGCTCGGTTCACACTAGTGCGAAAATCGTGTTACAACTCACCATGTGAAACAAAAGTGAATGATTATTAAACAACATATAAGCCTCAAAAAAGCCTCAGTAGCCCTGGTTAAGCCGCAAACCAGTTAATCCGCACCCGGATAATCGAGAGTTGACTGTAGTTAGTGTATCAGGTTGCTCAGTGTGTAATTTACTTTAAACCTTTGTATCACCATGGTTTGTTCACATGTTAAAACATGCTTGTTCAGTTTTGACTTGAAAAGTGACCTTCAGTTTCCATCTGTGGTGGTGGGATTGTTTCACTTCACTGTTTGCAGAAGATTTGTAGGTTGCTGTCAGCATTTTATGTGTGTATATGTATGGTCAGATTGTGAATCTTATAATAACCAGCACAACCACTGCCACCACCGCAACCCCTGCAACCACCATACCACCACAGCCATCCCCACCGGCTACACCACCACCACCAAGAAGAAGAAGAATAAGAAGATAACAACAATAATAATAATTCTTAAGGTGGAGTTCCTTGATACTTAGGCCTTCAGTGGCCTACTGGATCAGTGCCAGATGCTTGACGAGAGAAATGAAGTATTTGGTACAGTGCGAATTGGCAAGGGAAACTGAAGGACATGGAGAAAACCTGTTACATGGCACTTTGTCCATCATAAATCCCTCATGAACTGACCAGGGATTGAACCCATGTCACTGCAGTGAGAAGTTGACAAGTAACTGCTTCAGCCATGGCATGGCCCTGAAGCAAGGCATGGACCACCACTTGTTGCCAGCACTGATCATGCATGTCTCTTTGCCTCAGCATCCACATTTTATGTATGTGATATGCTGTATTTTGACTGCACTTTATAATTTTTCTTCTTAAAATATCAAGTTTTGTTTCTACTAGGTACAATACATGATTGAAGTGATATTCCAAGTGCGAAAGGATGAATTTCGTGACCATGAAGCTGTTCTAAAGGAATTAGACCTTGTTGAAGAAGAGGATCAGTTTACACATCTTGTCACATTAGATGATGCCAAGGATTCAGAAGACATTCTCAGTAAGTATCTCGGGTTTGTAAGATTGTCATATCCCGCACTTCAAGATGCTGCTGCGGGAGGACACTGGAAGTAGCCGAGCAGTAATGTCTCTCTTCTTGGGTTGCATTGGCGCCATCAGAGAGTAAAAGCTCATGACAGTACTTCAGACAAGTTGTATATATGTAGATGTATTTAATTCATACAAGTTACACTGGATACAAGATTATGTGTAGGCTGGGCCAGAGCACAGTCGAGAAATTTCTAAGTTCCATTCCAAGAGCAGACTGACATGGAGACTGCCCTCGACAGGATTCGCGAACGATGTCCCCCCAGCTGCATCCAACACCGAGTTTATAAAGACCCACACACAAAGGGGGTGATACTGTGTCCTCTCCTGTGTGTCCGTTCCCACGACATGAATATATAGTTACAAAAACTGTAAATTCTATCTTAACTCTAGCGACAGTCGTGTGACGTCAGCTCATGTCCGTGGTCTGTGTGCGCACTTCTTCCCTCTACTGTCTCTACTGTCCCCCTCTCTCCTTCCCCTCCTGAGCCGACTTAGCGGCCTAACGAGTGGAGCTAAGGGCTCTTGGCTTCCTAACCGTTGAAGGGGTAGGTTGTTCTCATTTCGGACCACCAAATTGATTTTTCTACGTGGTATTCTATCTTAGAACAGCGAACTCTGCAATCATTCTGATACAGGTATTTACATCATGTTTGTATTCTTTCTTTATTAATATATTTATTCTTTGTTAGTATTTGATTTGGTTATTTCTGTTTGGGTATTTCCGCCTTGCTGATTTCTTTGTCCTCCCCTGCTCGCCCTGTCGTGTGCTCATGAGAACCTATACGGACCCTGAAGGATCCTCTCAAGGGTACCCCCGCTTCAGTCGGACAGTGTGGGATGCAGTTGCTGCATCTAAAGTTCATTTCCCAAATCGTTAATCTAATTAGTATGTAGCTGTCACTGCACCCCCTGATATACAATCATGGGGGGGTGCTCTCTGTGAGACTGCCGAATACATAAGTTATCAATATAATGTGACAACCCAAAGAGGAAACCATAGAGACATATACTCAATGCCATGCTAATGAACTACAATACTCTACTGAATACAATGGTACAGAAAATATAAAGGTTACATGTAAGGGTCTCAGTGATGCAGAAATGCAGAAGTTACGTATAGGGATTTCACAAAAGAAGGAGTCTTGGTTCCTGTGGCTATACAGAATGTCCCATAGCTATACAGGATGCTACAACATTCACATTTCATTATGAAAAGTATTCACATGAGATTGTGTCACAAAATTATACTTTGATAGAACTCTGTTTATAAAATTTAATAAATTGTCTGTGTTTTCAAGCAACATAACTAAAACACTGTGTTCCATTTTAATGGAATAAAATTATTACAGTGGAATCCCTTTTTTTTAAAGGAATCTCATTTACACAAAATTGAGGTTTTTACTAAATTGGAGTTATGCAAAATTGTACCAAGAAAGTGTTCATCATCCTGTAAGAATTACTGTTATGGTAAACTTGCATTTAAGATGTTCCTCAGTTCAGTGCTGAAATTCACTGATGTGTAGAGAAACTGTAAGTTGGGATTTTGCTGTATATGACATACAGAGATGACTTTTAGGCATAGTGGAACCATTTCTTACAGATTTAAAATGACCTGTGTATTAAAACTGTTTGCTATTTTAATATTTCAGATGTATTCAAGTTTGACCCAGAATATGAAGCCAATGAGGAGAAGTATAGTGCTCTCAGAAAAGAGATTCTAGATGAAGGCGATAGTAGTTCAGAAAGTGGCTCGGGTTTAGAAGAAGAAAATGACTCAGAAGAAGGAAGTGAAAATGGTAAGCAACAAATTAATTGTCAGTGAAATATGAAATGTTTTGTTTGAACATGTTTAAATTGAGGTACCTTTGTGCAAAAACAGAAATAAGGTAAGTATTCCATGCCAGATCAACAAATTTTGCCAAAAGTGTGTGGCAGCTGAATTATGTAGGCAAGTCAAATGAAAACGTTAAATATTTTTTTGAGTGTTATTTATTGTGCACAAGTGGTACAAAGCTGTATCACTTTTTCAACATAATCTCTCCCACGCCCAATGCAAGTCCTCCAGCGCTTACAATGTGCATGAATTCCTTTAAAAAAATTATTTTGGTAGTCCGCGCAACCGCTCATGCACCATGTGGCGTACCTCTTCATCAGAACGGAACATCTTTCCTCCCATTGCTTCTTTGAATGGTCCAAATATATGGAAATCACTTGGGGCAAGTTTTGGTGAGTATGCCGGATGTGGAAGACACTCAAAATGCAGGTCATTTATTGTCGTAACTGTTGTACGGGCAGTATGGGGCCTTGCATTGTCATGTTGCAAAAGGATTCCTGTGGACAGCAATCCATGTTGCTTTGATTTGATTGCAGGCTGAAGACGATTTTTAGGAGATCTGAGTATGATGCACTGGCGACAGTGGCCCCTCTAGGCGTGTAGTGCTCCAAGATGACGCCTTTCTCGTCCCAAAAGAGAGTCAGCATAACCTTCCCTGCTGATGATTGTGTTCGAAACTTCTTTGGTTTTGGAGATGAGGAATGGCACCATTCCTTGCTCGCTCTCTTCGTTTCTGGTTGGTGGAAGTGAACCCAGGTTTCATCCCCAGTAACGATTCTTGCAAGGAAGTCATCACCTTCTCGTTCAAAGTGCCGCAGAAGTTCTTCACAAGGATCAATACGTCGGTCTTTCAATTCAGGAGTCAGCTGCCATGGCACGCATCATGCAGACAGTTTGTGAAACTGGAGTACATCATGCACAATGTGGTGTGCTGAACTATGACTAATGTTTAAACTTGCTGCAGTTTTATTCAATGTTACTCGGCGGTTTTCCCTCACTATGGCTTCAACTGCTGCATTGTTCTCTGGAGTCACAACTCGATGTGCCTGACCCGGGCGAGGAGCATCTTCCACTGAATTCACACCATTTCCAAACATCGTACTCCATTCGTACACTTGCTGCTGTGACAAACATGCATCACCATATTGAAACTTCATTCATCGATAAATTTCAATAGGTTTCACACCTTCACTACACAAGAACCGAATAACAGAACTCTGTTCTTCCCTGGTGCAAGTCTCAAGTGGGGCAGCTATCTTATACTGGTGCCGTGACAGTGTTCATGCATCTGCACTATGCTGCAACCTACAGGTCATTCTGCATGCTATTTGTAGCATGCTTACCAACTTACAGGATAATGGCGCGAAATTTCATTTTTTTATTACAAATTTAAGGTTTTCATTTGACTCACCCTTGTATTTATTTGAATGAAATTTTGTTTAACCAAACATTAGTATGACAGATGTAAAAGTACATCTTTTTTCTTACCATAACTCATTGGTTTTGATGATAGAGAATGCTGAGGTTTGTGTCATTCTGGCTGATTCCACGTCAGTCAGAGAAGCAGTAAATGATACAAAATATGTTATCTCCAAAACTAATGAAGATGTCTGGATGAAACTGAAATCATGTAGAATTCACATAAAAAATTAGCAAATTACATGTAAAACTTTCTTATAACTTATTTTTTCAAAGTAGAAAAAGTGTACTTGAGTGAATTACTGAAAAACTTGTGCAGCTTCCAGTTACATAATATTTTGGGGGTGAAACATAACCAAATGAAAATCTGGCAAGACAGCAGTCACTGTTTCCCCCATGTACAGTGTAAATTGCAACTTGTCCCTCCTCCCAGTCACTGGCTGAGTGATGATTGTCTGCAGTGGTACACGTTTGATCCCATTTCACATTATTGCAGTGTAAAACCAGAAGGCATGGCTTCAGTTTATATTGTCATTCCAAGCCATGCATATAAATATGCTAACCTGTTATCCAGTAACCAGTTAGTATTTCTTCATTTTTCATGGAACAGTTTGGGTATGCTGTCCTGTATCTTCTCGTGGAGGATTTGCTGACAGTCTCTTTCTGTTGGTACTTGTAATACTTCCAGTAAGCTTTCATTACAGCCAAACGTTATACTTCTGTGCCCAATGGAAGGACACTGATGGGCTTTTGGGATACAGGAATTTGACAACATGGTCACACTAATGTCATCACTTTCTTCTGTCTCAACAAGAGTCCACGCCTTGCTACCATATATCCCTAGTGTCTGGAATTTGCATGCAAATACTGAAACATTCAACTGGTTCTTTTTCAGTTTATACGATGTCTGCCTAACTCACATACAGGTATTTTATTTCATGAATGTTTTCTTTCGCAAATTTGTAGAAGTCTTTTGGTGTCAGTGTTTGCTTATCATAAGGATTATGAAGATTTGGTGTGGCTGTCTGCCATTTTGTTGTGCTGCCTACATCACGAGGACCTTTAACATGATTGGTGTCAAAGAAATGCCTCTCTGCAGCAATTCCAAAATCGTTCTTATGATTTATTAAATTGGCAGAAGTGTCATATTTGTATACTGTCATGCAGCTCCACAAGTGAAGCATGATCCCTTTTTCATATTTATGTCCTTTTCGTAGTACACAATTTTAGGTCAACAGGATATTTTTTTTTGGTATAATTTACACCTAGTAATTGGTCTTTGTTCATACCTATAATAGTATATTCTTCCTGTTGTCTTGGTGCTTAACTAGTATTTGTTACAATTTAATATTTTCTTTTAGTCCTAGAGAAGAGATGTTGGAATATTATCATGACAGCCTGCTCACAGTTCCTCTTAGCTTAATGTGTACAACAGCTAATGAGGCACTACCACTAGTTTTAAACATGGACAGTGTTCATCATGTTAGACCTCTGGTAATTGAGACTAGCTCTTTCTAACCTGCCCAGTTGAGTGGGAAGCTTTATTTCTTTATAATGGATGACAGGCTGATCCATTTTCCAAAACACTGTGTCTGAAAAGACTAAAGAAAATGGACAATGTCCAGATTAATAATTATGTATAGTTCATCACACCATGTCAGAAACATTTAGACTTAGCTGAACCACTAATATTGTATGTTCACTGTTGCAGAAGAGAACAAGAACGATGCCATTATTGACAATACCGAAACCAACCTTGTGGCTCTGCGAAGAACAATTTACCTGACAATTCATTCCAGTTTGGATTTTGAAGAATGTGCCCATAAGTTAATGAGGATGGACTTAAAGCCTGGACAAGAGATAGAACTATGTCACATGTTTCTGGACTGCTGTGCAGAACAAAGGACGTATGAAAAGTTTTTTGGGCTCCTGGCTCAGGTAATGACCAGTTTAAGCATCATATAGACATAAATGAGGTGTGAAGATTACAGTCTGCTGGGTTGTGACACTGTGTCGTGGTTAGACAGGTACCAGTGTTTTGCAGGAATGCTCTGCATCCATCTTGAGCATACTCTGAAGATGAAGGCAGCACGAGGTGCCGCCAGATCCTTGGTACCTATTTTCCAAACAAAACAGCATTGCATTTCTGTTAGACAGTAATCTTCACATTCATCTCTCTGAGATTCTGAAATCTCACATAAAGGTAAGGTGAAGCTGTCCCTGTGCTTAACAAATTTAGCGCTATGCCATGAAGGTGTATGGGTGAGTGGATATATCAATTCACGTTTTCTTGACCTCGGCACTAGTTGGAGGTGAGCAGTCAGCTTCACATTCTGGCCAGGTTACTCCCAGGAAAAGAGCCTCCTGCTACTCATGGGATAGGAGGTTGTGTAGGCCCCGGTACCAGTCTGGACAACATGGAGAAAAGATAATTCTTGCTCCTACCAGGACTCGAACTCTGGCCCCTCAGTTGTCCAACCCATAGCCAGTCGCTATGCTGACTGTGCTGTCCTGGCTCCCAAAATCTCACATAAGTGTAGGAAAGGAAATTAAGTAAGAGAAAATTTGAATTTTTGAAACGTGTCATATTTATTTAGTGATAAACTGCAGATGTAGTGAAATTTCAGTTAGAGGTTCTTTGGTGGCCAGTGGGTTTAAACACTAAACTGGGGAAAATATTGAATGCAGATGATTTAATGCTGAGCTTATTGTCTTCGGTTCATTGGTATTCAGCATTAAATTAGGAGAACCTGGAACTGAGGATCATTACATGGTGACTTCATTGTACATGAAATCTCAACAGCAGTGATGCCTTTTATTAATATAGGTTTGGTTAAAAATAACTTTTATTAAAAGAATATGTACCCACACATTCTGTATGCGTTTTTGTGTGTTTATTGCTTGCTATACTATTCCCCTACCAATTTGAAAGTTACCATTTCATAGCTTAGAACTGCATGAATAGCTTACTTTCATTTTTGTGGATACACCTTGAAATGTGACTGCAGGTTGCACAGATACAGATTGAGATGTGTGGAGGCTCGCCAAGATGAACCCAGTTCTTTTCTGCTATGCCTGTCATTTGTTTTTATTTCTTATCCTTACTGTGTACATCACATTCAAATATGATAAAAATAATGAGTACATGAGTACCAGGAATATTCTTGGGGGTGAAGGGTGGCTGGTGCGTAAGGCTGACAACCTTGCCGCCATCTAGGAGCCGCTTGTCTAGAAAATGTGGGAGCCTCGACATCTCACAACCCTATGGGCCTTCATGGCCTGTTACAGGGATACCTTTACTTTTACTTTTAAATTAATGCAACAGTAACAGTTTATAGTATTCTTAATATTTTCAAGGCATGTTTTTAATAGCCTTAATATTTTACTTCCTGTCTCCTTTCAGAGGTTCTGCCAGATCAACAAAATATTCATCCCTCCCTTTCAACAAATATTCAAAGATACATATGACACAATCCATCGCTTGGACACAAACAAGCTACGAAATGTAGCTAAATTCTTTGCACACCTCCTGTTCACGGATGCTATCTCTTGGGAAGTGTTGTCCTTCATTCATCTGAATGAGGAAGAAATGACCAGTTCCAGTCGAATCTTCATTAAAATTCTATTCCAGGAATTGTCAGAGTACATGGGACTGACAAAACTGAATGAGAGAGTGAAGGACTCGTAAGTAAACATATGACTGTGCTGTTAAAGTTGTAAATGGTAACAATATAAATATGCGTGTTGTATTCATCTCACTCTTAATTTGAGTCATTTAGAAATAGTCATGTTGAGTGCAACATCCTTTTGTGGTATTTTTCTTGTAGATATGCTGTTTGAGCAGATGTGATTTTTTTGGAAATATATTTTGAGAGTATATGTCATTTCCATTATAGAAAGCTTCTTTTCATGATTCTGTATTTCAGCATCCTGTTGCAATTGTTCACATTAGTGTCCATTTGTCTATAATCCGTCTAAATTCCAACACTTTTTATTTTACACTTCAATACACTCTCTAACACTACATGTTTCGGCCTCAAATGGCCATCTTCAGGTGTTTTTTTTACAGATATTCAATTAAGATTGTGTTGAAATTGTGTCAAAACTGCTACACTGTTTCACTGTTCCAGTTCATTTTAAAACCACATGCTACAGTCTTCTTTTTAATTAAAATGAGATAAAATTCTCACTCAACCTGAGTTAAGCAAAACAATAAGCAACAAATTATAAAAGAATCTTAATTGAATATCTGTAAAAAAACACCTGAAGATGGCCATTTGAGGCCGAAACATGTAGTGTTAGAGAGTGTATTGAAGTGTAAAATAGAAAAAAAAAATGTTGCAATTTAGATGGATTATAGACAAATGGACACTTCTTTTGATGCTTCAGTTTTTAATTTCTTAACTTAGTAGATTAAAAATTATGTGTGAAACAGCTGTTTTATTTCACCTGTCCATAAGGGTTACTGTTCATAGTAATGATTTTCAGGTTTTTATTCTTGTAACTCATGTCTACCCCTTTTGGTATCACTTTGCACTCACTTTATGTCAGTCAGTCATGAAGATAAAGTGCTGTGTGAGAAATTATAATGTAACTTATATCTAACAGGACCAAAAACAAAATTATTAGAAAATTAATGTAGGTGTTAATTTCTTGTGTAACACTTAGTTCGTCTGATGTAACATCATTCTTCTGTGACGTAAATGTGAACATAAAAGCATTACAGAGTGCATCAGAGACCCAATTACCCCATTAGTTGAATCTGGAAATTGGAAAGAAGCCAATGCTACATTAATTTACATTGAATCCCACCCATGGTGTACAAAGCACAACTTATGTTACTTGTCAGCAATGTCATTGTGGAGACCATCATGTTGAAATCACAGAATAATGGGTCTGTATGTCCTGTAAGATCATTGATGTTAGCAAATTCGTAGTGTACTGTCTCTTTCTGTTCTTCATTTATCTTTTAATATGTCAGAGGTCCATCTTGTTTGTTGATTCCCCACAATACATTATCACAAGATGACAGATCAGCACTTCTTGGGGGCCACTCTTGAGGAGCCATGGCCAATCCACCTGTCATGGGAAACATCACCGAGGTACTCTTGTACTGATATTGTGTAACGGGCAGCTACTCTGTCAGCTGGAACCAAACTTTACCCATAAGGTCCATGTGTTCGAGTTCTGATACTAAGCAGACTTTCAACATAGTCAAATAAGTGTGTTGATTCACTGAACCCTCGAAGAAATATGAACCAGAAATGTACCTGCCTGCTATTCTTGCCTATATCATAACATGGGGTGGGTTGTGCTCTAAGTTTTTGTAAGAATGTGGATTTTCTTTACTCCAGAACTAAGCCTTTCCTCTTCTTGAACTGTGATAAATTGCACGTTCCTCGGTAAAAATAACATCACTGTGTTTTTAGTTGTGATACAGGCTCTAATGAATATCAGACATGTGCCCACATATGCCTTCACGTTGATGCTCAATCGAGTAGAATGCTGGGTTCTAGAATCGTTTGTGGTGTGACTTCTCTGGTGACCTCCATAGAGATGCTGAAACATCAGCTCACTTTTCATGTTGTTCATTTAGCTGACCAGACCTTGGCTTGTCTTTCTCATTACCCCTTGAAAATAAATTCCTTTCTCATCTTAACATAGTCATTTTGGGAGGAGTGACTTTGTTGAATCTTGTCTGAAAGTTCTTTCTGTGCATGTGGATTGTCTTCCCAGTATTTACTTTTTCATGCACCCATGTTATTATTGTGTGCTCTTCAATGGTGTAATTTGATTGGTTTGCCATGTTTCTATATAGGCCTAATCCATGGAATAGACAAGAGAAACTCCTATTAAAGAATATGTCTTAGAATCAGAAACAGTTAATGAGGTAATGCAATTTCTGATGCACTCCGGGCAGGTGTTGCATGTATCAGACTTCCATAAAGTCTCAAATAACTAGTAACAATACAAACAAGTAGGAATACTATCAGAGTTCTACATTCTGTAATTAAATGTCTATGTATCAAGCCCGTCAATAATGCAACAATCATTAAAATATTCACCATATTGGACACAACTGAGTAGGTTTTACTTGAAGACAGGGACAGAATCCAGTCCCTGAAATGTTTTGTTTTTTAAAAGAAACAGGACAGTTTTTTAAGAATAGACAAGATGATGGATAATGTCCAACAACATATTAATTGTAACAATTTACCATCATCACAAACTTTTAGATCTTAAAAGTAGGCATTAATTTATCTGAATTGCTCAGTGAATGAATTGGAAGGAGTGTGCTGACTGAACTTCAGTTTCCAGCCACAGACCATTTAATTTCTGTCAAGTATGAGCATCAGAGTTGCAAAGTTAGTAAACAGAATGAGATCCCCAAGTTGTTTATTCCGCACAGACACACAGTATTGGTGAAGATAGAATACACTGTATGCTATTAAAGAAAGATATGGTGAGGTGTATTAATGAATGGTGTGACTGAGTATGAAATAGCATTATTATTTCAACAGTTATTTTTTTTTTCTGTAATATGATCCTTAGGTGGACATCCTGCTTACACTGACATTTAAAAACAACTTAAATGAAATAAATGTAATGATTTTATGTTCAGTAGGAATATATATATTTTTTGTTTGTTTTGTCTACAGGACTATGCAAGTTGCATTTGATGGTCTGTTTCCACGAGATGATCCCAAGAATACAAGATTTGCCATCAATTTCTTTACGTCCATAGGCTTGGGAGGACTAACGTGAGTTCATAAAATTAGTATTGTTGCATTTATTTACTTCAGACAATCATATGTATGCATTTTTGTTAGCCAACTAAAGTATTATAGGACTAACAATTCTAATGTCCATTGTAGGGTTCAGAATGCTGCTTTTGTTTTCACAGCTTGGGGAATCTGTCCCCCGCCCTTCTCTAATGAGGAAGTGGCAGTGTTACTAGAATCGGCCTAGCTACCAGTATGTGCTCACATTGTATAGTTTTACTATTCCCTGCAAAATTATCTCCACTATGACTTCTGATTACAGTTTATGTAATGAGTGGCTTTAACTGGCTAGTGTTTTACCATGTGTTCTTGTACTGGAAAACATATCCATTATTTTCATATTATTGTATAAAACAAACTCTCCATGTTCTCTCATTAGTGTTACAGATGATTTAATCAGACATGTTAGTATTTCTTCTGATAGTAGGCTCCTTTTTCATGAGCATTTGTGTTGTGATGCACACTCTTCCTCTTTATATACTACCAAAGCATGTATGTACATAACATGGGTATGTAGTCCCTCATAATTTTCAGCCTTGCTTCAGTCATGCCTTCATTCCAGAAAGTATAGTTACCAGTGGTGAGCTGGATAACTTTTGCTTTGCTCATTGGTGACATTGAACTCCCATTTGCTCTCTTCATCGCAAAGCAATATTCCTTGAAGAATACTGTTTCTTTCCCTGCTCTGAACAGCCTTCTTTGATGTATTAGTGCACCGTGGTCAGTGTTCAGTCACTCAGTCACGGTTAGATCAACAGTGGTGAGGGGGGGGGGGCTTAGCAGAGGGAGAAGAGATTCTTGCCAAAAGCAAGGGTGGAAGTGGAATCTCCACTCATAATTCTGGGAATTAGATTGTTTGGCCTCACTGTAAACCCTTCAGCTGAAGAAACTTTACACATCAAGAATATTCTCTATAACTACATTCTGAGTCCCAGCAAGATACAGAGTGATTACAAAGTGAAGCAAGTGATACAGTCAAGGGCTGGTAAACAGCTAAAGGCCATGCAGTCAGCACTACATTGAACAGTTTCAATACCATTACACATATTTATTTGTATAAGTGTCTTGCAGGCTGGTTTGTTGTGAAAGAAAAATCGATAGATTGTATGACTTGCATGACTTTTTGCTCACTGTATATAGTGTAATACACAATCTCATATGATGAGCTCCCTTCTAACAAAGTTCAAAGTGTCTTTGGTTTTCACGGTTCAGAATTTAGTGGAATGTGTGGAAGTGTGGTAGTGTGCTTGGATTTAATGCCCTCACTTGTTGTTTGGCTGCTGCCATTCTGACAGCAAATAAATCTATGTCTGAGACCAATTAGGGCAGACTGTGAAGATAGTTAGCCACTTTTCTTCATTTTTGATATGAGCGATTGTGATGGAATGCAAAAAATATACACCAAAACCAGCCAGGCTTGAACCTTGTATCTTTGACATGGAGGGACAGCACCTCCAATTTCCGTTGTTATTTTTAAAGCTAACTAAATGTCCAGTATTGTGCACCTCCTATATCCACATGTATGCTAATTCACATCATTCATTCTGATGAAGTTTGAATTTTTTGCCTTATTTTTATCCCTAGTGATGAATTAAGAGAACATCTGAAGTCACAGCCAAAAGTACCAGTTGTACCAAAGCTGCTTGTGGATCTTGGTGGTGATTCCAGTGATTCAGACTCTGATTCTGATGATTCTTCTGACACTTCGTCCAATAGCAGCTCAGGTTTTTATACTTTATAATCTTTGTTTTGTGGGATTTATGTTTTTGTAATAAGATTGTACATTATAGTTTTGCATGTCTTCACAGTGTTCATATATTTTTATATTAAAATTGTCAGTTGTATCAGCTCTGGAATATGGATGCATAACAGTTCATGAATTTCAGACATGAAATGGAGTACAACCATCTTAAGTGATTTCTTCTTTTTCTTAAAAAGTAGTCATTTCTAAATAGTAACCACATTTGTACATAATAGATTGTGGAAAAGAAATTATATTTAAGTGATACAAAATGTTTCCAGTAACGTGATAGCTGCTAGCACCCTAGAGTTACTGGAGAGGTTTTTGTGAAAGGGAAGTCAGATGACCAGGAGTACAGATGTGTACATTTGTGAACATGAATGTGAACCATATGATATCAGTAAATGAGGTTTCCTAGAGTTCTGCTGGAAAACTCTGCAGGCCAGAATGCACATGGCTCTCACTGGAGGTCCAGACCCCCAGCACCTGCCTCTCAAAACATGGGACACTTGTCCACTCACGAAAGCCCAGGACTTTTGTAGAAGTGCAACTTGTATAAAACCATAGTCACAAGGCAAGGAGTTAAGTCTTGTGAACGAGAAGTTGATGAGTCATAAGGAAACACTGCATATGGCAAGATGAAGAGATTGATTCATTGCTGGCAGTACAAGACATGAATGAATGAGTGGAAATAGTGATGGACTAGACAAGCCAGCATCAGGATCAGAAGCAACAAGGCCACTGTGACTTCTCAATAAGAAATGGTTTCATTTTATTGGAACTATCCATATTTTTGCACAGTAGCATAGTAGCTGCTCCAAACTTCTTTTCTGTGCCTTGCACAGATAATCTTTAACTGCAAACATTCTGTTTGGAAGTATATTATAATATAGGTTCATTTTGTCATACTTTGGACTGGATCCCAATCTTGTCGTGGACAATCTTTGGGAGCTCAACATTACAGGCCACTCACAGTAGGATATGCTGATGATATAGCAACCGTAATCAATGGAAAATTCCCTTATACTCTATCAGAGGTCTTACAAACAGCCCTGCACACAGTTCAGCAGTGGTGCGAAAGAACAAACTTGTCTGTCACTCCAAACAAGATGGTAATTATACCCTTTACTAGGAAGAGGGATGTAAAGGGGCTCAAGGAACTGGTCCCCTTCAGTAAAGCGATCTGGTTATTCAGTGAAGTCAAGTTCCTTGGATTAACATTAGACAAGGGCCTGACATGGAAAAAACAGGTGTACAAGGCTATTAACAAGGCCTGTAAGGCCTTCTGGACATGCAGAGGCATGTTTGGGAAGACTTGGGGACTGAAACCAAAGGTTTATAAGGATATACAGTATAGGTGTGGGCTGTGGGCTGGTTGGCCAGGGTTCAGTTCCTGGCAGGTGCAAGGGATTTTCTCTTCTCCATAAGTCCAGACGAGAGCCCCATAAACAGTGGATTCTTGAGACTGTTTCCTTGGAGGTAAAATGTCTGGGGTCTGAAGCTGACCTTTCACCTTTATCTGGTGCCAAGATCAAGAATGGTGGAGCTATACTTGCATTCCCCATTATTATTATTATTTTTGGAGGGGGTGGGTTTCCCCATGCAGTGCGACCAGTTGTTGATCTGTTGTGCGTCCCCCTTTAATTTCTACTGTTGCCATGCCCTTCCAGTACTGGTGCTCACTATCAGCTCTGTTCTGCCAGTGAGGTCGGCCCCCTCTGGCAGTGGTCCCCGATACTTCCCCATCTACCGGAAGAATTGGAAACTATTTGGGTGGGAAACTTTACGTAAGTTTGCTCAGAGGTCTCCTAGAGACATGGGGATCTTTTACGCGCCGTAAATCTATGACACAGAACACACGGCTTAAAGTCCCTCCCGGGGGACTTGTCCCCTGAATTTTTCCACCCTTAAAAATTCCACAACATCCGCCGGGTTTGAACCCACATACCTTGAGTCATGAGGTGGGAACGTTACCCCTAGACTACGGAGGCCACTGCATTCCCCATTACATCTTCATGGTGTAGTGCTTAATTAAGCATGAAAACAACTTTACGTGTACCTTTTGTGTGTATAGATAATCCAGTTTGTGGCTTATCTGAAAGCCTTCTGGAGCATTTGCAGCTCTACAGAGTGCCTATTAAGATTGCTCTGTCCATCCACCAATCCATAGGCATGAAAGCACCTGAGAACTGCTTGATTGATGTTCATGAAATTGGTTACTTGAGAATTTTATGAAGAACTATCAAGCCATTTCAATTTTGATCCATCTTAGGTAATTTTAATGACCACTTTGCCTAGAGAATTACTTTCATTTCTGCACATGTCAGAAGCCTAACTTGCTAAATATTTATTGGAGTGAAAGTATTTTGACCAAAAGTTCCAGAGGAAACTTAGACACTTATCTTGTATTGTCACATATATGTGTGACTTTTGATGGGGTTTTGGATTTGAGATTGGCTTTGTTGACCACTTACAGGTCGTAGCTACAAATAACTATAACACTATTGCTAACCTACTCACTCCGTATGTCACTGTAACTACAGCACACGTGAAGTCTTCTCCATCTTCGTTAGACATTTCCTGTTACCGGATTTTAAAACAGTCTGCTTACGTCCTTACTGTCGGGCACTGTCTTCTCTTCACAGACTTACTTTCAGCTGATTGTAGCATCACTGATGCCCTTGTTATATAACCCCTTTGTGCGGATCAAGTAGAAAACACCATTTCCAACAGATCCTGTATTGTTTTAGTTCAACTGTTGCATGTTAAGAATCTGCTGCCTAGCAATGGCTGTTGTCTCATTTGTTTCACAGTCATTATCTGTAAACAGGTCTCTAAGGAACAACATCATTACACTTTATTCTAAAGTGTTACGGTTTCCAAAGCAATTGAACAAATTAGATGCCATGCATATATTTCTAAATTTCTACATTTGACAGTTACCATAGTCTCCTGATCATGCCCAAAATGTAGATTATTGTCTTTCAGTTGTTCATGCATCCCTTCCCCTTTATCAGCGATAACTAGGAGTGTACTTAACCTTAGTTAAAGTACATAGAGCAGTATTCTTGATAGTAGCACATCACTGCTTATGGGCCATAATATTATTGTTTGTTTATTTTTAAATAATTATCTTTCAGAGTCCAGCTCAGATTCTGATGACAGTGAAGAAGTTAATCGAAAATCAAGAAGTTCGAAAAATTCGAAGAAACAGAAAACAAAACATAAGAAGAAAGATAGTAGAAAGAAGAATCGTAGATGATGTGATTGACAGAAGATCTGAAGCATTCTTAGAAGATGTGTACATTGCTATGATCATTCAACATTTGGTTGAATGATGGAAACATTTTATAATTTTTGTGTTTGTTCGATGAAGTTAATTAAATACATGGAAGAAGAATTGTGCATATGTCTTTCTGCTTTCATGCACTTTCAAATACACTACTTCACAGATTAAAAACCTCCCAGTATTGTTATACAAGGTAGATATTAACATCTCTGTAATTCTGGAAAATTGGAATTTATCGTAGGATTAAAAAAGTACAAACCTCGAACATTAATTTAAAACTTTTCTATGCCATTTTTCATGAGCCCTGCCACATTACACTAATTAACATACACACACACACACACACACGCGTGCGCGCGCGAGGTTCTATTGGAAAGTTCCCAGACTAGGTCAAAGAAAAATGTTGGCTTAACTTACTTAATTTTGGCTGCCATCTCTTTCAAAATAGTCTCCTCGGGAACGTATACAGCGATCCCTTAATTTTTTCCATGCTTCAGAAGCACCATGGAAGTCATTTCCCTTAATGCTGTCGAGTACTGCTTGCAGTTCCCTTTGGAGGTCAGACACTGTTTTAGAACATCATCCCTTCAGTTTCATTTTCAATTTTGAAACCAAAGTAAAATCACATGGGGCTAAGTCGGCGAGTAGGAAGGATGGGGTATGATAACCATGTTGTTGTTAAACTCTCTGGTTTTCAGGGACATGTGGGCGGGTGCATTGTCATGATGAAGGAGCAATGCAGCACATGTTCAAATTTTCTGTTAATATCCCCTGGCAAACTCCATAACTGATCCAAATGGTGTCTACAAGCTCATGGATTGTTCAGTGATGGGCCTCATGGATAAGTTCTCAAATTTTTTAACATTTTCTGTTGTTTTGCTGGTGCCTGGTCGCCCTGAACATTGTTCATCTTTAACTGACACTCGGCCAGCCATAAAACCTGAATGCCATTCAAAAACCGCTGTACAACTTAAAGAATGTTCTCCACAAGCCCCACAAAGCATTTCAGGGGTTTTGCTAGCAGATTTACTTAACTTCAAGAAAAACTTGATGCAGACACATTGCTCGATTTTGCCATCCATCACAGACAAAACGAAACACAAAGTCGAAAAAGCACTCATGTAAAAACAATTCGTGTTCACATCATGGTGTCATGTGGCAGACTGTTGCAATAGGCTGTCAGAAGTGTGACCTTGACCTCCCCTCGTATTCTTTCATGGATGCAGTTAAAACAGTAACAGTCCAGGAACTTTCCAGTACCACCTTCTATATGGTAAAACACTATGTAGTCAGTAATTTGAGTTAATAACCACTGTTAAAGAAAGTCCACAAGAAAACTTACTCTTGAGATATATCTCAGAGGTGCTTGATAAGACTGGAAAGAATTAGGAAACACTCATAGCGAATTCCATGAATTATATATATATAATATATGTATGAGGGTAAGTCAATAAGCAAGTTATAAATGGATATAGAACTTAAACAAATAAGAGTACTGATTTGAAAAATGCTTTTATTTCTCAACATAATCTCCCTGTACATCAAGGCACTTGTCCCATCATTTCACAAGCCCCTGAAAACCAGCAGCATAAAATTCTTTAGGCTGCTGTCAGAACCAGGCGTGTTCACGCATCATGGCCTACCTCATAATGCATGACAGGTTAGGTTTTCACAAAGTTTGTGCACAGTGGGTGCCATGCATGCTGACCCCACAACACAAAATGCAAAGAATGGGTCTGGCATTACAGCATCTCAATCGCTACCACGATGAAGGACACGATATGCTAGCCCGAATTGTCACAGGTGATGAGTCTTAGGTTCACCATTACCAGCCTGAGACAAGACATGCATCAATGCAGTGGAAACATCCTGCGTTGCCTGCCAAAAAAAAGTTTAAGGTGACACCATCCTCCAGGAAATTGATGCTCACAGTCTTCTGGGATCACGAAGGCATACTGTGCTCACTGCATTTCAGCCTCAAGGACAAATCGTAAATGCCGACCTGTACTGTAATGTTATATTTTAGCGTCCTGTTGCACTGATTTATGTCCATGATTTATTCTGACCATCTTACAGTGCATACATTTATTCACTTTACTCTTCTCTCTTGCACTACATGTTTCGGCACTAAAGTGCCATCGTCAGGTGCTTTTCGATGTACGTCGAACTACTGCAATGCATGCCCTGTTGTCTTTATACTAAAATAACTAAAATATATATTCGTCATATATATTGCTAAATTTTAAATATTAAAAATGTTAAAACTGTTCAGGATTTCTTATCCTTATGTCATATTTCAGTACGCGAGTCACACCTATCTTCTTCTGTTGGAGTATTCTTCCTACTATCATGTGTATTGTGCTTTGTGTTGTGTCTTACTCCTGTGACTGCGTATGTTATACTGCTGGGCCTGCTGGGTATGTGTGTGTGTTGTACTGTAACATCCTCAGGAAACTTCATAAGGCCATTCAACGGAAGTAAGCAACCTGTCATGCATTTTGAGGTAGGCCATGACGCGTGAACACGCCTGGTTCTGACAGCAGCCCAAAGAATTTTATGCTGCTGGTTTTGAGGGGCTTGTGAAACGATGGGACAAGTGCCTCAATGTACAGGGAGATTATGTTGGGAAATAAAAGGATATTTCAAATCAGTAGTCTTATTTGTTTAAGTTCTATGTCCATTTATTACTTACTTATTGACTTACCTACATATATATGTAAGTTAATCACATGATCTCTTAAAGTGAGCATGCATTTTCTGTTTTTATACAGCATTAAAAATAATGTTGTATTTTAGCATTCTGTTGCACTGATTTTCATCCATGATATGTATAGAGTGGCCATCTTATAGTGCACTCAATTTCACCTGCTACTTCACGACATGTTTCGGCAACACAGTGCCATCATCAGGTGCCCTAATTACGCTAATCTATTGCATTGCTTGCCATTATATGTCTTTATAAACTTATTTAAAAAGTGCGTATTCGTCAACTATAATAAATTTACACACACTAAAACTTGTTAAGATTATTCATCTTATGTGTCTTAATTAAAACTTGNTGTGTTGCCGAAACATGTCGTGAAGTAACAGGTGAAACTGAGTGCACTACAAGATGGCCACTGTATACATATCACGCATTAAAAATATTTTAAACCTACACGATCATTCTTTATAAACTATGACTTCAAAAATTAAATTAGTATATTAAAAGATCTAAAAGGCATTGTGTTTGTAGAAAAATATATATGGAAACATCAGTTTTTATGTAGACTTATATATATGAGGAAGGGGGTCAGTATCTTTTGCTGCAGTTTAATGGTGTACCTTCACATTTTATGATATATTCATGTCATCTGTTGTATTATTTTTTATGTTTGTGGACATGGATGTTTTTAATATTGGTACTGGTCACAGTGCTGTGATTGTATTCCTATTTTTCTTTTAGTAAATATATTGGTATGTGACAGTGACTCCAAACTTAATGTGATGTAGCATGTTAAACCTCCAGTTTGTCAAGGATGTTACAAAAAGTTCCAACACAGACTACTCCCATTTTGTCGCACTGCTAAGCTTTATTCCAAGTACAGTACTATCATGCAAGTCATAAGTAACTTTACGCCATTGTGAATGAAGATGTACTGTATCATTCCTTTTCCTGCCTGAGAAATGTAGTGAATGGGAATTAGAAGAACTTTACTGTATTGTAATTGATTAGAAAGAATCATTTTATATAACTACTCCTCCTGAAGGTGACATTACAGTGAAACTTTGAAACTCATGGAAATTAAAGTGATGCAACATAAGGAAAAGTGTAGATTGCTTTATACCATATGTTTGTCAAGCCAGTTAAAAATACATATTTGATGACAATAACCATATAAATGCAAATACATTAACCTGCATACCACATCAGTCCTCTAACCACTCAAACAGTGCCTTTTTTTTTCTTCAGCTCTCAGTCTTTATAGTATCATGATTTTTTTTCCGACCATTTGCAGTAATTTATTATTTTATTGAAGTAATTACTATACATTTATTTATAATTATTTAATTTTTACCATTTTATAAATTTTATATCTTTATACATAAATACATATTCAGCCGTTAATGAAGCCATGATAGTGACTTGTAACATTGTGCTGCTTTGTGTTGCATGGGCAATGCATTGTTTCAGTGGAAGTTGCAAGATGTCAAGGCATCAGTTTGCCACCTCTTGACAGCTCTGTATAGCCATAAGTTTTCGCACTTGAAGTTCGAAGGTGATGCGCCCCAAGCTGAATGTGTTGTACATGTAAAAAAGAGCTTTAATTCATATTAAGGCAATTATGATGCAGTTACCCAGCTTCAGTGTAGCCTATCAATCAAGAGGACTACATATTCCTAAAAACGAGCTGGATTTTATTTGTAGCATAGTTCTCAGATGCTGGCTTTGAAGCTGTAGATCTCTTGGCATCACTTTTGGACCAGAGTAGACACGCTGCTTTTTGCTACTGAATTACTGTATTATAGTTTCAAATTGAACTTAAGGATCATGAAGCATTAAGGAAAGTGATGTGCTCGATTGCTGTAGCATTCAAGTGACAATTTTATAAAAAGTAAAAAAGTAAAGTAAACATATCCCTGTAAGAGGTGGTGAAGGCCCATAGGGTTTGAGATGTTGAGGTTCCCACATTTTCTAGACAATTGGCTCAAAGATGGCGGTAAAGTTGTCAGCCCTACCCACCGGCCGCCCTTTACCCCCAAGAATATTCCTGGTACTCATATCTGTTGGGGACACACAGTAGCATAGTTGGTTGCGGGGCTATGCTACAAGCCGAAAGGTTGCGGGTTCAAGTCCCGATGAGGTCACTGGATTTTTTCAATTGACCTAATCCTTCCAGCCACACTATGGCCCTGGGGTTGACTCAGCCTCTAACAGAAATGAGAACCAGGAATTAATTAAATAATTTTCCTGGGGAGTGAAGCGTGGCCGGCGTGTAAGGCTGACAACCATACCGCCATCTTTGAGCCAATTGTCTAGATAATGTAGGACCCTCAACATCTCACAACTCTATGGACCTTCACGGCCTATTACAGGGATAGCTTTACTTTTTTTACTCATTTATTTCTGTTAGAGGCTCAGTCGACTCCAGGGTCATAGTGCGGGTAGAAGGATTAGGTCAATTGAAAAAAATCCAATGACCTCATCAGGACTTGAACCTGCGACCTTCCGGCTTATAGCAAAATAAACAGAAATTAATTTAGTTGCAAGATCCGAGACTATGAGTTTACCAACAGTACCTAAAGGGGCAGTGAATTGTGTCGTGTTTTCTTATTTCAGCAGCTGCAGACACATCAGGTGACAGTGGCAGGTCCCACCACAATGGAACCCAGCATATTATGACAGAGTCTAATAATGCTGTTAGAGGAGGCGAAAATATTGGCCATTACAAAAATTATCTTTAATCTCATAGAGCAAAATGGCCCCTCAAAGTCATAGTATTTAATGTGAATGGCATTACGAAGCAGTGCTATGAGCTAGTAAACAGCTGCAAGACCTACACGTAAATATGGCTCAGTTTTCAGAGACACATCTGAAACATCGTGAAAGGTTCTATATTCCAGATTATCACTTTTATTGAATTGAGTGCTACCCAGGCAGGAAAGGCGGAACTGCCGTTGCAGTTAGGAAAGGCATCCCCCACAACCACGTGGACCTACCATCTCTTGTCTCAGTAGAAGCGACAGGAGTCTGCATACCTATTGGTAATAGTGAAATTCTACTTGCAGTTGTTTGTAAACCTCCAGGCCTTGCCTGGAAGGAGCGCTTAAGATTTAGACGAAAATCTATTCTAGCAGGTTATCAGAATGCTAAGCACCCATTTTGGAATAGTATAGTTTCAAACCCTTCAGGCGAGAAACTCGTGGACTTATTTGGTTTCAATGAATTTGAAATTTCAGCACCACAATGCCTCATTCATTATTCTCCTGCGGGAAATATTCATGCGCTGGATATTGTGATCCATCAAAACATCACATTGTCAGATGTTATTGTCTCCGATATTGTGGACTCTGATCACCTACCAACAGTATTCCACATACTTGATCATATCAAAATTAGGAATATTTAGGTACCTATTGAGAAATTCACAGATTGGAATCAGTTTAAAGTCCTCGCCTCTTAATTAATATCACCTAAAATTGAAATTGACTCGGGGGGGGGGGGGATGNGTAGAAGGCGATAAACAGCGCTCAACTTTACAACCTCAATTGCTTCGGCATATAGGTTGTCAACAGGTAAAATTACACTTTCGGACATAAACAACGATCTTCCTGGTCTAGAACGTTTGTTAGAACATAAGCAGGGGCTGCGAAAATTGTGGCAAGAAACCAGGGATCCAGCGTGTAAAACAGCAATTAACTGGGCCACAAAGTCAGTCAGTCGAATGACTCGTAAAAAGGTACTTGAACGGTGGGAAACAAAAGATAGGTAACACTGAAGCCACACCTCAGGCTATATGGCCCATTTCGAAATCCCTCCTAAAGAGGGATGGACCAAGGGCTCCAAGTGCTATTCATGGTTCGTCCAGCCTTAAATTTCATCTGTATGAGAAAGCCAACGCAATTGCTGACTGTTTAGAAATTCAGTTCACACCACATCATCTGTGTGATGAAAACCATAAGTGGCGGGTGGAGGCTAGAATTCAAGCTCTACTCAGAGACACAGACTATAGACCCCCTCAGAGAATAAGACCATATGACTTACAGAAATTAATAAATTCTTTGAAATTTTGAAAGGCCTGCAGAATTAATGGCATTCCAAATGAATGCCTCAGGCACCGTCCAAGGCGACCGTTTGTATATTTGACCCATTTATTCAATCATTTCCTTCGGCTGTCCAATTTTCCAAGTCCTTGGAAGGAAGCAAAAGCCATAACCTTACCAACACCTGGTAAGGACACAAAATTCCCTCAAAATTTACGTCATATTAGCCTCCTATTTATCTTTAATTCTGGACTCTAATTCGGAATGTACAAGGAGTTGTATGGCAGTTCACACAGAGTACAGTCTTAATGTTATTATCTGAGCTGCATCTTTTCCCTTTGCAATATAAATTTTTAAGATTCAAAATAAGCGGTACAGCATCATTACTGTGACGTAGGATACGGGGCGTTCATAAATTAAATCATGGTCGACAGAGGGGCATAAGTGAATTTCCGGTTGGACTACAAAGTAGTTCCGAAGGTATCTCAGAGTAACTTTTAATTTATCACTTTACCCATTGTAGAGGCTCTTATGACTGAGTAAATATCTGTATTACGCAGTTCTATACGTGTTTGAAACGTTTAATCTTTAAAAAGAGGCTAAAAGAAGTGAAGAGCAAGAATACTGCATTTCTAGGTTGTGATGTGGCTACTGTAGAGGGTGGGCGCTGCTGTGCGTGAAGTTGTGCCTGGTACATATAGGACGTAATTGAAATTTGGACTTTGTGGTGGAAAATTAATAGGTAAATAGTTAATATTGCAGGTTTACGTTTATGTAAAGCCCTTATTGTGCTTTGAAGGTCAGATAATTTTTAGTTTCGGAGTGTCGCCATCCTGTAGAGGGCTGTTCGACGTTCGCAAGTGAAGGTAGGTTAGTCCTAAACACTGAAACAGCAAAGCCAGATCTGATATTGTAATTAAAATATAACTGTTCATGTTAAATTTCTGCAGAGTATGTAAAGATGTAGGGCTGTATATGTATATTAACCAGGGCATTTAGAGCTGTTAATAAGTATGCAGAGTTGAAGTTCGAATTCGTGTATCTGTGAACTGTCAAGAGTATGTTTCCTGGAAATTCTGGCAGTCGTATTGAAGTCAGCTGATTTCATACGCATTTTAAAGGACACGTTTCTAGTGTGTATTTTGCGTGTTCTGTTGAACTACGGGATCCGAAATAAGAACGAGGTTTGTATTTATGACTTTGAGTTATACTTACGTTTTACAATTTCGCGTTTTTGGAGAGTGGTTATGACTAAGTCGTAGATATTTGCGGTAACCGTTGCCCCGTTCGATGCTCTTGTATATTTGTGTGTGAATTGGACTGCACACACACACACACACACATATGTGTGTGTTTAATCTTATTTTTCATTATATTTGTTTGATTTTTCTTCTTGCCTTGAAAATACGGAGATTTTTCCTTTGTTATGCTGTGACTAGTTGAAGTTGAAGCTGCAAGTAATGCTACTAATAATGACACCCTGTATTATTTATATTTAATTTGGTTTGAACAACATGAAAATTCAGTGTGGGTAAGTATGATGACTTGTGTATGAGTATGAGGTCATCTGTATAAATGTTGTATGTGTGTGTTAGCAGTGCCTTTAATTTAGATGATTACTGTTTTATGGCATTATGCATTGAAATGATTATGTAGGAATTGTTTTGTCATATAAAAGAATTTTCCAATTGAAGGGTTCTGCTATGGCTAATCGCAGTGGAGCCCAACGACCGAATGGAACACAGGGGAAGATTTGCCAGTTTAAGCTAGTCCTACTTGGAGAATCTGCTGTTGGCAAGTCAAGTTTAGTACTGAGGTTTGTGAAGGGACAATTCCATGAGTATCAAGAAAGCACAATAGGAGGTAAGCAAAATTTGTTTGCTTTGTTGGATGGTTGAAGGATGAAGACTAAGGGCTACTAGGCGGTTAGAACCATAATATAGCCTCTTATTGAAGTATGAATGTTCGGCACTACACCAAAATCCAGCATTGGGCTGGATTCTGCAGCAGTTCAGTCATATCCTCATTGCCAAACCTACTTTTAAGGTTGGGTTAGTAGAGTGAGGTAGGTCTCCATTAATATGTTTGCCACAGGCACTATAATGTGGACTAGTGGCAAGTAAAGTAAAGGTATCCCTGTAACAGGCCTTGGAGGCCCATGGGGTTCGATGTTGAAGTTCCAAAATTTTCTAGAAAATTGGCTCATAGATGGCTGCAAGGTTGTGAGCCTTACGCACCGGCCACCCTTTACCCCAAAGAATATTCCTGGTACTCATTTCTGTTAGAGGATGAGTTGACTCCAGGGCCATAGAGCAGCTGGAAGGATTAGGTAAATTGAAAAAATCCACCTTGTCAGGATTCGATCCCATCACCTTCTGGCTTGTAGCATACTGCCTCAACCAACTGCGGTGCCGCATGCAGCAATTATATGTTATATGTATAGGTGCATAGGGTTTAAGGGGCAAGTAGATTTTAGTAGTGCCTTTGTTTCTGGAACCCTGGTCTGAGACAGGCTGAACTGTGTGAATAGAAAGTGCACAAACATGGTTATTACATACATTGAGAGTCTGTTGTGTACTTAATATGGTGCTGTTACTGGAATTCTAACCTGCTGTAGTATCATGACATTGGGTTTCTGAATAGCGCAGTGCTCATGATTTGAAATATACGTATAAGGTAACCCATGTTATGTGGGTCCTTTGTCACCATGACATATCCTCAGGTTGTGGTTGGAGGTGATGGCCTCTGCATATGGAAGGCAGCAGCAAATATATTGAATAAGCAGTCATGGACAGCCGGCAAGGGGTGGCACTCCAGCTTGGGGGTTGGGCACGGGGATAACGAAACTCCTTGCTGCCAAAAAAAAAAGCTTGTTATGAAATGTCACAAAGGGCATTAGACTTGGACAGGTTCTGTGGATAAATGACCTAAGCTAAGGAATATGAACATGAGATTTGGTACATGGAATTTATGGAGTCCGTGAGCCTGTATGGGGCAGGGTCACTCATTGCAGTTATGAAAGAAATATAAAAATATAAGTTACATTGAGTGAGAGTACAGGAGGTCGGGTAGATATGTGGGAACAACAATAACAAATCAAAACCTGATTCAGGAGGAAATTAAGAGGAGATTGAACTCGGGTAATGCTTGCTACCGTTCAGTCCAGAACCTTTTGTCTTCTCATCTGCTGTCCAAAAACATAAGAATTAGAATATAAAAAAACTAATTTTGCCTGTGGTTCTGCATGGGTGTGAAACTTGGTCACTGACATTAAAGGAGGAAGATAGACTGAGGGTATTTAAGAACAGGGTGTTGAAGAGAATATTTGGACCAAAGAGAGATGAAGTGACAGGAGGTTGGAGAAAACTGCATAATGAGGAGCTTTATAACTTGTACTCTTCTTCAAGTATAATTAGAATGATCAAGTGAAGAAGGAAGAGGTGAGCAGGGCATGTAGCACGAATGGGGGAGACAAGGAATGCATACAGGATATTGGTGGGAAAGCCAGAAGGATGGAGACCATTGGGAAGACCAAGGCGTAGGTGTGTGGACAATATTAAAATGGATCTTAGGGAGATAGGAAGGGATGGTATGGATTGGATTAATCTGACTCAATATAGGGACCAGTGGAGGGCTCTTGTGAACACGGTAATGAACCTTCGAGTTCCATAGAATGCTGGGAAATTCTTGAGTAGCTGCAGAATTGGCAGCTCCTCAAGAAGGGCTCAGCTCGATGAGTGAGTAAGTAAGTACAAGAGGTCAGATGGGACATAGGTGGCACCAAACCAGTAGGTGAATGTCATTTTTCTATGGAAAGCAGAACGAGAATCATGAATTAGGCACAGTTTTTTTGTTTTTTGGTGAGAGGATGGCATGCATAGTACTAATAGGTTGATGGTGTGATATCATTGTTCTGGATGTTCATGCCCCAACAGAAGATAAAATTGATAATATGAAGGACAGCCTCTACAAGGAGCTGGAAAATGTATTCGATTAATTCCCTAAATAAATATGAAAATTTTGTTACGAGATTTCAATGCCAAAGTAGGTACAGAAGACATTTTCAAACTAACAGCTGGGAATGAGATATTACACGAGATTAGTAATGATAATGGAGTTGCCATCTGATGGGAAGAAGCACAACCAGATTGACCATATTTTGATAGATAGGAGACAGCATTCAAGTATACTTGATGTCCAGTCATTCAGGGCAGCAGATTGTGATACTGGCCACTGTCTGGTGGTGACAGAATTTAGAGAGAGAACATTGAGGTGGATATTAATAGAGTTTGGGAAACTGTTATGGCACATCCACATTATTCGTACACGTGCTCGTGTGCGCCAAGCTTGTGCTCATCGGAAGACTTGTCTGGCTTTTACATGTGCTCGTAAATCTTTGTCCACACTACTTCAGTTGCTCGCCAGGCTTCGGCGCGTGAGGATCCATATATTTACTCGTAGTGTGTATAGGCTGTAGTTGTATTTTAATTTATTGGCTATAATTTTTAAATTAAAAATTAAAAATTTGCTTGTCTCGTGACTTGTCATATCGTCCACATTACTCGCAAGCATAGCAAGTCACACAACCACAAGTAAGGTGGATGCGCCTTTAGAGAGAATATAAGCATTTGAGCTAAAGAGAGTTGAGGTTGTTATGAGTTCAAGAGGCATAAGCCATGGTTTGACAAAGGATGCTCAAGATTATTAGATCAAAGAAAACAAGCTTAATTGCAGTTGTTATAGGATCCAAGTGAAATAAATGGAGATAATCTGAATAATATAAGACATGAAGGCAGCAGGCATTTCAGGAGTAAAAAGCAGGAATATCTGAAAGAAAGAATTAATGAGCTTGCAAGGAACAGTAAGAACAAGAACATATTAATGTTATATTTTAGCGTCCTGTTACACTGATTCATGTCCATGGTTTATGCTGACCGTCTGCTGAGATCCAGCAGTACAACGCATGCAGTATCATGAGCAAAACACAACACAGAACACGATACACAAATATATGTAGGAAGAATGCTCACATAAAAGAGGATTGGCGTAATTTGCGTGTTTGAGTGCGACATAGGAAGAATCCTGAAAAGTTTTATTATTTAGAATTCATTGTCCTATATGACAGATAGTGATTTTAGTCATTTTAGAATGAAGACATTATGGCATGCAGTACAATAGTTTAACGTGCATAAAGACATCTGAGGATGGCACATTAGTGCTGAAACATGTAGTGTGGAAGTGAAGAATAAGGTGAAAAAGTGTATACACCGTAAGACGGTCAGCATAAACCATGGACAAGAACATATTAATTTAAAAAGGATTACCAGCATAACAGTAACTTTTATTTTACTGCTGGTGAGGTGGGACTAAGTCCCTTGAACTGCGGCCACTTCTGGCCTATTGTACCAGCCCCAGATGATAGGTGAGGGTGATTGTGGAGCAATTGGTGGAATGAAGATTGGTAGGGGAAACCGAAGTACTCGGAGAAGACCTGCCCCTGCACCACTTTGTGCACCACACATCCCACTTGACCAGACCTGGGATCAAACCTGGGCTGCTGCAGTGGGAAGCCAGCGACTAACTGCTTGAGCTATGGAGCGGCCTTAAGCGTAACTTAGTAAAGGATGAAAATGGTGATCTGCTTTCAGGTTCCCACAACATTTTGAATAGGTGGAAGAACCACTTCTCTCTGTAATTGAAGGTACACAGGGTCAGTGGTGTTAGGCAGTTAGAAATACATGCAACTGAGTTATTAGTACCTGATCCTAGTCTTTTTCAGGTTGAAATTGCTATTGAAAAGTTGGAAAAGTCTAAATTGCCAGATAGTAATCAAATTCCGACAGAACTGATTCAAGCAGGAGGTAAAACATCACAGTCTGAGATCCATAAACTCATTAATTCTGTTTGGAATAAGGAAGAATTGCCTGATTAGTGGAAGGAGTCTGTCAGTGTGCCAATTTGCAAGAAGGGTGATAAAACAGACTAGTAATTATCGAGGGGTATCACTGTTATCAGCGTCATACAAAATATTATCCAGTATCCTTCTCTCAAGATTGGGTCCATACTACGACGAACTTATTGGGGACCATCAATGTGGGTTTCAATGTAACAGATAAATTACTGATCAAATTTTTTGCATTTGTCATACACTGGAAAAAAAAGTGAGTAGCTTTAAGCATTAGATTATGGCTTATGTTTTTAATTTCATTGTTGAAATCCTTCTGAACCTGACATGCGACCTTCACTCAGTTGACGAAACTATGAATGACTCCCCTTTTTGTGTGATGCGGGTGGTTGGACTTGAAGTGCAGAGAACGTCCAGTATGAGTATGTTTATGGTACACCTCTGCGGTCAGTTTTGGACCCAACTTCAAAACCAAAACATCCAAGAACAGAAGGGCATCATTAGCTTCAACTTCCCATTGTGACTTAGATGGTAGGCCTAAACAGTAATATCTGAGCCATTTAGCGTGTTTGTGATCAGTTGTATCCAGTGCTGTTTCCTCAGAATGTTCCATAAATATGCTACTGAGTTTCCCATTGCCATACCCACAGAATTTATCCTCAGACTTGAAGCACATGGTTGTTAAACTGCTGTCAAGTAATTCCATTACGTCTGCAACTTGTAAAGGCAAGCTTTTTGTGAAAGAAGGATCCACACTGGTCCTATTTCCTATGTTTTAAGGATTGCATCCTGTTGCATATATACAATGAACATATATATAATTTTTACTGTCAGTGCAACAATACTGTATTATTTATTTATTTATATAGCACGCACTACATATTTTGACCTCAAATAGGTCATCTTCAGGTGCTGCAAGTTTCTCACATGCTGTTACTGAACTGAAACGCTAACATTTCCATTTTTCTAGATAGACTGTAGAAATATGTTTCTATTCTATCATAATCTAGACAAAACTTAGACTAGACTTCGATTAAAATTAACAATAAAATATAATAAAATAAAAATCAACCTAGAAATTGTATGTGATACAGTCGTACGCATAACAATAGGTTAAACCTAATTTAATAATTAGGTGATCCTAAATCCACAATTTGATATTTAAAATTATTTAAAAAATGATCTTCCAAGGTGTTATAAGCTGCTAGTAGCTTCATGTTTGTTACTGCATTGGCTCGCCATGTTAGTATCATAATTCTACTGTTCTCCTAAAGTATAGATCACTCTCCTTTCATGCTGTCGGGAGCCAGTGGTTAATGTGTGATGTTTACATTATGCGGTTCCTTGCACTGCGTGGTTCATACTATAGTAAGCTATTTCACTTAAGGTTTCTAGCTTGTTGTAAGCATGGCAAAAGTATGGTAAGTATGGTAAAAATTATATATGACTTGTAACACTTCTTCCACTGGTACATTGGTGAATAGACTGACAACACCAAAACTTGGAAGGTACTCTTCATTTTGAAGGTTGATATCCTGTGTTTACTTTATGAAGTAGTCTGAGTCCTTCACAAAGGAACCTGTATTGCCATCCAAAGGGTCCTATAAAGGAATACTGCTATGGCATAAGAGGGAGAGCCAGAAGAGCTTGGGAAGTGAGGTTTGTGTACCCTGGGAAGTCCATAGAGGTGAGCTGGTTTACTGTGTTAGGGAGTCAGTTTATATTTCACGGTGGCGGGAAGGTCAGTTTTGTGTTTGGTAAGAAGTTTCCATCTTTTCCTCTCAGTTTGAGATGCAGGATCTTTATGTAGAATTTTATAAACCCCTAATTCTAGTAGACTGGATATTTTTTCCTTGTATGAGGATGTCCATATGAATGTGGCAGATGCTATATCAGCGAAACAAGCAGAGCTTTAGAAGTACACATTCAGGAACACAAATATAACGTGACACAGGGTCTGTTTGAAAAATCAAAATTAGCACAACATGCATACAAGAAAGGCTACAAAATATGTTGGAATGAAGTGAAAGTCTTGGAGATTGAACCAAACACAATATACAAGAAATACAAGGAATCCGCCCACATGTCTGTGATAGGCCATCTGATCAGCCAACCAAGCTTGGACATCTCTCCCATTTGGACTCCCATTATTGCAGCAGCAGTAAAAAAAAGCTACAACTGTCCAGTGTAGATTGAGTGGGATTTTTTTTTCTTGCATTGCTGCCATATGGAGAATTTAGGTCTCTCTAGTGATGATCTCTATCTTGGTACTTCTCTGGTGCAATGCCTCATACATGTAGAGTATTTAATATTTTAATGTTTTGCCACAGCTCTTGCAGATGGTTTGTGCTGTGCTTGGGTTGTATATCCCATGGCATCGCTTTCCACTTTATAGTACTGTGAGAACCTCAGTTCGAACATTCTCAGTTTTCACAGCCCCTGAAAGCCTCAGATCTCATCTCTGTCATAAGAATTTCAGGTTCCATAAGAGGTGGGGCAATTTTTGACCAGATGAGCAGTCAGATTCTGAAGAAGGACCAAGATTTTGAGCAGTAGATATTCTGTAACACTTCTTCATAATATCTGGATAAAGTATCCTGTATCCTGTGTCAAAGAAATATTTGCCAGCTCTGATTTGGAATACATAATATGACCTAACTTCACATCAGATGGTTAGACTCCTGCTCCATATTTGGCAGATATGTGGTTCAAATTTTAGCTCATAGAATTGCTGTCCTGTCTGGAGTTTTTCCATGGCTTTCCTTCATTCCTTCAGGCAGATGCCAGGATAGTACCTTACATTAGTCTTGGTCACTTCCATATCCTTTCCAATTCGTTGTTCACTGATCTGTCATTGGCTGCTGTGTAATCTGACCTATTGAAAATATAAATTGAATCAAAACAATCTAATACAATGTATCGGAATAAGGATGACACCTGCTGTAGCTGCCATCTGTAAACATCACAGCAGAACCATTCCATCACACACACACACACACACACAAACATCCATGCCCTGAGTGGGATTCACACCCACGATCCCGGTTTCCAAGCGAGCGAAGACAGCACATGCCTTAGACCACTCGGCTACCATGACCGGCATTCCATCATATACCTATCTTAAATTTTGTCTTACTACTGCAGAAATAACAAAAGTGAGGTACATCATAGTAATTGTGAAGTCATGTGTTTGTGATAAAGTAAAAGTTTTCAGGTTTACATAAGTTTTGAAGTTGGTGCCAGTAATTAGCTGTTAGCACGTTACCTTTGGTTTGGTGTCTGGGTACTGACATTTTCATTTGATCAGCATTTAGCATTAAAGTGAACTGGAATAAATGTCAGTTAGGTTACATGTCTTCTTCAAGCATGTGTGTGTTGTTGCGTGGCAATTCTATATGCTAAAAAATTACTGGATATCATGTTTTTTAATTGTCTGTTCCCCAAATAAATTTTAGTTGAATAACTTCAGAAATCATGATTGGCCAACTATGATAATGGATTTAAAGAGGGCTTCAATTAGAGGGTCTAAAAACAATAGGTATTTCAGCACTATACAGCATTCATAATGAAATCTTTCTTTTCTTTTGCAGCTGCATTTCTTACACAGACAGTATGCCTCGATGACACTACAGTTAAGTTTGAGATCTGGGACACGGCAGGCCAAGAGAGGTATCATAGTCTTGCTCCAATGTATTACAGAGGAGCCCAAGCGGCCATCGTGGTGTATGATATTACAAACCAGGTACTATCTGTCAGTTGAAACTAGTATTAATTCTTTAAACCTTCACAGCCCAAATGTTTCAGTGATATTTAAAAGGGGAAAACAGGGCACTACTCTACAACAAACAAATATGAAAAATTAAAGAAGAAAAATTGGAAGCTGCTGGTTAAATTGGGAGGGGTTGGTTTTGATGTGGTTACAGTCTGTAACATCTAGAAGATAAAATTATGTGCATGTAGCAGCTATAAACTGACTGGAATGATGCTCTAAAATCTGTTATTTAACTAATCACAGAATGGAAATGTTATCACCTTCAAAGTGGTCCCCTCCCCGACCCCTGCACATCTCCATGTGAATTTTCCACTGTTGGAAGCAATGCTGCATGTCTTTTTCTGACAGCTTCTTCATTATCTCTGTCGCGTTTGCCTTCACTGCATCTACAGACTCAAAAGAGGTTTCTTTTAATGCGAACTTGATCTTTAGAAATAAAGAAATGTCGCATTGGGCTAGGTAACGTGAGTAGGCTGGATGTTCCAACATGGGGATCTTGTGCTTCACCAAAAATGTCTTGACAGACAGTACATTGGGTGCTGGCAGGTTGTCATGGTGAAGAATCCATGAGCCCTTCTTCCACATTTCAGGTCTTTTTCATCTCACCCGTTCATGATGGATTGTCAAAACTTCTTTATAGTAGACCTGGTTAATGGTCTGACCTTCAGGCACGCAGTCAGTGTGAACAAACCCTCGGACATGGAAAAAACGATCATCATCGCTTGGAAAGTTGACATGGTCTTATGTGCTTGTTCATTTCTTGGTGACCTGAGACTCTTCCCATGCATGGATTTCCACTTAGTTTCTGGGTCATACTGAAAAAACATGAGTCATCACAAGTTAATACATTTCCTAAAAAGTTTGGATCATTCTCAATGTCTCAAAGGATGTCAGCACAAATGTTCATTTAAGTTTCCTTTTGCTGAGGAGTGAGGATTCTTGGCACCATCTTCGAGCACATTTTTTTCATGTTAAAATGTCCACGTAAAATCTGTCGAACACTTTCTTTATCAATGTTAGCTAATTTAGCAACTGCTCAAATTCTCATGTAATGATTTTTTCGAACAGTTTCTCCTACTTTTTCAATGTTAGCATCTGTTTTTGATGTGCAAAGCTGACTAGGACATGGATCGTCTTCAGTCTCTCCACTTCCCTGTTTAAATCCTTTGAACCACTCAAAAACTTGAGTACGAGATAGACATTCATCACTGTAAACTTACATCAACAAACTGTATGTTTCTATAGTGAATTTTCCAAATTTTGTGAGGAATTTCTAATTAATACGTTGCTCTACTTTAACACTTAACATAATTCTGACAGATCTCAGATACATGGCCTGCTTCAAACAAAGGCTGCTACCACACTATTGACTGTATGGCCTTGGAAGTCATAGGGTTGATGGAAAGGAGAGGACAGGCCACCCCACTCACTGTTGCCAAGGCCACATGGAGTTGTCAAAATTCAGCCCAGTTATTTTACAGCTGCTCCATGTAAATCTGTAAAAGAGAATTATTATTTCAGCACTCAAAACACCTATTGTAATAATGGTTTCCAAACTGTATCGATGTCCCTCTGATGATGGCCTCTAAGGACTGAAACATGCAAGGGCATGAAGAACTGAAATAAGAAAAATCTTCACCAGTCACACTGGATGGAACTGTTTTATCTTTTTATAAGAAAATTATTAGTTCCATGTGTTTCATTCAGAGTGGCTGCATTATTCCAAATATATAAAGTGTATTGGCTTAGAAAGTTTTTAGTTTGTACATCTCCCTCACTCTTCTGGGTTATATACTTCCATTTACTGCAAAGAAATTTACTGTCATCTAAATATGATGTAGAGAGGAAAACTCCTGTGGTGGGAGAACAGACAACTTTTTTTGTGTTAACAGATCTATAACAATTCTGGATATGGAACTTGTGGGTTTTCCTCATAACCATTTGGGCTGGAGATATTTTATGCAAGATTACTGATTTTGAATATTTGTGTAATGTGCTGTTTGCATATCAGATAGTTGTAGGTAATCTGCAGTGTTCAATTTAGATTATATTGTGACAGGAGAACCCACTGCATAGGGAAGTGTCACTTCCTAGGTAACGCATTGTCAAGACATTGCGCTGACAACCAGCATCTAATGCCAGTCAACGGCTAGGAATTCCTAGGCAATGAATAGACCCACTAACGAATGTTCTAGCTAACACAGGAACCAGAACACTTCAACAAGGTGTTCTCTCAGCAGTACAATAAATCGACTTAAGAGGGTAGATTGTGACAGAGCAGTTCAGATCCGACGAGAGATAAGAGAAGAACCACGAGCAAAGTCTTTCCACTGAGAATAGCAGTGCAAGAGTGCAACCATTGAAGAGGGAATGCAGAGCGATGATGGACTAATCAAGTCGCTTCGTCTGAAAGGGCGTTTTTTGAAAGTGATTGTAATTGTGAGTGCAAACAAGTAATTCATTTAAGTGGAACACATCAGCTGTTTGTCTGTGCCGATGATGTGAATCTCTTGGGTGATAATATAGACACCATAAAGAAAAACACAAACTTTACTTGACTCAAGTAAAGATGTTTCTAGAAGTAAACACAGAGAAAACTAAGTATATGTTGCTGTCTCGTCACCAGAATGCAGGGCAAAATCGTGACATAAAGTCAGGAAACAAATGTTTTGAAAATGTGGCACAGTTTGGATATTTGGGAACGACGGTAACAAATCAAAACCTGATTCAGGAGGAAATTAAGAGGAGACTGAACTCAGGTAATGCTTGCTACCATTCAGTCCAGAACCTTTTGTCTTCTCGTCTGCTGTCCAAAAACATAAAAATTAGAATATACAAAACTATAATTTTGCCTGTGGTTCTGTTTGGGTGTGAAACTTGGTCTCTGACATTAAGGGATGAACATAGACTGAGGGTATTTGAGAACGGTGTTGAGGAGAATATTTGGACCGAAGAGAGACGAAGTGACAGGAGGTTGGAGAAAATTGCATAATGAGGAGCTTCATTAGAATGATCAAGTCAAGGAGGATGAGGTGGGCAGGGCATGTAGCACGAATGGGGAGACAAGGAATGCATGTACGATATTGGTGGGAAAGCCAGAAGGAAGGAGACCACTGGGAAGATCAAGGCATAGGTGGGCGGACAATATTACAGTTGTTCTTAGAGAGATAGGATGGTATGGATTTGATTGATCTGGCACAGGATAGGGACCAGTGGAAGGCTCTTGTGAACATGGTAATGAACCTTCAGGTTCCATAAAATGCTGGGAAATTCTTGAGTAGCTGCAGATTTGGCTTCTCCTCAAGAAGGGCTCAGTTCCATAAGTAAGTAAGTAAACAAGTAATTCTGCAATAAACAGTATCGTCTAAAGCCACAACCTCTTAATTATTTGTGATGGAACTCCAGACACGTGACAGTATTGTTTGAGAATATTCCATGATGATTAATGAAAGAAAACAACATTATGGCATTTAATGGTAAAGAACTGGTCTGAAGTGAATGATTTGTTGACAATAAAATATTCTAACAAGTTACTACCTTCTTACCTAAATTGTAATTAATGTTATGAGAGAAAAAGTGTATCTGAAATTGTAGATTATTAAAATACTTCGAATGCCATAAACCAAATGTATTCAGGACATGAAAGTTTTGACATATACAGCGTGGTTCTGCTGTCATGGCATCTGTACTTGGAAATTTGGGAGGGGTGATCTAATGAGAGAAGATAGTGCAATCATGAGACTCAAATTTAACCCCCCCCCCTCAAAAAGAACATATTTTGTTTGAGGCTGTAGAAAAAATTGTAAATAACACATTGAGTGGATGAGCTTTTGTAGGTATCAGCCCTTCCTCATACTCCCAGCAAAACAATAAATATATCATGAGAGAGAGACTATAAAAAGATGGAAATATTCTCTAATATAAGTAAGCCCAATACTAGGAAGAATGATTTTTGTACATTGATTTTATAGTTTATAAGTAACGCATTGTTGAACAGGCAGGGAATATTAATACACTTTCAATTTCCTCCTACAGGACACATTTGGGAGAGCCAAGACGTGGGTCAAAGAACTTCAGAGGCAAGCATCGCCAAATATTGTTATTGCACTTGCGGGTAATAAAGCAGATTTGGCTAATAAAAGAATGGTGGAACATGATGAGGCTCAAGGTTATGCTGAAGAAAATGGTCTGCTCTTCATGGAAACCTCAGCAAAGACAGCTATGAATGTTAATGATATTTTCTTGGCAATTGGTGAGACCTTAATTTATGGTGAAATATATTCATATTCTGTTCAGATTGTAATATTTTCTTGTCTTATATGTATTCTGAAATTTAGTATGTAATTTCTCTTCTGATAATTTACAAATATTGTATTTTATTAGACTGGTTATACCAGTCACACTTTAAGGAGACTTCTTCTATAGGATCAGCAGTTTTTGAGTAACTGAGAATCTTCCAGTATCATACGATTTAACAGTTGGCCAAGAATTCAAGTATCTGTGATGTAGCAAAGAAGTATACGTAATAACTGTTACACTAATAATGCAGATTAGACATTTTTGAAGTGTGTAATTCCGGTTTTGATTTTATGTCATTAGGGAATTATGTCTTTAGGTTGTACCTCTTTCAGAGTTAGGAACAGAAGGTAAAATTGTATGAGTTAGTCTGATAACAGTTGAAGGAGCTTGGTGCCTTGCTTGATGGAAGTTGCGGTTCGTTTGTGACCAAGGACGGTATTCCTAAATGATCTGTATTCTTCCCTCAAATTGGACAGTAGAGTGAATTTTAAAATGTTTTGGTTTCTCTCTGTTTGCGCGAAAGTAGTAATGATAATGGAGTTAGAGGAGTAAACTTTGCCACATCAAGAAATCTTACTGTCAAAAGTAGTATGTTCCCGCATTTTAAAATCCATAAATTTACTTGGACATCTCCTGATGGGAAGATACACAATAAAATTTACCATATTTTGATAGATGGGAGATGGCATTGAAGTATACTTGCTGTCTGATCATTTAGGGCAGCAGATTGTGATACTGACAACGACCTTGTCGTGGCATGGGTTAGGGAAAGACTTTGCAGTGAGCAAACAAACAACTCACAGAGTTCATATGGAGAGGTTCAATCTTAAGAAATTAGGTCAGGTAGAGGGTAAAGAGCAGTGTTGTGTTGAAATCTCAATTAGATTCACGGCTTTGGAAAACTTTGACACTGAGGTGGATGTTAATAAAGCTTTGGAAACTATTAGAGAGAATATAAAAATGTCAGCCAAAGAGAGTCTAGGTTATTATGAACTGAAGAAGCATAAGCCATGGTTCGATGAAGGATGCTCAACATTGCTAGACCTAAGAAAACAAGCCAAATTGCAGTGGTTACAGGATCTGAGCGAAATAAACAGCTTTAATCTGAACAGTATAAGACGTGAAACCAGCGGGCATTTCAGGAATAAAAAGAGGGAATATCTAAAAGACAAAATTGATGAGCTTGCAATGAACAGTAAGAACCTGTAGGGACCTGTAGAGAGGATTAAATGACTTTGAGAGGGGTCACCAGCCTAGCAGTAACTTAGTGAAGGATGAGAATGGTGATCTGCTTGCAGATTCACGCAAGATTTTGAATAGGTGGAAGAACTGCTTCTCTCAGTTATTGAATGTACATAGGGTCAGTGATGTTAGGCAGACAGAAATACATACAGCTGAGCCGTTAATACCTATCCTACGCCTTATGAGGTTGAAAGTGCCATTGCAAAATTGAAAATGTATAATACGCCAGGTAGTGATCAAATTCTGGCAGAACTTATTCAAGCAGGAGGCGATATATTATGTTCTAAGATCCGTAAGCTAATTACTTCTATTTAGCACAAGGAAAAATTTCCTGATCAGTGGAATGAGTCTATTGTTGTACCAGTTCACAAGAAGGGTGATAAAACTGACTGTAGTAATTATCACTGCTATCAACTTCATAGAAAACTTTATCCAGTATTCCATGCATAGATGAAATTATTGGGGATCATCAGTGTGGGTTTTGACATTACAGATCAACTACAGATCAGATCTCTTGCATTCATCAGATATTGGAGAAAAAATGGGAGTGCAATGAGACAGTACATCAGCTATTTGTAGACTTCAAGAAAGCGTATGATTCAGTTAGGAGGGAAATATTGTGCAATTTTCTGATGTGAGTTAAGGATACCCATGGAACTAGTTACGCTGATTAAAATGTGTTTAAAGAAAACGTATAGGAAAGTCCGTATACGTAAGCCATTGTCTGATAAATTTCCTATCCAGAGTGGTCTAAGACAAGGAGATGCTTTATCGCCAGTACTTTTCAACTTTGCTTTAGAATATGCCAATTGGAAGGTCCAGGAAAACCAGATGGGTCTGAAATTAAATGGGACACATCAGCTGTTGATCTGTGCAGATGATGTGAATCTGCTTGGTGATGATATAGATACCATAAAGAAAAACAAACTTCAATTGACACAAGTAAGGGTGTTTCTAGAAGTAAACACAGAGAAAACTTAAGTATGTTGTTGTCTCATCACCAAAATGCAGGGCAAAATCATGACATAAAGATAGGAAACATATTTTGAACATGTGGCACAGTTCAAATATTTGGGAACAATGATAACAATTCAAAACCTGATTGAGGAGGAAATTAAGAGGCGATTGAACTCAGGTAATGCTTGCTACCATTCAGTCCTGAACCATTTGTCTTCTCGTCTGCTGTCCAAAAACATAAGCATTAGAATATATAAAACTATAATTATGCCTGTGGTTCTGTGTGGGTGTAAAAATTGGTCTCCGACATTAAAGGAGGCAGGTAGACTGAGGGTGTTTGAGATTAGGGTGTCGAGAATATTTGGACCGAAGAGAGATGAAGTGACAGGAGGTTGGAGAAAACTGCATAATGAGGAGCTTCATAACTTGTACTCTTCTCCAAGTATAATTAGAATGATCAAGTCAAGGAGGATGAGGTGGACAGGGCATGTAGCACAAATGGGGGTGAAGAGGAATGTGTATAGGATATTCATGGGAAAGCCAGAAGAAAGGAGACCACTGGAAAGACCAAGGCGTAGGTGGGTGGACAATATTAAAATGGATTGGGATGGTATGGATTTGATTGATCTGGCTCAGGATAGGGACCAGTGGAGGGCTCTTGTGAACACGATAATGAACCTTCAGATTTCATAAAATGCTGGGAAACTCTTGAGTAGATACAGATTTGGCAGCTCCTCAAGAAGGGCTCAGCACCATGAATAAGTAAGTTTTCTCTCCGCTCATACTCATAACTACAGAGAAATATCACAGATATTGTTACTTGAAGATTCATTACTTGGTAAAAGTTGTAATATACAGAAATTAAAGGAAAATAGGCCAAAGATCTTGTAGTCGCAGACTAACAAAATGCAACATTTTAGGAATGTTGTTGGCATATACATAATTGCTATTGTCACTCTTCCTTATCTTAGAATATTGTTGTAAATGCTTGTTTTTTTGTGCTGTTTTATTTTTACAGGTAAGCCTCTATATACGTGGTTAATTCGTGCTACAAGCATACTGTATATCTCGAAACCGCATACATTGAAGTTAGAAACCAATGGTGGAAATTGTAATTCATCCAAGATGTCTTAGAACATTAGTCAGAATACTTATATTTGGCCTTTAAAATATATTTCAATTTTGTATATGTAGATAGAAATATAAAGAATAATGAAGAACAAGTTAAAAAAACAGTAAATACATGAGCTACAAATTGAGTGATAAATGGATATGCTACTTTCTAGAAGAATGTTTGTCAAGCATTGTTTGAACAGATATAGCCTTTTTCTCTTCATACAATTTGTGATTAGTAGCCAATTCCGTTTTCTAGGGTTTGGTGAACTAGCATGCTTCTTTCTGCATTCAGATCTGAAACCATAATTTGTTATTTAACAGTTTCCAAATTTCAGAACATCTGCTTGATTTCCTTTATCAGAATTTCCTTTGAGACATGCAGCTCTCCATCAGATGCAGTCTTTTCTTTCTCGTCATAGGTATGCTGTTGCTCCAATTCTGACATGTGAAATTGTGAATGAGACGGGGAGAGAGAGTGAATCAGTTTCCTGTCTGGTTTACAGTGTAGGCTACATTTAAGTAAATAAAATACATTTGTACCTTGATGCTAATTCTGTGACCCTCTGTTTACTTTGTGTTTAGCCAAAAAGCTCCCAAAGAATGAGCAGGTGACTGGTGCGGGAACCAGTGGTCAAGGTCGGCGATTGGTTGAGTCTGAAGGTCAGCAGAAGGCACCAGGAAATTGCTGCAAGTGATCCGTCTTAATGCTATTTTGGATCTTCTTCAAAACTCATGTGAGTGAGTGTTTACTACCAACAGAACAGAATTAAAGTGTTGGTAAGAGAAAATTCATGTATGGTTTTGAAATATGATGAATAGTGCAGGAGTTTGGCTCCCTGGCCCTGTGCTCTGGTATCTTGCTTAAATTATATTTCTTATGGTATAGAACACAAATATTATACATTCACATTTTAAATATATGAAGGTAGTTCTGAAACTGATGCCTCGAAATTATTTCCTTTGCTACAACTGCAAGTAAGCAAATTAAACATGTGTATCATATACTACAAGTCTTACATTTATTTATGTTTCCACTTTTTCACCACTTCTTTGTATACATATTCCCAACTGGTATACTCAGCCAGCATCCTAGTGTTGTAAAAGTTGCTGTCAGCCTCCTGGAGCCACTTCTTGATTGTCACAATGAGAGCCTTATCATTGGCAGATTGTTTCCTATGAAGGCCATCCTTCCTTGGGACAAACAGGTGAAAGTCTGATGGTACTAGGTCTGGACTCTACAGTGTAACATACCATCAACTTGAATTTTGCAGTGGTCTCCCTCATCATGATGCTGGTATGAGGCATAACATTTTTGTGCTGAAGGAGAAATTTCCCTTCTTTCTCAGTCCTCAGGATAGTGCAGTCGGTATAGCGACTCGCTACTGGCTGAACAGCTGAGGTATCAGAGTTTGAGTCCCAGTAGGTTCAAGAATTTTCACTTCTCCATGTCATCCAGACTGGCTCTGGAGTCCACCCAACCTATCCAATGGATACCAGGGGCTCTTTCCCCATGGGTAAAGTGGTCGCTGCATGAAGTTGATCACTCTCTTCCAACTAGTGCTGCGGTCAAGAAAACGTGGGTCTCTACATCCATTCCCCTATACATCTTCATGGCATAGTGCTTAATTAATTTAAGTACAGGAAGAACTTTACCCTTTTTTACCTCAGTCCTCACTCTTGCAATTTGTGTTTGAATTTATTTCTGCTTCACTCTCATGCTTTCTTACTATCCTTTCTCATTTCTCTTTGTATGTAATTACGTGTTCCTGTTCTGCGTTCATATTCCTAAACTTCTTGTCCTGAATCTTGTCTCTCCAGATTTTTTTTTCTTTTACACTTCCTCATTGCTATGTATGGGGGAAAATCGCCTGTTCATTATGTCTGCTAACCCTCTTCAATCTCCAAACTCCTGTTTTCCTCTTTACTATTTTTTTAAGGCTTCCACTGTACATAATTCTGTATATACCCCATTCCCCCTATTGCTTCTTAAACCGTCATACAGCATTACTGACATTCTTTTTCTTTCTCATAAGTTTTGGAGTGTGTTTCTGCATCAGTGCATATCTACTTATTCAGATATTCCTATTGTTATTTCGTCCATTTTCCCCCAATATCCCTCATGACCTTTTCCAATTTCTGTTTAATTCTCATTGTCTTGTTTTCCCCCTGCTTGCTTTGCTGTCTCAGCAGTCCTGTGGAGCACTTATTAAATTTGTTTGTCCTTGTCTGTCAGCCTGTGTGCTTAAGCAAGAACTGCCAAACAGATTTTCATAAAATATGAAATTGGATAATTTTGATCAAGTTTGCTCACATTCCAGTTTTTGTTCAACTCTGGCAGAACAAATAGGTACTTCACATTAAGACTTTCCTGTATTTCTGCACATATCTCATTTATAACTTGGTGAATGTGTCAGAACAAAAACTGTTTCAAAACAGTTTTTCCATAAATCTTATGGGTTTCAAAATAATTAAACAGAAGGGGACCTGTGTATACATTTTGTAAGTTTTATATTAAACAATGAACATGGTCTGAACACAGGTGAAGAAGATACAGAACACTCAGCGATGGCTTTCCAAAACCGTGAAGATTACAAGAGCCATTTGTGATAATAAATGGCTCTTCCTCCCAGCTGAATGTATATAGGTTTGCAAATATATCATCATCATCATCACTGGCACGACAGTCCTTTGTGAGCCCTGGCCTTTCTCAGGATTGCTCGTCATTCATCCCCATTCGATGCTACATTCCTCCAGTTCTTTATACCAAAAATTCTTATGTCCTGCCACACACATCCTCGGATTTCTGAACAATTTAGTTTTTACAGTGTGAGGTCGTTAGCCTCATGCCCAACCCCCAACCTGGAGGACCAGGGTATCCCTCTGTCTGGCTCCTACCCCTTAACCTGTCCAGCATGGGTGGCCCTACCAGTAGCTATGCTAACGCCGGCATAGCTCTCAGGGTCTTGCAAATATATAAATATGAATATTCAGTTAACACATTATTGATCATGATACTGAAATCTTTTACTGTTCATCATGTAGGTCATTCTACACAAAAATAAACGCTTCAGTTTTTTCAGCATCAAGAATGCAATTAAAATTAAACCAAAAGAAATTAAGTAATACTTATATTTCACAGGATTTCCGCTGTGATGCAAGTTATTCTTTTGTAAAAGGTAGAAAGACACATTTAGAATATTGGCTCTCCTCCTCTCCCTCCTTTGGGGGGAGGGGCAGCAGCACACACTTCAGGTGAAACGGCCAAATATTCCAAAGTTGGACCTGCAGAGATTTGGGCTGCTAGTGAACAGATAAGTCTAAACAAGTTGTTACAAATAAAAGTTTTTTATGTTACAACAGATTTTGGAAATGTTCTTCATTGTTCGACACAAATTCCAAACCCCTTCATAGAAAGTTTATGTTCCCATGTTGAAATTCTCGAAAGTAGAGAACATTTATGATTGGAAATTTTCTTCATCTCAGTTTATGTGAACTGCAGTATCTGTTTTTTGAATTTATACCCCTGTGTAAGTGAAAGCAAGCCATGATTGAAAATAGAATCAGATGAAAGTCACTTTCTCCATAATGAACAGGCTGAAGGATGTGGTTATAAAATTTTACTAAAAGCTGAAAATTACTCATTCTGGTAGGTACTTGTGATATTTTAAATTAGTTAAAGTGTGTAAGGACAAGTCAGCCAAACATGCAGTTATGAACAGTACAACTTAACACTAAGCTTTGAATGATAGTGCAGGTGCAGTGGTACTTCTTTGTCTTTGGCATGATTATCATGGGGATATGAAAATAATGAACGATAATTCTACATATTTGTTGTTAGCACTAACTGAACTGAAGAGTTAAGGATTATAAGAAGCTTACATAACCTCTTCTACAAACATATGACTTTGAATTTGGTGCTGTGATTTATGGGTGAAAGTCTTTGGCACACATTTGCAAGTTGCTGCATATGAATACATGTGAGAATACACTAGTCGGCTCATACTGGAGTAATGGACGAACACAGGATGCAGTCTGAATTTCACTAATACTTCTTAGCATTATGAGTTATTCTAAATGCCACATGCAGGATGAACACAATTGCTTGACATTACATACATAATTGGTTGTGAGAATAAACACATTGATTTATATCAAACTGGAGTAACAGTTGGAGTAACCAATATATGATGCAGTTAAAATCTCACTAATAATTGATGTATGTGCATTATGATATGAGTTGTTCTTACAACAACCGTTGGAATACATGCAATTTTTTTATGGTACATTTATAAGAGATGGTTTTTAGCAACCTCCGTAGTCTAGGAGTAATGTTCCCACCTCATGACTCAAGATACGCGGTTTCAAACCCAGTGGAGGTCGTGGAATTTTTAAGGGCGGAAAAATTCAGGAAACAAGTCCTCCAGGAGGGACTTTAAGCTGTGTGTCCCGTGTCGTAGATTTATGGCATGTAAAAGACCCTCATGTCTCTAGGAGATCTGTGAGAAAAATTAGGCAAAGTTCCCCGCCCAAGTAGTTTCCAATTCCTCTGATAGAGAGGAAGTATCAGGGACCACTGCCAGAGAGGGCCGACCTCGCTGGCAGAACAGGGCTGATAGCGAGTACCAGTACTGGAAGGGCATGGCGACAGTAGAAATTAAAGGGGGACGCACAATAGATTAACGACTAGCCGCAGTGCATGGGGAAACCCACTCCCTCCAATAATAAGAATAACAAGAGATGGTTTTGAAACTACTGTTGTACTTAACTGTAAAGTGCATGTTACACTAGTGGAATATAAACCGTGCTTGAACCTGTTACTGTACCATGCTCATAATGAAAATAACTCTGTTGGTATGGTATGGGTCCTAACATGGTTAGGAGCCATACCATCTTAGTTCCTACTACCCTGACAGTACGCTGATAACACTGGTCTGACCTCATTACATCCATCATACAGTCACAGCAGGAGAGAGAATGGGTTAGTGAGGTCTTTATGGACTGCTAGCTGTAAAATAACTTTAGAAGCAAAACTGTGAGTGCAGTTGGTAAAAAATTAAGAGAAAACATTGGCATTTATGAATCATTAGGATGGATGTTTGTGGAGGATAAAGCTCTCCTTTTATTCAACAATTTTCCATGTGTGTAATGTTAAGAAACTAGTTCCGGTAGTTTTTGTTGCTGTATTGAAGTCCTCATTATAAGTCGACTTGCTCTGCTGTGGTTTTGCTGTAGTTGCAATTAATACACTGCTGCTGCCTTATGTTTCAACTTCAGGAGTTATATTGCAGTTCATGCTGATGATTTCAAATCTGAGTCTGCTGTGCAAAGAATCTGATGAAGTGTGTTCAAGCCTAGAATGTATTTCACCCAGTTCCTCTTGGAATTTGATATGAGACCAAAATTTATTGGACACTTACGATTTACAGCCATGTTAATTCATAAAAAAGAATTAAAACACTTAGAGCTCAAAGAATGTGTATGAAGTCAGTGCTATTTTTGAACATTCTTGAAAGTCTTACAGAGACATCACATCGAACCAGGATTTTAAGTTTCATCTTTACTCTTTTTAAGAAAACAAACTTTAGCATGTGAATGTAAGCATTTTACAGAGGTGCCAGGATTGCATGGATGTGAGCATTTCCAGCATCTCCTGTAATGTAGGTAAGTTTCATTTGTAATTTTTAGGGTGTAGGCTTTTCGATTTTGCTAGCAGTCCGACTCTCCATGTCCTCAGTAGAAGGGAGGAGGGTGAGACTCTTGGCTTAATAATTTGATGAACATGCTGTATAGTGTGCGTATTTCCATTTTCAGTTACATATACTTTATAATTAGAGGGTTCATGAATTTGTAGATTAGGACTGTGGATGTGCTGTCTTGCTGGACCCCAGAATTTTATTTCCTGTAAGGAGATCTCATATGTCTTACAAGGATGTTTTACTATATACATATTGTAGCACTGTTTTAGAAAGTGATTGGGTTTTTGTGTATTTCCAGGTTTGTTCCATTCTTAGCTAGGAGGGCAAGGTTCCGGCTGGCTTTGTGCAGACCAGGCCGGTTATTCGGCATTTTTATTAGCTGGAAACATTCCTGGCAGTCGGAACAAGTAACACCTCCGCATGTGAAATGAACACATTTCCACTATAATCCTCCTATCGATTGCCATGCATAATAACTCGATACATTATATCAGTGGCAATTGTTTATAGGTGAAATAAGTGTAATAATATTAATAATAATGATAATACGCTGTACGTATGTCTGCTTGGGAGTCCTGGAAACATACCAATGTGTTGCAAGTGATGCAGTGAACAGCGCCATGGGACAGAAGCACGAAAACATTTAAAAAACACCTGCTTGTAGATAGCTACTTAGCAGTGATTGGTATTTTCACATGACTCCTTCAGTCAAGTCTCATCAAATTTCCTCTTGAACATGGTAAGTTGCATATTTTAAAGTTCAGAAATGTGTTCCAAAAAGAAATGTTTTGGAATGTGCCAGCGATATGTTAATTCAGTAGATATAGATCTTTTATAGTATTATAGAAATTAACAGTGCAGCTTTAACCTGTTGTCCATCATTCCACATCTTACATATTTTCAAATCTCAGTATGCAGATTTGTCAACATAAATCATGTTTCATAAATTTGAAAGATATATGTATGTTTATTTGGAACATATTTCTGCCCTTGAGATTGGTGAAAATTTATTATTAAAAAGAAATATGCCCATGGTCCAACCTGTTAGCTTGTGTATCATATCAGTATGAGTTTATTATGAAATTATATACCATACCAGTGTAATTAAATTTTCGATCATATTCAGTTTTACTTTAGATGTACAAATAGCATATTAATGTGGTGGCTCTACATTTTCGTTCAAATTGTTTGATTGTTTTCTGAAATAATTGAGGAGCTGTGAGCTCTAATTATAAAGGAAGTAGAAATGTCTTGCATGGGTGTTGAAATTACCCTACGAAGTCATGCACTGTATTATACATAATGGAATGCTTGCTTTACCTTTCTGTAAGCACAGGAACACTAAGATTGTACAGGATAAATCATAAAGAAATAAAGTTAATAGTTTATTGTGTAGTATTTATTGTCACAAACTTGTTGACAGTTAAGCCTGGTTATGGATGTGGTGTTCCCACAACTTGGACTTGAGTTTTTTCTTTCTTTCTTTCTTTCTTTCTTTATAGTTTGCAGTAACAAACGTACCACTTATATTTTAAGAAGTGTAAGCCCTAATGGTACTCTCTGTGTAATATAATCATGACGAGATGAGAACTCGAACATGTACCAGACTAGGAGGAACAAGTGGAAAATATGTTAAATTTTTATTCAGCTATTAGGCCTTTTTAATATGTAGAAGGAACCATTCAGACTTCTGTATGAGATGAATAAAATCAGTTTTCTGTTTGTATGCTGAAGTTGTATGGAGTACAAATGAAAATGTGGCAGGTGGATAAATCATTGCTTATATTTCATGTGGCTTTTCTGAACATGTTAAGGAAAGGACAATCAGCATGTTAATCCCACGTCTTCTTTCCATTATATTTCGTATGTGTGTGAGCGTGCGTGCATTCACACCATGTGACATTCCTTAGTTTGGTACATGCCCTTGTATCTTACTGTGATTGCATGGATGTCAGTATTTGAAGGGGGCAAGAATCTTAAATTCACAAGTTGATATTTAAAAAGTGCAATAATACATTGTTGATATACTTCCGAAAAGTTGTGGGTATTTAAAATTTTCATGAATGCAAAATCGAAACACTATTTCTTTTGTTAAACTATTATAGAGTAATTTATGGGACTTTTATTTGTGGTTTACAAGGTTATGGACATCATGGGTGAGACTTTGCAGTAACAGTGTGGTGTCAAGTTTGCCCCATACATTTGTTTTTTCATAACTGTTTACAAGTTGCAGTTGGCAAGGTAGGATGTTATGGAAGGGACAACATGGTACCACCCTACTGTAATAAGAAAAGACTTGGCCTCATGTCAACTGTATTTAAAATTTATCAAAATTCTGTATAACAAGATTGTAAGAGATATAATAAACAGTATGTGGAGTAAATTATAGATTTATTACTGCATGGTGTAACTTGTATTGCAGCATTTTTAACATTTAAGAAGCAACATTCCCAGTGTGAATTATTGACTGTAAGTACAGGGAAAGTTGTGAATTTGGCCATCCATATATACTAGCCACCTCCCATAATTGGCCATATTTTTGCAGAACTGGCAAAATTATACTTATTTTCACACAGCCACATGCCTTGTACTTGGCCACCTTCTTGCATTTTGTGCTAAGGTTTTGCACATGTGTTTACCTTTCTGTGTTAGCCACACAGAAAAATGGGTTTTAATTCATTCTGTTGTTTAGTTAATATACTGCACTCTGTACTTTTGACTGATCATTAAAATTTGTAAGCATAAACATCTGTTTCACATTCACCTCAGATATTGTTTTGATATATATTCTATCCATTAGTCACAGGGTCAGACACAAAGTATTTCAAGTAATTTAACTGGTGACAAAAGTGAGTAGTATAATTTAATATACACTCAGTATGGACTCAGAAGTGCAAAGTTTTTACACTGCTGTATAAGTTGACTGTTGGTTGCATTTGAATAGACACAGGTTGGCAAGTTAAACAAATTTCACTGTATCATATTCAGTATTCATTCTCAAGAATATGTTATGTGGGTATTCTATGGTTGGCATTGTTTTTGTAATAGTCATTCATTAAATACATACATACATACATACGAAACTTACTACTGACCTTTGAAAATAACAAGGAAGGGTGATCCTCAACTCGCGACACACTTTTGTCCTTTAAGAGTACCAAACAAGGAAATAAAACCATCTAAATGCTGGAATTTGTAGTTTTATCATTTCCACAAATATATTATTTTTATTAGTTCTCCCACTTGTATACATAATAAATTTGGTAAATACCCATAATTCAGTTCTAAAGAAAGTGAAACAACCACTACACTGTTTGGTGGTAATAGTGCTTCAGTATTGGACACTGGATATCAGTGACTTGTTCCAATCATGAAGATGTGTATATATCCACGTGTAAGGAAGCTAATAAAACAAACTACATGTATACTATGAAGAAAGTTGTCTTCTGGGTTTAGGCACCGTGTATTCTTCGTTTTGGCCGACGTTTCGGAGGAACATAGTGCCTCCTAGCCTCCTACTAGCCACACCAGTTCTTCGTCATGTCATTGACGTCAATAGCCTGCACTCAACCTACAGGTTTTTCTTGACTACCGCACTTCCTAGTGCTATTGACCTCAGTTTCCTGTACCCACTGGCCGTCCCCCTCTCCCTTAGTCACACACCATATATGGCCTTATTCGCTCTCCACTGCTCCCATTGGTCCGTTCTCCCTAACCACCCCCCCTGCCTACTTCGTATATAAGTAGCACCTTCCACATCCTATCACCACAGCTACTGCTCTCCGCAGCTATTCAACTGCTCTGAAGAAGGCGCTATGTTCCTCCGAAACGTCGGCCAAAACGAAGAATACACGGTGCCTAAACCCAGAAGACAACTTTCTTCATTGTCATCGCCGTGAAAACCTCAAAACTTATACATGTATACTACTTTAGAAAGGAAAGGGCATTTGCTGATGTTAGGTTCCAGACATGTCAGTGATACATGGTAGTTCTAGATAGTTCATCCATACTGAACTTAATCAGTGTGAAGTATTGGTAAGTATTTATTAACCTCCATTTTGTAAAATTTAAGAATATTATATTTGTTGGAATATTTATGTGTGTATTCTTTAGAGGTTATATACAGAACCATTTTATTGTAAAGCTGGGATTTAGCTTGCTTGTAAGGATTTTCTGTTGAAATTTTGCTGTAGCTTTTCACCTTTCATGTACAATATGCATACTTTTTCTGTTTATAACGATCTCATTGAGTCTTGCCCGGGGGGATGGGGCTCCATCATAATATTGAACTTGGACAGAGCTGCGATCTTCCATGTAAATGCTTGTTGAAACCAGCTTCTGTACCTGTTAGGTTTTTTCAGTTTGGAGAAATGCAAATTTATAATAATTTTTATTTGGTATTAAGAAAACCAAATTTGTTTGATGTCTAAAGATAGTGCTTGTTACCTGCACTAGGACGATGCCAGTAATTTTGTTGGTATGATTTAAGAAGTTTGAACACCGAAGTCCCATGTTTCCCATTTTATATGGTATATTCTGGTGTAAACTGCAGCTTAAGTACAGCTTTATTATTTGTGGGGGGGAAAAGTGTTGAGGTTTTTTGTAATTACAGCAGACTTGGTATAAAGCAGATGTTAGGGGATAACTTTGTTGCCACAGTATAAGTGAGAATGACATTTATCTTGTTCTGCTTTCTTGCTTCACTTATTCTTTGACCCTCAAGATGGAAGCAATATGTTCCTCCTAAACATCAGTTAACTTTCAGCACACTACATCGTGTTACATGCCAGAGTTTAGAACTCTTCAACATTTGTGTAATTTTGGAAACCCTGTTATTATGTATATAGTATTTCTGCAGTGACTAAAATATGTATATTTAAGGTACATTTGAGGCTGTGGCGAAGCGGGTGAAAGGAATGATCAATAAATTTTTCTGTTTGAACAAAATAATTCCAAGGTCGGAGAAAATAGAAACATACAGTGTATTCATAGCAGACTATGAATTTTACTCTCTGTGCTTGCAAGCTATATCAAGGAATGTTGCAATCCTGCCATATACCAAACAAAAAACATTCTGTAGAAATTTTTGTAGCATAGAACTTGTAATCTTACTGGGGACATGATCAAAGCTGTAATACATAGATTGATGGCCTACTGTACAAAAATAGTCAGTAGAATATGCATTTTAATGAAGTAAATGAATTGCACAATTTGATACATGTTGGTTATTTACACCAGTGACTTGTATGAGGTGTGTGAATTGATACCCACATTCTTTGTTTGTCTCTTGTTCATTTTGCTTATACATCTCATGTGCCTTTGGTCTTTGTACCCTTTAAACCATGGGGCACGCGGTAGAGTAGTTGTTAAGGCACTATGCTACAAGTCAGAAGGTCGCGGGTTCAAATAACAGTGAGGTCACTGGATTATTTTCAGTTGACCTAATCCTTCTGGCCGCACTATGGCCCTGGATTCACTCAGCCTCTAACAGAAATGAGTACCAGGAATTAAATAAATAATTTTCCTGGGGAGTAAAGCGTGGCCGGTGCGTAAGGCTGACAACCTTACCGCCATCTTTGAGCCCATTGTCTAGATAATGTGGGACCCTCAACTTCTCACAACCCTATGGGCCTTCATGGCCTGTTTCAGGGATAGCTTTACTTTTTTTACTTTTACTTTACCCTTTAAACCATTTTTACTGGTATCAATTGTATCAAGGATAAACATTTGTGATGTACATTATCCACAGGAGGTAACCTTTACTGATTTTGAGATATAGTAATGCTTCTGATTTGTATTCATAACATCATCTTCATCGGGACAGACAGTCATGAGGGTCATGAGGTTTCTTATAATTTTCCTCAGTCTCAACTGTTCTGTGTTACAGAGCCAGGGCTGTAGGTAGTGTCATTAAATAAACTATAAAAATACCTAGGTAAATAAAATTTATTAGATATTCTAGTGACAGGGGCACACTGTATCATAGTTGGTTGAGGCACTATGCTGCAAGCCGAGAAGGTCACGGATTCAAGTCATGATGTGGATTTTTTCAGTTTACCTAATCCTTCCAGATGCACTATGGCCCTGGGGTCAACTCAGGCTCTATAAATGAATACCAGGAATGTTCCTGGGGGGTGAAGAGTGGCTGGCGCATAAGGCTGACAAATTTACCATCTGTGAGCTAATTATCTAGAGAAAATGTGGGAGCCTCAACGTCTCACAACCCAATGGCCCTTCCCAGCCTGTTAGAGGGATAGCTTTTCTTTTAATTATAGTGATTCCAAAGAGTATCACACCACACATAACCCATTGTATCCTTTCAGGCATAAATGATCTGTGGCTTATTTCACAAAGGACTCTGGGAGTCCAAATGGTTTATATTTTAACTGCAGCTACTTTTATTTGCCTATGTTGTAATTTCATTTCCACTCTAAGGCCGCGCCATAGCTCAAGCGGTTAGTCCCCTGCCAATCTTCATTCCGCAAATTGCTCCACAATTACCCTCACCTATCATTGGGCTGGTACAATAGGCCAGAAGTGGCCACAGTACAAGGGACTTAGTCCCCCCCCCCATTAGCAATAAAAAAAAAAATTATTTCCATCCATGTGTCCTACACAGTATTCTGAGGATATTCCATGCCGGACTCTTACGTAAAAGATCAGTATGAAATCTATATCATTTGTAGAACTTTGGATCTTTTTTCAAGTGGGGTGGGACTAAGTCCCTTGTTATAAAAGGAAACAGAAACTTTACAATGAAGTTACTATCCCAGCAGATTCACATGAACATGATATGTAATGAGGGCTAAATGAAAATAATCTGTCTGGACATTTACAACCTGGAATTGTAAGGACAGCACCAGCTAGCAGCTTCCACTTCCTGTTTCTCTTTCTAGCAAAAACTGCTTGTGTGTCTGATGTTTATACTTAAATTGTGAAACATATAATTCCTGAGCAAGTATTTTGAACAAAGTTAATGACTACATTACATTTAAGTTCAAGGTCTTGTGTAACAATTTGTAATATGTTAGTTTATATGGTGATGATTAGTTAGCCCCCACCTAAACAACCAAGCAGGACCACTCTTTGTTGGCTGTCTGCAAGTGCTTATTGAGTATAGTTGTAGCTGCCATGATATCTTAGCATGGTGACTAGTTTGCAGGCTTGACATATGGGGAATCAGGGTTCAATTCAAGACAGGGACAGAAATTCTTTTGCACTGCATTCAGATTAGCCCTAAGGACACCTAACCTCATATCCAGTGAGTACCAGGGTTCTTTCCCTGCTGATAAAAGCAGCTAATGTGAAAGTGACCACTGACTTCCATCTAATACTGAGTCCATTTTCCCATATATCTTCATATCATGGCATGATATTAAGCACAGAAATAACTATACCTTTTATTTCCCTCCTCCATAACATGACATGACATACCTCCCCTTCTGCAAGGATAGAGTACCCATTCGAAGGATCAAGAGTTATTCTTTTTAATTCTGACCTGGCATCTACAACTGCGTTGTTCCATATCACTTATTCCTCTTGGGTGCATTTTTTCAGGGATCTTCTCTTGCATCCTACTTTGTGCACTGCTTCCAATTTAATTAATTTTTCTTTCATCAAATAATTATAATTTGAGTCTGTTGGTACAGTGACAAGCTATGGGATGGATAGTCGAGGAATAGGGGTTTGATTTCTGGCAAGGGAGAGAGATATTTCTTTTTCCATATTGTCCAGACTGGTTCTGTACCCAGCCCATCTTCCTATACAGTGGGTACTAGGCCCTAGCACCCATCGGAATGGAACATAGTAGTTGGGGGTTCTTTTCCCTGGGGTAGGCCTATACCCATTGGAATACGACCCCTAGTAGTTAGGGGTTCTTTCCCTGGGGTAAATTAGCTGGGGAATGCAGCAGACGCTTCCCTCCATATAGTGGTGAGAGCAAGAATATATGGATCTATACCACCACTAGATTATAAATCTTCTTAGCATGCTGCATAATTAATTAAGACTGAGGACAGCTTTGCCTTTACTTGTCTCCTTCACATGTGTTCATTTGTATTGCTGTATCTGTTGCAGAGGATAAAATTGATGGTGTGAAGGACACTTTCTGTGAGGAACTAGAATGTGTATCTGATAAATTCCCTAAATGCCATATGAAAAATTTATTGGATTTAGTATGTAGGGAAGACATTTTCAAACCAACAATTTAGGATGAAAGTTTACATAAAATTAGTAAAGATAATGGAGTTAGGGCACTAAAATTTGCCACATCCAAAAATCTGGTTGTCAAAAGTTCGATGTTCGCACATCATAACATTCACAGATTTACATGGACATCTCTTGATGGGAAGACTCAGCATCAGATTAAGCATATTTTGATAAGCGATGGCATTCAAGTGCACTTAATATCCAGTCGTTCAGGGGAGCAGACTATGATACTGACCGCTATCTGTTGGTGGCAAAAGTTGGGGAGAGACTGCCGTTGATTAAAGAAGCACCACACAATTTTCATATGGAGAGGTTAAATCTCAAGAAATGAAATGAGCAGGTTGGTTGGTTGGTTGGTTGGTTTCCAATGGCCGACATTGGGATCATTTAACCCATTTTGCTTCTTGCTTCCCAAAAGAGAGCGCTGAAGTTCTTGCTTTGTTGCATCTTGAAGAAGTTTGCGCTTTTCTTTTTGGAAACTGTTACAGAAAATACAAAATTTCAGTCAAAGAAAGTCGAAGTTATTATGAATTGAAGAAGCATAAGACATGGTTCCACTAAGGATGCTCAAACTTAGTAGATCAAAGGAAACAAGCCAAATTACAATGGATACAGGATCCAAGCAAAAGAAATGGGAATAGCCTAAACAATATAAGACGTTAAGCTAGGAGGCAGTTCAGGAGTAACAAAAGGGGATGTTGGAAAGACAAAAATGGCAAACCAGCAATGGACAGTATGAACAAGAACAAATGAATTTAAGAAGGGTTACTAGCCTGAACGTAACTTAGTAATGGATGAGACTGCTGAGCTGCTCGCAGATTCCCACAACATTTTGAACAGGCGGAAGAACCGCTTCTTTCAGTAACTGAATGTAGATTGTGCCAGGGCTGTTAGGCAGACAGAAATCCATACAGCTAAGCCTTTAGTTACTCGATCATAGTAATTTTGAGGTTGAAATGGCTACTGGAAATTTGAAGAAGTATAATTTGCCAGATAGTGATAACATTCTGGAAGAACTATTATCACTGTTGTCAGCTTAATACAAAATATTCCATATGTAGATGAAATTATTTGGGATTGTCAATATGGGCTTAGACACAATATATCAATTACTGATCAGGTTTTTAGAATTTGTCAGACACTGAACAAAAAATGGGAGTACAATCAGAGAGTACATGGGGCTATTTGTAGACTTGAAGAAAGCCTATGATTTAGTTGGAATCAAAGTATTGTACAGTTTTATCATAGAATGTGGTGTACTCATGAAACTAGTTAGGCTGATTAAAATGTGTTTAAATGAAACCTATGGCAAAGTCCACTGAGGCTAACATTTGTCTGATATGTTTCTTACCCAAAATGGTCTAAAACAAAGAGATTCCTTAACGCCATTACTTTTCAAAAATGCAGTATAATATACCATTATGAAGGTCTGGGAAAGCCAGGTAAGGCTGAAATCAAATGAGATGCATGAGCTGCTTGTAAATGCAGGAGCCCATGTTAGTTGCCACAGTTTCCTTAACCTCCGCTTATGTTTCAGCCAACTCTCAGACAAGGTAAGTCATTATTAAAGTACAAGAGTAAAATTTTGCATGTTGATAGCCAGTACACCAATACGCCGAAGATATAACACTCTGAGGCCTGTAGTCTGCAAACGAACTATGCCGACCAAGCGACCACCGCTTGTCCGCGAAGTTAGTGCCAACTTGGCCGCACCATAGCTCAAGAGGTTAGTCGCTGGCTTCCCAATGCGGCGACCTGGGTTGGATCCCGGATCTGGTCAAGTGGGATTTGTGGTGGAAAAAGTGGCGCTGGGACTGGTTTTCTCCGAGTACTTCGGTCTCCCCTGCCAATCTTCATTCCACCAAATTTTCCATCATCATAATCACCCGGGGCAGGCTACAGTAGGTCAAGCAGTGGACACCGTGCCAAGAGAACCCAGCTGGACTCCACCCCCACTAAGTGAATAGTGCCAAATTTTTCGGAAAGAGGGTGTCACCGTGACACCCTCTGTCCGAAAAAGATCGCGTGACAGTGTGATCCCCAAGGCCGTTAATCTCTGTTTTCTAGACCGGAGCCCCTATTTCCTTGAATTATCGCCTCAGTTATCCTCACGAGGCTATGAAAATCTGGTAGTGCTGGGAATCGAACCCGGGACATCTGGATTTGTACGCAGGAACTCTGGCCGCTCGACCACATACTCGGTCGTTGCCGAAGATATAAAGGCAGTAAAATCGCGGGCTGTTTTATCGGCTACTTCCCTGGAGTTGATTTGGATTCTAGGTGAAATTAATTCACCATTTCTTGCAGGAGAGTACTGAGTAGGACATTGTGGTGCCTTACAAGCTGGATGCAGCCCCATAACAAAATTACATATTAATGTCACCATTATGACAATTATGACTAAAGTCGAAGAAAGCAGTCTTCTGGGATTTGGCACCGTGTATAAGTGGTGTTAACCGACGTTTCGGAGAACGGTAAAAGCCGTTCTCACGGTCTTGTCGCTTGCAGATTTCTTATACTTTTTCTTCTACCCTGAAGATGGAGGCGATACGTTCCTCCGAAACGTCGGTTAACACCACTTATACACGGTGCCAAACCCCAGAAGACTGCTTTCTTCATAGTCACCGCCGTGAAAGCCTCAAATCTTACATGACTAAAGTCGTTATAAGAGATCCGTGCTCTTGGAGCTCTTGGACCTCTTGGACGTGGATAAGGGCGACAAGGGCGAATAGAGAGGGCAGTGAACTCAGTGTACGCTTCGATATGTCGAATGTCAGCAAAAATGGTGAAGTGGGAAAGTTGAAGAAAGTATTTATGTTATCATTTTTGTTGTGCCAGGAGTTCTTACTCATGATATATTACTTTTTTTGGTACGAAAGTAAAATATAAAATTCTGTAAATATTTAATCATGCCTCGTAACACCAAAGAAAACGGAACTGTGACTGGGAATGGATGCAGTTGCCAAGCAATGGACGAAAGTGGAACAGACTGTGGAGGCTCTAAAACTCTTACAATTTTGAATGAACTGAATGCGCTGCATGAAGATCGGTTCCGGGAGATAGATGAAAAAGTAGACGCAGACGGTACAGAGGTAAACTAGTAAACTTGCGTTTCAAATTAAAAATTGACTGTTAAGGTTAGGTTGTATGCAAGAGTTAGGATGATGCTGTATGACCAACGGAGGTGAGACCCGCTGTAGGAGTCAGGGTAACAAAGGTAAAGTTGCCCCTCTGCCTAACTAACAAAGCACTACGCCATGAAGGCGTATGGGGAGTGAATGTATAGATCCACATTTTCTTCACTTCACTACTAGTTGGAGGTGAGTGGTCAACTTCACGCCCAGGCCGCTTTACCTCCGGGAAAGAGTCCCTAGTACTCACTGTATAGGAGGTTGGGTGGATCCCAGAGCCAGTCTGGACGACATGGAGAAGTGAAAATTCTTGCCCCCACTATGACTTGAACTCTGACCTCTCAGTCGTCCATCACATAGCCAGTCACTACACCGACTGCGCTATCCCAGCATGGGTCAAGGTTACTCGTGTGTGTGTGTGTGTGTTATGCAGTTTGGAGAATCGCTGCAACCCCCCCACCTCCAGAGAGGAAATGAGAGTATGTGATAAGCAGAGCTGCCAGATTGTGCTCACTTTGAATGGTTTTTACTGCACTACAAGTTGTCATGCCCACCATGTGTTTTGGTTGCAGTTTTATCAATGAATGATCACAACAGTATTTTAAAAATAACTTCCTTCCCAAGTGTGAACAAAATTATTTAACATGTTAATGCTTCATCTTGACTATCAGCCAATTACATTAAACTTCAAGGTGATGACCAATAGAAGAAGAGGTGGGATGGGGTGGCTTAGCAGAGAGGACAGAGATTTCTCTTCCCAAGAGAAAGGGAGGAAATTGAATTCCCACTTCTAGTTCTTATTTCTGGGTTTTTAGAGAAACACGTGAAATGTGAGTAAGACTTACTTTAATCGCAATAGGAAACTGTTTTAATTGGGAGAGTGTGTCATCAGAGTTGGCCTTGATCAGTGTAGCATCACTGGGAATGAAGCAGGGAAATATTAATATAGTCTTCCTTGCTTTGAGAACCATGACATTTTATTAATTTTCAGGCTTCAGGAAGGTTGGCATTTTTGCCAGGTGTAATGCTTGGCCTTGAACTTTTCCTCTCTAAGGGGTTATAGTAAAGGGAGTGGTGATCTCCCTGGTCACATGGCTTATTTGTGTTAGAACTTCATTTTTTCTCTCTCTCCTCTTGCTCCCACTTTCGAACAGTTTCATGATCATTTTTACAGACAGTAGGACTCCTTGGACGAGTGATCAGCTCGTCGGAAGGTCTCTACCTAAACACGGGGCAACACAAACCCACAATAAATGCACACACACACACAAAACATCCATGCCTTATGCATGGAAGATGCATGAATTTGGTATGTAGCTTCCAGTTTGATGGTGATAACTAATGAGACACACGCCATAGCTTGGGTGGTTAGTTGCTGGCTTCCAATTGCAACAGCCTGGATTCTATCCTGGATCAGGTCATATGGGATTTGTAGTGGACAGAGAGGCACAAGGGCAGGTTATCTCAAGTTCTTCAGTTTCTGTTGCCAGTTCTCATTCCACCAATTGCTCCACATATGTTAATCATCCTATCATTGATGCTATATAGTTTTGACACTGATACCATCATTAAAGAATGAAAGTTATCAGCACAAGATTTGTAGGACTGGAATTCTGCAATAAGTAGTCTTCATGACTTGTGGCCAGAATTCAACGTTTTTGCTCTAACAGTATCATCGCCAGTTTGAGGAGTGATGTGTTAAATTAAACACGACCTCCTTGTGTGCTAACATTCTCTTACATTTTCTGTTATTGCTTATGTCTGTAGAACAGCTTCTGTCTTGACCCCAGAAGATGAGGTATCATTGATATCAGGTTTTTAGGTTAGGAGTATAGAGTATCACCATCAGAGTATTTCTTGAATATTTGAATATTTGTAAGTACTTCAAATAAATATTCTTGAAAGTATTCCATGATTCACTGTAGAGGTTGTGGTCTACATTTTGGAATGCAACCATTCCAGAATTGTTTTATACGTTCTGCACTTCAACATTTTTGAAACTAGACAGACACAATAGATAAATGAGGATATATATATATATATATTTTATTGCTAGTGGGGTGGGACTAAGTCCCTTGTATTGCGGCCACTTCTGGCCTATTTTACCAGCCCCAGATGGTAGGTGAGGGTGATTGTGGAGCAATTGGTGGAATGAAGATTGGCATGGGGAAACCGAAGTACTCGGAAAAAACCTGCCCCAGCGCCACTTTGTCCACCACTTGACCAGACCCAGGATCGAACCCAGGCCCCTGGCCACTGCAGTGGAAAGCCAGCAATCAACTGCTTGAGCTATGGTGCGGCCAAATGAGGATATAACAGTTCACACACATAGTCCTGTGACATTTCTTGCAGATCAAACTTAGATTTCTGCAATCCAGGGTCTCGGATCTAGAAGAAATAAATGCCATGCTTGTTCAGATAGTGGAACAATTGGAGCAGGAAACAGCTGATCGTGTGTCTTTACTTCAAGAAGGCTTGCAGCGCTCATCTCGGGCAGCTCATGCATACATGACAAAGGTGGATGATTGGGATAGGGATGTTACCATAGAAAAGGTATATTCCAGAGTATATGGTTATTTATTTTGTAATGAAGAATAAGAAGTTTGAGAATGTTTGGGCTGTACTGTATTTTTTATAAAACTTGTCAAAAATTTTGATCCTTTCATTGTGGCCATCATCAGAGTTACAGTAAAGAAATTGCTCTTTACAGAGAATAGTGTTGCTGTGGTGTGATAGGCCACTGCCTTCTGCTCCATTGAATGTTATTAGGTTTCCACCATATTTGTCAACTTATGTCTTATTAACCTTCTATGAATAATCACTTGATTAATCAATAAATAAATCTGTTAAAAGGAGTAATCATTGTTATGAAAGACTAATATGCCATTTAGGTATTATTGGAAGTATGAAGCTACAAAATAAATTGATAATTCAGTAACAGAGAACACAATTATGGCTGAAGATGAGGTTAAAAGTTTTGCATTTCTAATTTACAAATGTGGTTTAAGCAGTAAAATGATTCTAAACCTACTTGTTTCATCATATTCATGTAGCCCATAATGCCACCTTCATAACAAAACTTGATGTTGACATTGTTTTTTGACAAAGATTTACACTTTGACAAGCAGGATTTTGTACATTTACATCTCGTATATGCTGGATGTGTACCAGCTTCTGTGAGTGTGCAGAATTGTAATGTGTCAGAGTAATCCTTCAGTTACCATGTGATTTGTGTACCAGTTACAGGGGATTATATTTACAGAATGTGTGATTAGCTTGTATAAGTGCCATAGTTTTGTATAAATCTTGACTGCTTTATTGAATGTGTTGAAAATTAAATTGTTGTACAATTTTGAACACAAAACATGACACAAACCAGACATTCTGGCTGTTCATACTGTCATGTGTAGGTGTAAATGTAGATGGGGTTTGGATTGGTGAATAGATTTATTGACCACTTACAGATCATAACTACAAATATCAATAACACTATCATCATTTTCACTCTTTACACTTCACTAGAGCACACAGTCTAGTGTTGTCAGTCTGTTGATAGATGTTTCCTGGTAACACCTCCAGCAATGGCTATTCCTCTGCCTTCAGGCTCAAGTCCATTCTTCACAGACTCCCGTACAGAACTAACTAAGCTCTTACCGTGTGCCATGCTTATAACATCTCAGCATGGATTTGTTGCTGCCGAAATGTGTTTAACAAGCTGTTGCACACAAACACCCCTGGTATAACTGCCCATCTTGCAGTCATTGTATAGCAACATCTCTACACACTTCAATACAGACACAGCATAACTTATGAAATTAGGATTGTGAAATTAGCATCTCATTGAAGAGTGCTGGTAGCTGAGGCCAGGGACAGTTTGGGAACCCAGAAGAAGAGGATCATCTGCTGTTGGAAGCCACTACCAAGCAATGGCTAATTAAGACTGTAACAGACGTAGAAGACGTAATGTGTCCTATAGTGATTTGTGAAGTGTGTAGAACAGTGAGAGCATAATACTATCTTATACACGTAGTTACAAGTTGTAAGAGTTTGTTAAATTCGATTACCAATCTAAACTCCGTCTATAGTCACTAAAATCGTTCCTTCTCTGCACATTACTTAGTTAATGCATTCATATTTGTTTTATATTATTCTCATATGTGTTTCTTTGTTATAAAATGAGATTTTTAATAATTTTTGTAGTAAATAAATTTGAGGGCTTGTTCTTATCACTGGAAGGAACAGCATTTATAACATATTACAATTTATGTCCATGGTTATTACCACATTGACTGTCAGGGTTTTCTCAGTAAGTTTCACGTGCACAGAATGAAGAAGTGCTGATGGATACACAAGTAAAAAACCTGAAGAATGACATCACCAACCTCTTAGAAGTAATTCGGCGATTAAGAGAGGAACACAGATGGGATACCACTGGACTCACTTTCACTGAAGTCACAGCTGATGATATTTTTGGCACTCAGGATCTGATTTCAGGGTAATTAAATAACGTTCTTTACTTAGGTTAATGTTTTAGTCAGCATTTTCAAACTTCTAATGTTGATAACTACTACAAGATATTACTTTGTGTTGTACTTGCAGACATTTTGGCGGGGCTGTTCCAGATGACCAGGTATCTAGAACTGTTAACAGTTTCTGTGAAAATTACCCAGGCTTCATACCCAAATGAAGTTCCTCATCCAGATCCAGCATTTTATCAATGATTGTTCAAGATATCACTTGATGAGTATGCTTTTTAGAAAGAACATGAAGCATCATTTTGAATTGTGCAGATAATGCAGATTAATTTATAATGCTCAATTAATTACATTATTTGAAAATATATATGTAATTCATATATAATTCATTAATTATAATTCATTTTTGGAGTTGATTCTCAGTCACACTGGAGGTCAGGCATATTTTATCAGCCCTAGGATGGGAGTAAACAATAAAACTTATCATGCCAGAATTGGCAGATTTATGTCAAATAACAAAGTGAAGAGTGCCTTGTTTAAGGAGGGGCAGGAAAGTTCTGCAAAAACTTTAGTTTATGGGGTTATTTATTATGGTGTCGTTAATGATTGACAGAGTGCAACCAACCTGGTCTGCAAGTCAAGCGGTTTAAGGTTGACCAGATTTTGGCATACATTAAGAGCAACGAGAAAGAAGGTGAGACAATGAAGCAGGTGTTAAGGACAGATAAACCAGAAATCTCTGAAATGGGGAAGGAACATATATATCCTTGGGTCCAAATTTGACCAGTTGAATGAGATGGTAATTAATGTGGAAGATTATGGTCAAATTAAGTAGGTTGTTAGAGATTGTGAAATGGGGTATCGGGAACTGGAAAACAAATTGTGACAGGAGGATGAGGCACTAAGGAAAATTAGCGTATTTATTTTTGGATTGGAAGAGAGAGAGAGAGAGAGAAAGGAAAGAAGAAAGTCTGAGACTCTGGCTGTGGTGATCAGGTGTCTGAGCAGTACTACAGTGAGCAGTGATATTGGCTATGTAGCCAGGTTAGAAGGAAGAAGAGGGAAGCATAAAGTTTTGTTAAATTTACATCATTTTTTAAGAAATTATATTTGTTGAAAAATATGAGAAACTTATGTAAGATTTGAGGCACACGGTGCCAAATCCCAGAAGACTGCTTTCTTCATGAGAAACTTAGATTGTACCAAGATTAAAGCAGAAGGCAGTAGTGATGGCCATGATGACAGTGATGTCACCAGTAATGGAGGAAATAGAACAATAATCAGAGGGAGAAATGATTACGAAAGGTCTGTGAATGAGTCAAAGAGAGTGGGTCAGCCAACAGGGAGGAACATTGTTGTCACACAACCTGGTAATCGAGGTGAAGCTCAAAACTGCAAGACAGCAATTGAAGCATGGAATTTACTCTTTGTAGACAGTATTCTGCAGAAAGTTGTGCTTTACAGAAGTGAAGAGATTGCCAAGAGAACAGCTACATATAAGATAGTGGCAAGACAGCTGTGCACAATCTAAGAGCATTCATTGGTCCGTTGTATTTGGCTGGACATGTGAATATGAAAGAGCTTTGGAGTGAAGTTCTTGGCTCACCAGCATTTAGGGCATCAGTGAGTATAACTCATTTTAAGTTCCTTATATTCAGTTCAACAAGACAACCAAAGCAGAATGAAAAGGAAATGATGGATTTTCAGCTATTAGAGAAATTTGGGATGTGGCAGTTGTGACTTGTAAAATGTATTACACACCTTCTGTTTATTGTACAATCCATGTTAATGAATTATGCTTGATTTGTCAGTGCCTTCTACTTTGAATTAACATTAGGAATTGAAGTAATTTTTAGAATATAAAGTAAAATTATTTGATTCAAGGTTTAGTGACATTAAGGGAGTGGAGCGAAGAAGAAGGATTTGAAATGTGGTCATTCCATTTGGGATTTATGTTGCAAGTTTTCTCGGCAGTTTCTTGTTTTCCTTCTCATTCATTCTATTAATCACTTATTTTTCAATCGGTCAAGTCAGGATGATTGTTAGTCATAGATTATGTTCCTCATCTTATTCATTTTCTCTTTAAAATTAATACTCAAAACAAACTGTGTTTGAGTCATTTGATATTCTTGTCTGCAGTCATGTATAAAACATATGAAATATTTTGTCTCTTATGCTGCACATATTTGGAAACTGAACAGTACATGTAATACCATGTGAGTTTAATGGTAGAAATCATTCTTATGGTATCATTGTTTGGTTTAGGATAAAGATGCCATCATTGCAGATCTTAAGGCTGAGCTCTTGAGCCTGCACTGTAAGCTGGACCGATGTTGGGATGAGAAAGGAAGGTTAGTGTTCAATTCACGAACTTTTAACTTTTAACAATTAAATTAGATTAATAATTTTAACCCGTGTTTTATAAAAAGGACTCGATATATTAGTGAGTGTAAGTCTGGAAAAGATATAAGGTCGAATGAGTGAAAAGTGAATGTGACTGCGTGTAATTATACAGCCGTGTTCATACACCTGAAGATGACCTCTTGAGGTCGAAATATGTAGTGATAATAAAAACGTGTTGTGTAGTTGGTAAATTCACTCCACTATTGATTAAACACACAACAGGATGCAAGAAACGATTAAAAAGACCTTTTTAATGTTTAAATAACAGTCTCAAAGAAACAGCACATGAAAGATACTGAAAACTACAGTTTATCCACTTGAAGGACTTAGCAGTTTATATTGTTAATTGCTAACCCTAATTTCATTCCTACTTACAGAACTACTGTCATAATAAGTGTTAATTGAGCGGCCTCCGTAGTCTAGGGGTAACGTTCTCACTTCATGACTCAAGGTACGCAGGTTCAAACCCGGCGGAGGTCGTGGAATTTTTAAGGGCGGAAAAATTCAGGGAACAAGTCGTCCGGGAGGGACTTTAAGCTGCGGGTCCTGTGTTGTAGCTTTATGGCACGTAAAAGAACCTCATGCATCAAGGAGGCCTCTGAGCCAAATTATAACGGACATTTCCCGCCCAACAATACTCTCTAGCGCCTCTGGTAGATGGGGGAAGCATCTAGATACCGCTGAGCCAGTAGAGGCCGAACTCGCTGGCTGAGTCGGGACTGATGGCAAGCACCAGTATAGGTAGGGTATAGAGACTGGTAGAATATCACGGGGACGTACAATAGACCACTGGTCGCGATGCATGGGGAAACCCACCCCCTCCAATAATAATAATAATAATAATAATAATAAGTGTTAATTGACAAATTGAAAATATATTGGAGTGTGTCAACTAAATAGAGTTTTACTTTTCCGTTATGCGCAGAATCATGTTAATGCTTACTATTCAAAATTTTTAAGTAGTAAAGAAATTTATTGAGGTAGTTTATATTGGAAAATGCTGTTTACTCCATTCTTTTTATAACTTTCTTCTGTGTCATGATTTTTTTTTGTGCCAGTGTACGGGAGTCAGAATGTTTAGAATAAATGTTGTACGTGCATTTGGATGGCAAAGTCAAAACAACTCCATCCAGTGTGACTATTGAAGTTTTTACTACTTAAAAACTTACATATTTCGGTCCCTATAGACCGTCATCAGAGAGACATGGATACTTTTTGGAAACTACTATTACATAGGCGTTTTGAGTTTTAAAATACATATACGTACAATGTTTGTAATGCACAATATATACAAAATCCAACTTTTCCACAACTACAGCAGCTTTCCTGGTATATTAAAGTTTTAAAACTTTGTTATTTAAGTTAAAATTTATAAACCAAGTAGGTTCGTGTCCCTTTTCCTATATTGTCTTTCTTGACAGGGGCTGAAGTTCTGCTGCCTGTCTCTCTTGAGAAGGAGATTCTTGGTATCATCCTGTGTTTGTTTGTGGCGTGCTGTCTTGTTTTTACAGTAAAAACCTTGCCACCACTTCTCGTATGACTTTTCTGCTACCTACAGTCCTGCTAGTAATACTAAACTACTTGGTACCATGTAAACATTGAATATACATAACTGTTTAATCCTCATGAATGGGACATGAATTGACAAAATATTTTTCGCTCAAAATCCCTTTGATTGATAAACTCCTGAACTTGGTCTTTTCATCCTTGGACAATCCGTTCGCACACGTGTACATGTGTGCATGCATGTGTGAATGAGAGGAGTGCACATGCGCATTTTGATGCTAATGACACTGAATTTGAAATCATTTTATTCTAGTGAAGTGTCAGAACTGAAGAAGGAAATTGTAACTCTGAAAGAAGATAATAGACTGAAGGAAGGACAGATTCAGAGATTTGTGAGAAGAATTCAGAAGTTGCATAAGAGTATACATTACAGATCCAGTAAGGTAATTATTGCTGAACAGGGCAGAAAATCGTATTTTTAAATACTTTTCTTAATGAACTGAAACTTGTTAATATCACCGCGAACAGATTTAGTTGAAAGTAGGTAGTGTGAACACTTATTAAAAATTTCATAGTAAATGAAACTGTACATTATTTCACTTAATTGTGTAGGATTTTAGATTCTTACAGCAGTGGTTATGAAGAGTTCTGTCTTCTGGGATATAACGCCATATAGTCCCTTGAAAGGCAACTGACTTTTCGGAGGAACATGTCGCCTCCATCTTCAGGGTTGATGAACAAGCCAAGCAAGAACTATTGTGAAGGTAGACGTAAGCAAAGCCACCTGCTTTCACCTGGTGTCTTGCTTGGCTTGTTCATCAACCCTGAAGATGGAGGCGATATGTTCCTCTGAAATTTTAGTTGCCCTTGAACTTCTGCACGGCATTATATCCCAGAAGACAGAATTCTTCACTTAACTGTGCCTGTAAATGTGATTGAAGGCACAAATTAAGTTTTATAAATATCTCACATTTAGAAACTCCTTCACATACGTGCACAGTTAATTTCTCCAGTATGTGAGGAACAATCAAGTGAAACTTGTAGAGTCATTAAAATAAATTGCAGTACCTAAACAGCAAGAAAGAAACAAAATAGAGATTTGAAGTGACTATGAAGAGTACTGCCTCCTTCAATATGTCATTTGATAGATTGTTAACCTACGTTAATTTGGGCTAACGTGACTAAACCAGAGAAATTAAAACACTTTATTCCAAAAATACTGAATTTCTTTTTACAAATCTTAGTTTTAATAAAATAGTAAAAATCAGTATGGTATTTGAAGAAAAATTTACATGTATTATGTGTATTAGTGACATTTTGAACTATTAGACCAAAGGAAACAATCCAGATTGCAGTCATCACAGGATCTGAGCCAAGTAAAGGGGATGGTCTGAACAGTGTAAAATGTGAAGCTAGCAGACATTTCAGGTACAAGAAGAAGGAATATCTGTGCAACAGACAGTAAGAACAAGAACAGTGGAGACATTATATTGGTGCATAAATGTGTTTAAGAAATGCTGTTAGCTTAGAGCTGACTTCGCAAGGGTGATCTGCTTGCATGTTTTCAGAATTTTTGGAATAGGTGGAAGAATTACGAGTATTTCTCTTAGCTGTTCAATTCACATGGAAATACATGCAGCTGATCCTAGTCCTTCTGATGTTGAGACAGCTATCAAAAAGTTGATTGTTCACCAGGTGTTGATTAGTTTCCAGCAGGAGGTGAAACATTACATTCTGAGTAGGATTTGAGGTGGTTATGAGGAGAACTGTCTTCAGGGATATAATGCCATGTAGTCCGTTGAAAGTGAACCAACATTTCAGAAGAACATATATCCATCTTCAGGGTCAAGTAAGGAGAGAAAGATCTCAGCATGGAAGCAGGTGGCAAGCAGAGGAATTTTGGATTATATGAAAAGCAGGAGGGAAATGGAAGAGTGGACCTATCTTCCTCTATCTCTGCTCCCTCATCCTCCATTGCATGCCTGCCACTCACTCACTTGACATCTTTCCCTAACATGTTAGCTCCATGCTCAGCACACCCTTGTACTTTTTCCCTGTCTTTCTCCTAGACCAGCCAAACAGCCCATTTTCAGGGCCATTCTAAACTCCTGTTCTGGTCTCCTGTTGCTTCACTCGGTCATTTGAGACCCCAGTGGTCTCCCATCCCACAGATGAGCCAATGGGAACTGATGTCCACTCTTCCATTTCCCTCCTGCTTCCAGTATAATACAAAATTTCTGGCTAGCCAATTACTCTGCTTGCCGTCTGCTTTCACACTGATATCTTGCTCCGCTTATTTGACCCTGAAGTTGAAGGTGATATATTCCTCCAAAACGCTGGTTGACTTTCAGTGGACTACACAGCATTAAATGTCAGAAGATAGTACTCTTTATTACATTCCAAGATTCATAAACCCAATAATTTTATATGAAACAGTGACAAATCACCTCAATAGTGGAAGTAGTCTGTTATTGTACCTATTTACTAGAACGGCGATAAATCTGACTGGAGTAATATCAAGGCATATGATTGTTATCATCTTCTTACAACATTCTATCCTTTATCTTACAAGGTTAACTCCAGATGTAGATGAAATTATTGCAGACCATAAGTCGGGATTTGAGCATAACAATCAATTATTAACTATATTTTATCGCCCATCAGATACCAGAGGAAAAATGGAGTACACTAGTTACACTAATTAAAATGTGTTTAAATGAAATGTACGATGAAGTACAGGTAAATATTTATCTGTTTCTTGTTCACAATGATCTGAAATAAGGAGATGTTTTATCACTGTTACTTTAAAACTTTGCTTCAGAATATGCATTTAGGAAGATCAAAGCAAACCTGGTAGGACTGAAATTTAATGGGACACATCAGCTTCATGTCTCTGCTGATGAAACAAGTCTACATGCCACAATATATCGATGTCTTGTCACCAGATTTCAAGTAAAATTATAACATAAAGATAGGTAATATATACTTTGAAAATATGGCAAAGTTCAGATGTTTGAGAATGACAGTAGCAAATCAAAATTTGATTCATGAGGAAATTAAGGACAGATCAGATTTGGATAATGCTTAATGCTTTTGGTTCAGACCCTTTAGTGTTTTTGTCTGCTGTTTAAAAACATAAAGATTAAAATGTACAAATCTCTAATTTTGCCTGGGCATGAAACTGACCTTAAGGTAATGAACATAGACTGAAGGTGTTTAAGAACAGGGCACTGAGGAGAATATTTTGACTGCAGAGGGACAAAATAGGATGTTGGAGAAAACTGCATAATGAGGAGCTTCAAAACTTTTGCTCCTTGTCAGATATTATCATAATACTAAAATCAAGGAAGATGAGAAGGGCAGGGCATTGAACATGCATTGGACAGAAAAGAAGTGCCTGCAATGTTTTGGGAGGAAAACCTGAAGGAAACAGACCACTAGGAAGAGTTGGGAGGTCAGTATGAAAATGGATGTTAGAGAAATAAGAAGGGAGGAGAATGGACTGGTTTCCTCTGGCTCGGGATAGAGACCAGTGGCATCTTGTGAACATCATAATGAACATTGGGGTTCCATAAAATGCTTTGAATTTCTTGAGTGGTTTAGTAACTGTAGGTTTCCCAAGAAGGACTTGGCTCCATGGAGTTAGTTATGACCTATTCTTAATTTCCTATGGGAAGGCACAGTATGAAGGTTGACATTTGTAACACAGTCAAATTTCTTTCTTGTCACAGTGGCCACTCACTCACAAATTCTTTTCAGAGTGTAATTTAATTTCTGCCTATATTTTCAGGTCCTTTGACAAATCTTAATTGAAAATAGTATATAATATTTGTATAGCTGTTATCGTGTGTAAGTTTCACTAACATTAAAAGTATTGACATTATTTCATTTTATAAGACATTTCACTTGTGGACCAAGAGAATCCATGTGTATATGTTTCAAATCCTTTCACAGCTCTAGTGGGAACATGTAATATGACACTTCTTTTGTATGCAAATTAATTATTGTAATCATTTAATATGTATTATTATTTATGTAGGTATAGTTAGTGCCTCGTAACTTTAGCCGCGCGGAAAGGTAAACGCTATTGTGGAGCACGCTTGCTGTACGCTTGCTGTGGTGACGTTCAGCGCTACTCTCTGAGCGGAAAACATTGCCTACAGAGACCAGGAGTAGATACACAATGCACTATACACCTGACCACACTCCAAGACGCTACATTTCAAACTGGTAGTACCCACGCTGACGTAAGCTGATAAGACTGCTCCGTGAAAGATGGTATGACCCCTCTACCACTGCTAGAGTTCCGAGGAACTAACAGTACATATATAGGGTCTCAGAGATTGTATGTACAACTGAAATTTTGTTGTCCATACAGGGCGTTCAGTTGTCGAGGAAAGTTGGCTATAGTGCTAACCAGGAATAACATTCCTCACAGATTTCTGCTGTAACTGCCGATAGCAGAATGAGTCATTAGCATTGATAAATGCGCTCACTCCTGCTAGCATAGAGTGGATGGACTGTCTCTCCGTGACTCACATCAGTTTTTGTACGTGCACACGTTTATGAGAATACTGTAAAGAGATAATACAAACTTACGTTGCTTTATAACAGGTGCTGAAAGTGACCCCCTTCTGCTTGCAAGCATGCATCACATTGCATAGATAAATTATGCAACACTTTCTGAAGTTGGTCCACCGTAATTGAACCAATTATATGTGTTATTTCATTCTGCAGAGCTTCAGTGACACGAGGATTATTCTTGTAGACTTTACCCTTCAGGTTTCCCCAAAGATAAAAATCGCAAAAATATCTGGGGAACTGAGAGGCCACAGTCCCCTGCTGATTATTCTGTCTTCAAACACTTCCTGTATTGCGACCATGGTTGTATTAACCATATGCGCTGTAGCGTTGTCTTGCTGAAAATACCCATATTGTCTTTCTTCAGCAGTCGGCTGATTGAAGAACAGATTCAGTATATCATTAATGTAGTGGTCAGAGTTCAGGGTTTCATGAAAAAATAAGGGGCTAGTGATTTGCCATGGACTTACAGCACACCACACCCCCACCTTTCACTATGTAATGGCACTTGCTGTATAGTGTGAGGATTTTCATCACTCCATATTCTTACATTTTTGCATTAACATGACCAATAACATGGAACCATGCTTCATCAGTCATGAACAGAAGCTGTGGATCCACAATTCCACCGTGCACATTTTGCGGCAGCCAATTGCAAAACGAATTCTTGCTGCGTAATCTGGTTGTTTCAGCTCATGCACAAATGTTATTGTATACGGACAAAATTTGATGAATTTTGTGGCTGTGAAAGGAGATCATAGTGAAACTCCTGTTTCCTGTGCTAAGCGTCTTTAACGATTTTCAAGGACTGATCTGTAGTCATGCCTCAATATCCTGAACTTTTTTTTCAGTCAGCCCAATCCTCTTTGATTGCTTCTTTATGTCATACACTGAACCTGTGGCTTGCCACGCTTTCACAAGCTTGGATACACACAACTTTGTGGGAACTGACGAGTCAGGATATTTCTGATGAAACTTACGGATACATTCCTTGCACATTTTCGACAATAAACATACACTGTTCAATAGTGAACTTCATTTCAGTATAAACGTCGACCACCTATCGACATCCGTAACACAGACTTACTATTAATGTGACTTAACTGCAGTGACAAGATCACGCCACCCCACAACGCACGTTTATCAGTGCTAATGACTCATTCTGCCATTGGCAGTTACAGCAGCAATCTGTGAGGAATGTTGGGCTCCATCAGTGCTGTATCCAAGTTTCCTCCTTGACTGAATGCAGTGTATTTTTATTAATTCAGTATTTTGCAAAGGTTTAAAGGCAGTGAGGTTACAGATCTGAATCAAAGTGTCTATTGAAACGTGCATTTGTAATAAGATTATGACCCCTATTTAAACATGTGGATGCATGCTGACAGACTGTCTCCTTCTGTATATTGATATTTCAATTGCCAGGCTGTGATTGAATCCCAGTTACTAAGTACTAATGCAGTCAGTGAGTCAGCTTATGATGAATTTCTGACATGGTGCTATGAGTTAGAGGGACATCACCAAAAGGCACTGCAAGAAAACACAAAACTTGCTGAGGAAATAGAGCAGCTCAAAATGCAACTGAAGAAAAGGACAGCAGAGGCAGAAGAACTCAGCAAGTCAGTGAATGACATGGACCAAGTAAGTTTTATTACACAGTCCTCTCAGTCTTGCCAGCTCTTTCTCCCTTCTTTGTTTTCAGATATTACAGTGTACGATAGCACTCATTTACTCTCTTCAAGAGATACCTAGTTTGAATCTTAACATGGAAATTGTCCTCATTGAGGCTTTATATACAGGGTGTCCCAGGAGGAATGGAGCAAACTTCGGGAGGGTGTTCCTTATGTTAAAGTATGCCGATATAACCCAAAACACCTATATCCAAAGTTGAACGGTTACGGAGATAATGGCCAGAGAAGTGTCAAACTTTGGCCGGCGTTACACACTTGTTGATTACAAAATACATATTAAAACTGGCAGGAATATGTGGATTCTGTAATGTTAATAATGTACGTAACATCAAACTAACTTGTGAGTGACATGAAGCCATAAACTTTAAGTACAAAATACTCGCCCGCCATGTCATAATTGTCCTTAGGGTTTCCAAGCACTATACATGACACATGAATGGCAAGCGCTGACATAACGTGCTGACTGCGNATAAGGAACACCCTCCCGAAGTTTGGTCCATTCCTCCTGGGACACCTTGTATAGAGCATAGAGTATTACCATGAAAGGTCAAGGTTCCCTTCCAGCTCAGTATTCATCTCAGTCCTGTTTGACCTTACAGCTGATATATGGTCATTACAGTAAAAAAAAAGGGATACTTCCTTTTGTGTTACCTCACTCTCTCATTCAAGTACTTTTAATCCCATGTGTCTACATGTACATGTAGAATATTTCTGTATTCATATGCATGTAATGGCATTATCATGTTATATTCTTTAATTTTGATATTTTATTGCATGATGGACAGTGAAGGTAAATTTATTTACTGATGGACACTGCAGGTAAATTAAGTACCTCTATTTGGAATGTTTCAACATTGTGGTAATGCTGTAATAAAGACACAAAGAATGTGACTGAAAAGTAAGCAGACTAATTTTTGAGGTCGTTCTTGGACAGAAAGTTAATGTAAATTCTGCATCATGACTGTAGAATATAAAACCTGCTATTTTGAAGTACTGCTTCATGCGGGTTTCTTTTTTGGCTTACTCTTCAGCCCTGAAGATGCAGCTGCATGTTACTCTGAAACGTCTGTTGAGTTTCAACAGGCTACACAGCATTATATCCCAGAAGATTCATCCCACCATTTTTATTCACTGTTTTATACCTTCTTTTGCTAACAAATGAGCATTAAATACGCTATTAAAGAAAGTCACTGAGTTTCTGTAATACGTAGGTTATCCAGAAAGTGAATTCGGATGGGCTATTGAGAAAAAAAAAAGGAATTTATTTCCAAACCGTTTATATTCCATTTGATGTGCACTAGTTTTTGACATAGTTTCCACCACTGTTGAGGCACTTGTCATAACAGGGCACCAGTTTTTCTATACCCGCATCATAGAATGATGCTGCCCGTGATGCAAACCACATGTTAGCGGCATCTTTGACAGCATCGTTGTAGAACTGCTGGCCATCATGGAAAGTTTTCAGATGCAGGAACACATGAAAATCACTTGGTGCTAAATCTGGTCTGTAGGGGGGGATGATCAAATTTTTCCAGGCCAAATGTCATGATGAGATCTGGCATTGCAGCAGTGGTGTGTGGGCAGGTACTGTCATGAAGCATCACAACACCCCAACTAAGCATGCCACGTCACTTCTTCTGGATTGCACAACTCAGTTTCTTAAGTGTGTCACAGCAGACACCTGTGTTAATTGTTGAGCCTTGAGGCAAGAATTCCACAAGCAGAACACTTTTCCTGTCCCAAAACACTGTGCACATGATCTTATGAGTTGAAATGGTCTGTTTGAATTTTTTCCCTCATTGGCGATGATGTGTGCCTCAATTCCATGGACTGCAGCTTTGATTCAGGGGTTACATGTGACACCCATGTCTCATCCTTTATGACTATGCAGCTCAAGAAGTCATCACCTTGCTCAGTGTATCGTGTCAGAAGGTTCAAAGCACTGGCCTGTCATTTCATTTTGCGTTCATCCGTAAGCATCTTTGGCACCCAGTGTGAACACAAATGAAGTTTATCAGACAAAATTTCATGAGGAAATGACCGTGAAATTTGTGGACAATGCAGGGAAAGTGACAAAATGGTGAATTGTCAGTTCTCTTGAATATTCTCTTCCACCACCTGCACCAAATCTTCATTAACCACAGATGGTCAGCCACTCCACGAATCATCATGCACATTTTCTTGTCCTTCATTAAAGTGTCTCACCCATCTCGTTACCATTGAATCACTCATGACATGTTCTGCATACACCTCACAAAGTTGATGATGAATGTCAGCCGGTTTCATGTTTCTTGTATTCAAGAAATGGATTACAGACTGCATTTCACATGTGGCGGGCTGCTTTATTTTCTTGAACATTGTAACACACAGGACAATACATAAACGTGGTTTGATTGTCTGCAGATGGATTTCATACCTTCCAAAAGAACCAACAAACTCTGCATACATGCGCACTATAGTGACCGCAGCGCTGCAGCGGCAATATTTGCAAATGGAACATATTTTGTGGATATGCCTTGTAAATTTATAGCTGTAAGGTGGCAGCCTTGTTAATGTCACAGTGACATGTCAGAATAGTTCAACAAGAGAAGTCACCCAATGCTAAAGAACAGCTGGTAAACACTTGCCTGCATAAACACACATGAGGGCTATAGCTAGGCAGCAGCCCCTCTTAATGCATTACACAATAAAAGAGGAGCTGTTGGAGGTGGTATTGGAAATTTCCCAGAGTGTTATTGTGTATCTGCATCTGTGAAAGGAGATGAGAGGGGAGGCCAAGGTCACACTTCCAAAAGCCTGTTGCATCAGTCTGCCACGTGACACCACGCTGTGGGGACACATTGTTTTTACCGAAGTACTTTTTCATCTTTGTGTTTCGTTTCATCTGTGATGGATGGCAAAATAAAGCAACGTGTTTGCATAAAGTGTTGCATGAAGCTCGGTAAATCCTCTACCAAAACCCTTGAAATGCTTTGTGAGGCTTTTGGAGAACATTCTTTATGCCAGACAGCGGTTTTTGAATGTCATTCCCATTTCAAGGCCAATGAAGTGTCAGTTGAAGATGACAAACGTTCACGGCGATCAAGCCCCAGCAAAACGACAGAAAATGTTGAAAGAGTTCGGGAACTCATCAATAAGGACCGTTGCCGAACAATCCATGAGCTCACAGATACCCTTGGGAACAGTTATGAAGTTTGCCAGGAGATCTTAACAAAAAATTTGAACATACATTGCATTTCTCCTTCGTCGTGACAACGCACCCACCCGCGCATCCCTAAGAACTACTGAGTTTGTGACTAACAACAATATGCTTATTGTTCCGCATCCTCCCCACTCACTGGACTTAGCTTCCTGTAATTTCGCTTTGTCTCCCAACTTGAAAATGAAACTGAAGGGACGACATTTGAAACAGAGTCTGACAACCAAAGGGAATCGCAAGCGATACTCGATAGCATTAAGGAAAATGATTTCCACGGTTCTTATGAAGCGTGGAAAAAATGATGGTATCACTGTGTACATTCCCAAGGAGACTATTTTGAAGGTGATGGCAGCAAAAATTGAGTAAATTAAGCCAGCTTTTATTTTTCGACCTAGTCCGGGAACTTTCCAGTACACCTCATATGCAGTCTGTTCCAAGGCTGAGCAGTGAGAGCTGTCAAGGCAGCTTACTTGCCATGAAGAGTAAGCTGTGAGATGTTAGCCAGCCAGCAATGACATAAACAGAAGAGCACAAGAATCTCCAATTTTTGGGAACTGTAACCTAGCAATTCCTAGTAAATACTGTAATCAAGAAATGGCTAAAGAAGACATAACAGATGGAGACCTAGCATGTGCTACAGTGATATTTTTTAAGTGTGTAAATCAGAGATAGTGTTATAATCATTTGTAATTACAAGTTATAAAGAGTCCAGTAAATCTAGGTATCAGTTCAAACCTCGTGTGTATTCACTAACACATGACACAATATCTTTGTGCTCTCTTGTGTGTGTCAAATACATTTAGTAAAAAATTTTTTGTCTTGGGTAATAATATTGTTCTCTTCGTGTTCAGTCTGCCAAAGATATGCGTGCAGCTCTGACAGGAGAAGTAGCTGATAAGCATGACCGAATATTGGCTCTTCGCCGTGAAATACAACTTCTGGAAGAGAGATGTCGTCAAGCAGACATGCAGACACATTTCAAGGATGATATTATTAAGGAGATGAGAAAAGATATAAAAGATGCACGGTTCAAGGCTAGTACTTTCAGAATATTTCAGATGAAATATATATAATTTAAATTCAGGGCTAAACGCAGATTTGGAAGTGTTGGATTTTGTTCATATTTTTAATATTTTGTTTTGCAGCTTGCTGCTCTTCATCCGGACAACGAGCATGATGTGGTAAATGGAGCTCAGCATCTTTGTCAACATCCTAAGGATTATCAGCAGGTTCAGGTTCCTGTTAACAACTCAAACCACCAGTTCCAACAAGTGCACATATCTCATGATTTGTCTCTTCCATACCAACATCTCAGCACTCCAGAGAACTTAAATAGGACTTGTAGTGATGGAACTGCTGCTGAAGCTCAGCTACAGTCTGTCTGGCATTGTAATCAGTTTTTAGAGAACTCTCATCTGCCATACAGACCAGTTGTGACAGACGACTTGATTGCAGAAGAAACATATTATGAAGTATGCCAACGACATTCTGCACCTTCCAGAAACGTTCAGGTGTCTACTACTGATGGATCTGGTCATGAAGGTGATACTGCTCCTCCTCAGGACGTTGCTGTGCAGGTAGGATTAGGAAGAAATCATCTTAATGAGAGACATGCATGTAATAACGGACATTGAACTGCTCTTATCTGCTAGATCTGTTATGATTGTATGACATTATTGCTTTTATATTTTATTTTACTATGACAGGTTCTGTATCCAATAGGTTATAAGTTGACCTTGTATGGATGAACAGAATGCTACTAAATATATGATATGAAACATTATCATCATCATGAAGGAACATCAATATTTCCATTCAACCACAAACCATCCTCTACATGAAATGTAAATAACAGCATGAGACATGATTTGGCCAAATATAACTTGCATGTTGTATATTTTCACTTTCTTTGGTAATATTAATATAGCATGGTATCTCAATGATAAAGAGTGGTGTTATGGACTAAAGTGCTTATTGACTGCTTTTAATAGATGTTATTTTTATTGATGTGGAACTTACAATCCAATATGTATCCTGGTAGCAAAGATTTCATATTGTTACTGAAATGTCATGAATATCCCTTGTGTACTCCAGAAAATAAATATCTGAACATGGTATTACTTCGGGTAAGTTATTGTTACTTCTGTAAAGAATACATCTGCATGAAGTCTTTACTGTTGCAACTTTACTATACCATAAGCTTATATATAATCTGAGCAAAAAAGGCATTTGGTTTGGAAAAGGAGTTAAAAGATTATATTTTTTCTTATCGAAGAGAGCCCAGATAAAAAGGCACTAGGTGAAGCTGAGTGGTCAGCTTCATGCCCCTGCCACTTTACCCCCGGAGAAAGGGCCCTTGGTACCCATTTGGTAGGAGGTTGGGTGGACCCCAAAGCTGGTGTGGACAACATGGAGAAGTGAAAATTCTTGTCCCCACTGGGATTTGAACTCCAACCCCTCAGTCAGCCAATCTGTAGACAGTCGCTATACTGACTGTGCTACCTCGAGAGTGCCCAGGACATCAAAAAATTACATTTAATGAACAATGTTTTGGTAAAGTGCTCTAAATTAGTAGAATTACGAAAGTGTTAGAAAGAGGTGTTAACAGGCTTCCAGAAAATGGGGATAGACATGTCAGTCTAAAATATTTTTTGCAGACTAAAGAGAGGTAGTAGCTAAAAGACTGAAATAGAAAGAAATAATAATTATAACAGTATCAGAAATGTAATGGGTAAATCAGGTCTGGTGATAAGCTTTGGGATTACTGATATTAAAATTCTGGTTTTCTGCTACCAGAGAGTTAATTAAAAGTGCTAAAACTGAGGTGTGACTAGTGTTACAAGTCCAAAGTACAGTGTTAAAAGAAAACTTCTAACAATTTTCTTATTTTTATTCAGTCACCATAATAAGAAATAAGGATACACCATATATTACTCTGTGTTTAAAACATATGTCTGGCCCATTGAGCCATCATCAGGTATTTTAAATGTTTGCATACACCTGTGTTGGTATAGCATAAGACATATTTGAGCAAACTCAACCCATGTATGCCTTTTGTTGATTTAATACATATTCAGAAACAAAATAATACTACTGTTTATGGTGGACATGTATGCCTGATGTCAGTAGTCATATCTCAGTAGTAGACCTTAGTAGGAAATAAACTCTGCTGGGAAGTGTATCTGCATAGAAGGCATGTATAGAATTAGGTCTACACTTATTCTAATTTGTGTGCAAAAGAACTGACTTTGTTGCTCATATGGTCAATATATTTCTTTCCTGAGCAAAAAATTTTGTTGTTAGTGCAGTGTGTAGAATCAGTTACAGATGTTCTCCTTGCGGACATTTCCTTAATCAATGATGCAGTGCTCATAAGTTGTTGTTGAATAGCAAGAATGTTATAGGCTAAAGAAAGGGCTCTTAGTCCATGAGCTTGTTGTACTTGAAGCCAGCCATTCATCAGATTAGACTCCCAAATTCTGATATGTTACATTATGCACAAACAAGTCTCTGGAAGAACAGTTGTCAGTTTCTGTAGGTTTTGTTATATTTTCAGCATCTTTAACCTTAATAGCCACATCTAAGTAGATTGATCCTTTATTTGTCTTGCCTGTTCAGTGATGAAAGCCATTTTGAAACAGTATGTTTTCAAGTGGCGTAGAATGAATGAATGAGAGTGAATGTTAGTTTTTTTTATGTTCAAAAATCAGAACATCTCAAGTATTTTATTTTCAGTGTTAAAGATGGACATTGATTACCTGTATAATAATAATTTGGCTTAATCACTGTGTGTTTCCATCATTTAATTGATTTTTCTTCTCAGTTATAATTAAAATTATGATTATGTTGTTTTGGAAATGGTGGCAGTGGTTAGTAGCAGATGTTAAGTATGCAACAGAAATAGAAAGCATATTCATCACTCATTGTTTCATGTTTTCCATTTCTGTTGTTTGTTTTATGGTTTTCTGTTCTTGTAAGCTATGAAAACAGTATGGCTTAAGGCTTTTGGCTTTCATAGAACTTTTTAACTTCTTTGCTTGTTTGATGTACATTTGTTTGAAATTGTATGTCTTTGTATTATATTGTATTTATTAGCATTCATCGATCTATTCAGTACATGACCATTGGATGTAGAAATTGTCAGCAGATTACATTGATATGTACATAAGATTGTTGTAATATAAGAGAAAATTAAATTAAAATATATGTAAGACACTAATGCATGCAACTAAAATACGAAGCTATAATTACTGGGATACCCCAAGGTCTTTTTTCTTTCTTTCATTTCATTTTCCCATAAATCAAAATACATCGATACAGGACTCGTCATATCGCAATACTATCAGCAAAAAACATACAGGCAATTCTACAGATAAACAATACATATAAATCATGCTTATCGAAACGAAAAGCTGCATAAATTCAAGACAAAAGATTACATCAACCACACAAAAACTGTATCAGATGAACAATCAGATTATAAATTATTTATAAGAAGCAAGGTTTTCCATTTTTCTCCAATCTAGATATTCCCGCAGTGAGTAAAAGGAGTCAATATGCAGAATTTTTTTAAGGCATGTTTAAACTTATCAGAATCATTTGTCATGGTCTTAAGATTCTGTGGCAAATTATTAAATATCATAATCCCAGAACAGTAGACACCTTTTTGGACTTTAGTTAATTTATAAGTTGAATGATGTAAATCCGAACTTTGTCTGGTATGGATACTATGTATATCAGAATTTAGTGTGAAAGTATCCATATTTTTAACAACAAATATATGAATATTGAAAATATATATTGTGAGTAAAACGGAAGAATATTTAGGTACCTAAACAATGGATGACAAGAGTCTGTTTTTCTAGCTTTCATAATGATTCTAACTGTTCTTTTTTGAATTTTAAAAATTAAATTACTGTTGGCAGAATTGCCCCAAAATATAATTCCATAGGACATAATGGAATATACATATCATAATATGTCATCAGTAGACTCTTCTGGGACACAACAGAAGATTAAGTTCTGATGGCATAGACAGCCAAACTCAGCTTAATTACTAATTGATTAATATGATGTTTCCAGGACAAAGTACTTGTACTATCAATGATTAGTCCAAGAAATTTGACATTACAAGTGCTGTGGATTAGAGTATCACTGTATTTTATATTTAAGTCTTTTAACAGATTCAATTTTGTTGCAAAGCAGACACAATTGGTTTTACTTAAATTTAGCGTTAGTGAATTCTGTGAAAATCACTCATTTATTTTTAGCAGAATCGCTTTCTAGGTAGTTTTGAGTTCTGTGGAATTAGAATTTGAACACAGTATACTAGTATCATCTGCATACAAAATTGGTATGGATGATTTATTTACTACATAAAGCAGATCATTGATATACAACAATAAAAACAATGGCCCAAGTATCGAACCTTGTGGAACACCCGGTTTAACCTTTTGCCATGCAGAAACACCCTTTCTATAATTATTATTTATTAAAATTCTTTTATATCTATCAGTCAGTAAGATTTAATCAGCTTCCCTGCATGTCCCATTGCTTAATTAAGCAGCTACACTGACTGAGCCAACGTGGCTGCCTGTATTGATGTATGTATGTACATATCTTTCTTTACATGTGCTACTTGCTGCTAGGGTGCTGCCAGCACTGTAAACACTAGTGTGCAGCAAGAGCCGAGTCTGGTAACGTCAGGAATACAGACAGAGCAGCCTGTGCTGAGTCTAGTAACTTCAGAAGTACAGACAGAGCACTCTCTTCCACCAGAGGTAATCCGAACCAGTGATGTTATTTAATATTTTGTATCTTTAGCTTCTTGTCCTTTATTAACATAAGCTCTGTATATATTAGCTGAGGTGAAGCCAAACAGTTACCTGTAGCATCTATGGTTTTAGTATACTTAAATTGTGTTTATTATTTATATACAGTGAAATCAGTTTAAGAGCTTTATGATTAGTACTTTTATTTCAGAATGCATTGTTTTCATCAGCAAATATACGAGGGAGAGTCAGTAAATAAGCCAAAAATGGAAGTAAATAGGTGTAATGGACATAATAGGTTTTCTGTGTGTATCATTAGGTAGCAGCACATTCCAGCCTTATGACACTGTGTAGCAGACATGCATGTGCATGTTTAGAGACTGGTTTCAGTAGTCAAAATGGTGACCATGCTTGAGGAGTGTACTACCAAAAAGTGGCATTCTGTTGTTCTTTTTCTATGGGCTAATGACTCAATGCAAAGGATATTCATAAAGAAATGTTTCCTATTTATGGTGGGAAGTGTTTGTCACATAAAGTGGTTCACAACTGGGATGAGAAATTCTTTCAAGGCGGCTTGTAAGTTGTAGATGACGCCCAACCAGGTTGCCCTGTTGAGATTGTGACAGAAGCAAATTTGCAGCAGGTGGAAGTGTTGATTTCAGCTGACAGGAGGATAATGATAGACAGTGTAGGAACTGCACTATGACATTCCCATGGTTTAGCATGCGGCATAATGCATCATTGTTTGAAGTTTCAGAAAGCGTGTGCTTGGTAGGTGCTCAGGGAACGGAAGATTTAAGACAAAATTAACAGAATGGGTCTGTCCTTTAAACATCTCTCATCATATGCAGGGCAAGGAGAAGATATGCTTAACAGGATTCTTACTGGTGAGGAACCATGGGTGCATCACTACAGACCTAAATCAAAGCATGCTTCATTGCAATGGAAACAACCCAGTTCACCTTCAATCATAAAGTTTAAGGTTACCCCATCAGCTTGGAAGGTTTTGCTTACTGTGTTTTGGGATTCTCTGGGAGTACTGTTAGCCTGTTTTCAGAAGCATGGTGAAAATGTTAATTCTGCATCATACTGTAAAGTTCTGTTAAAGCTTTGGGGTGAAATTGGCAGAAAATGTCCAGGCCAACTGGCAAGAGGGGTACAGCTCAAGTAGCCTAGGAAATAATTAAAGTACTGCAGCGGGAACTTCTTGAATATCCATGTTACGGCCTAGACTGGGCCCCTAATGACTTATATCTATTTGGTCTGCTAAAACATCACCTTGGTGGTAAAAGTTTCATTAATGATGAAGAGATTCAAATGGAGGAGCAGAAGTGGCTGAGACAGTGTTCAAAAGGCTTTTGTGCTGTAGGTTTTAACATAATAGTAAAGCAATGGGACACGTGCATCAGTGTTGGTGGAGGATATTTTGAGAAGTAATTGTTTTTTCCAGGTTCGAATATCAGATATTTTACATCTTATTTCCATTTGTGACCTATTTACTAACTTTCCCTCGTAATTTGGTGTAAAGGAAATATTTATACTCAAGGAATTTGTAACAAGACTTGCAGTAGTTTTTTTACCAAAAAGAAAAAAGAAAAGAAACACTGATTTCATTATTTGTGGCTCTCAATGCAGTATACTTTCTTTCCAGATTGCTTTTTATATTTTGCCCACCCCATTGGTCTTGATTTTTACTTACTGCAGAAACTGATCACAAGTTGGCTATTGCAAAGCTATTAAGAAGTGAGAATTATTTTTACATACTAATCTTAGTATCTTATTGAATGACGTTTTAAATTAATTTTTAGACTTTTGCAAGATATTATACATGATGTGCTGATTTTTAGACTACTTTCCTTATTTTGAAAAAATTCAAGCAGGCTTATGAGATCACTTTGATGCCTATGTGTCTGTGTAGCCCCCCTCTCAGCTTTTGAAAGCCTGAACCAATTTTTGTGACACTTGGTATGTGTATCATGACACCTGAGCCAATATCACCAGTATACTTAATGAATCCCCGCATCAGTTTGAGTGTCTGTGTATGTAATCTCCCCTGTCATTGATAGGCAAAGGCTTAGCTAAAACTTGATTGCAACAATAAATACACATGCAACAATAGAAGACTTGTTGAACATATCGTTTTCTGTGTGGTCTGTGTCATACTGAAGGAGAGTCTGTGGGGTCTGTGTTTGTATCCCCCTATTCTTGCTAGGCAGTGGCTCAGTAAACACATTCCCATGGCAAAAATACACAACAGTAGAAGAACTGGAGAATGTCATCTTCTGGGATGTGGCTGCAGACACCTGCTCATGCTGGTTCTTCGCTCATGGATTTTTCAACCCTAAAGATGTAGGCCATATGTTCCTCTGAAACATCAGTTCACACAAGATCTACACAATGCCACGTCTCAGAAGACAACATACTTCTTAGTCACTGCTGTGAAAATTTCAAATCTTACAATAGAAGAATTGAAGAAAGCAGTCTTCTGGGACTTGGCACCGTGTATATGTGGTGTTAACCGACGTTTCGGAGGAACGTATCGCCCCCATCTTCAGGGTTGAAGAAAAAGTATAAGTAAATCTGCAAGCGACAACACCGTGAGACACGGTCGTCCTAAGTATTTCTCTTAAATTCCAATATTTTAAGTTAATTTGATAGNCCTGAAGCTCATTCTAGTATTTTTAGACAGAATAGAAGTCCTAAGTATTTCTCTTAAATTCCAATATTTTAAGTTAATTTGATAGTTGTATAATGTTGCTGTGCTGTTTAGTTTTCAGGGGATCATAGTGGAAGTATTGTAGAATACCAGAACAAGGCAAGGAATGGGGTCATAACTTTGGATGATGTCATTAAACAGATACATGAACTTTCATATAATATGAAAGCAAAAGAAAATAAGGTATTGCCTTTTGAAAAAGAAAGCATAAGTATGCATGATTTGAAACTTTGACAGTGACAGGTTACAATGAAGTCTTCTTGGGTGACTAGCCTTGTGAATGTGGCGTTGGGGTCCAACTGCCAGTGACCGTCTCTGTCAGCATCATCAGGTTTAGTGTGATGAGCACTGAGTGGTACAAGATTCCCTCTAAGGCATTCATGGCATTCTGCCAGAAACAAGAACCCCCCATGCGGTCCTCCTCCTGTTCCCCTTGTCGTCTTGGCTGGGACAGATGACAGCTTTGGGCAAAACTGTCACATGTGAATAAAACACTTATCACATCAACCCTGATGATGGAGGCGAAGACAGTCTTTGAAATCTTAGACACTAACTCCACAGTGACATGGCTGTTTGTCTGAGAAGACTTCATTGTAAACTGTGAAGTTTATAAATTTGCATGTTTCTAAGTGCTACACTTTTTTTTAATTCATCAGTAGCTTTTTTTAATAATATGAACATGTATTAAAGTTGCATCGTGTTACTTGCATTAAAATGTACCACAGCTTTATGAGTCACTGAACTTAATAGTTGAATTGTTAATAATTTATAACGTGGGGCAAAATCATAACATAAAGGTAGCTAATAGATCCCTTGAAATATGGCATGGTTTGAATATTTTGGAACAACAGTAGCAAAACAAAATTAGATTCAGGAGGAAATTAAGAGGAGATCAGATTTTGATAATGCTTGCTAACAGTCAGTCCAGTACTTTTGTCTTCTCAACTACTGTCTAAAAACTTAAAAATTTGAATATACAGAACTATAATTTTATGTGTGATTCTGTATGGGTGAGAGAGTTGGTCTCTGACATAAGGGAGGAACATAGACTGAGGGTATTTGAGAATGAAGTGACGGGAGGTTGTAGAAAACTGCATAATGAGGAGCTTCATAACTTGTACTCTTTGTAAAGTATAATTGGAATGATCAAGTCAAGGAGGATGAGATGGGCAGAGCATGTAGCACACATGGGGAGGAAGCTGAAAGCATACAGGTGGGAACGCCAGAAGGAAAAGAGACCACTAGGAAGACCAATATGTAGGTGGGAAGACAATATTAAAATGGATCTTAGAGATATAGGATGGGGTGATATGGACTGGATTGATCTGGCTCAGGATAAGACCCAGTGGAGGGCTCATGTGATCACAGTAATAAACCTCCTTCTCAAGAAGGACTCAGCTCCATGGAGTTATTATTAATAATTTATAATATGGTGCTTTTTTCTCCATAGATTACTGACCAAGATGCTGTGATACATGGTCTCCAAGAAAGGGTGAAGACATCTCAGGCTGAAGTGAAAATACTAAAGGAAAAGTGTGAAAAATATGTAGGTTATATTTTTTTAATTTGTTTTCCTTATTTGTTTATTTTTTGATTTATACAGATAGAGTGAAATTTATATCTGTTTTCTTTGGGGGGGGGCTGTTGAAGTATTTGACACTAAACTGAGAAAATACCATTAAATGGAAGAACATTTAAAACTCTAACAATGCATCTAGGACCACAAAAATTGCACACTGAATGATGAAACACATTAAATAAAGTAACATTAATTGGGGTCCGCTTGCACCATCCCTTCCTTCTCCCTTGGTATGTCTGCAAAACAACCTGATGAAATAGGCAGAGGACACTGAGATGGGTCACAGACAATATATGACAGGTGGAAGACTCTTGGCAAGTAATAAATTAAAAATTGGATTTATTTAAACAAGGTATATATGTAATTCAGTTATCACTAATTGTTGAGCTGAATCATCACCATGGCGAGTAAACATGTACTGAATAAGTAACTAACCAGATCCAGAACGTAGGAATCAAAAAGGAAACTAGTAAACATAGTTCAGTGAACATGTTGCATATCATCCCAAAGGTGAAGAACCTCAACTTGTTAGAAACCAAGGACTCACCACAATAGACACTTGGCAGACAGGTTGCTTTGTCCCAGATGCAGTGACAGTTCAGGCAGTTCTATAAGGCAGCCAGACAGACTTTCCCGAGTGACCGCCCAATGCAAGATATCCCCAGGCAATGAGTTTGAGGATCAGGAAAAGGGATAAGGGTAGGAGGGAGGCAAGTGTAGGGGGATTCATGGACACAGAATAATTAACTAGAATGATGGACAATGCCACATTTATACATGGCTGCATGTTAACTGAAATGTTCCATTTTTCTGGATAATGTCTGTACTTGACTGAACTTCACAAAGATAATGAAGCTTTGTGGGGTACAGAGTGACATGCAGTTTCTTTACAGCTGCTTGGTGTTAGCAGGCTGATTAGTTTTGTCATAAGTTTGACCCTTTTGCACTCAGCCTATTTTCCAAGTACCTGGTCTAAAACGCTTGGGCGAATTTGACTCAATTTACAAGTTTCACTTCAAAAATTCACCAAAAATACAATTTTGGTCGAAGATGTATAAAAAATCACACTTATTCACTACAAACAGCAGATTTAAACTAAAGTAGCCTACAGGTGCTAACACCATAAATAATTAAAATAGAAGCTGAAAGAATTAAATATAGAAATTTTAAGTTTACATAATATAGGAGGATTAAATTTGTCTTTTTCGTCTTCTTTTCTTGTCACTAGGCCTGTAAGAAAGATAATATTTTTTTCTATAAGTTTTATGTGTGAAGAGCTCTCAGATCCGGAACTGCATTACATTATGTAAAACAGTACGTATGTACCTTTTGCAGTTACCACCTGTGTTTGGGGAAACATTCTCCATGCAGCCCCTTGTTGCCTCTGGTGCATACTGTTCTGGCTGTTTGTCTCCTCTCCTTGTGCTGCAAGGCAATGTGTTGGGACTCTCTCTTTTCAAGGAGTTTTCTGACTCCTCATAGTCCCTGAGGATCATCTGCTCCAGCATTGTCCTTCAGCTCCAACCACTCCACCAAGCTCTTGGTTATTGACACGGTGTAATTGTACCTGGATTTCAATTTTCCAGGCCCCCAGTAGTTTTCTTTGTAGGGAATGTAGGTTTTCAACTTCATCCTGTGTATAATGTTGAAAGCCACCCTTTTCCGATAATACACGCTCTGCCTTTCATCCAAATAAATGTACAGCATCATGTCTGGAGTCAGTGCTGCCCATGAAGTTGTTGTAGGATGTGATGATTTTTCAGCTTCCTCTTCTTGGACTGTGGCAGAGCTGGAGAAAAGAATGACAGGAAGTTTTTTGTGATTTATTCTTGCGGAAAATACAAGAAGGGGAGCAGATCTATGTTACATTTTTTTGTCCAACTGCAAATTTATTCTTAAACTGCTGGAGTAAAAGTTTTCTATTCCTCCTAACAGTTCCAGAGATGTATGTGCTTAGCTGATGGAGGTGGTGGACAAATGGTACAGACATGAAATAGTTGTCAACAGAGACATGGCAGCCTTTGTTGAGGTATCCTCCAATATCAAGCAGTTTTCTTTTTTTCATGATAATATTCCCCCAGCCAGTTTTTCTTGGATGTTGTCGTTGTCTTCCTGAGAACTGGCCCCTCTGTATGTGGTAAACCCCAGGCAGTAGTTGGACACAGAGTCACACAACGTCCAACAGTGGTTATGCTCTTTGGGCAAATACTGCATGAGACTGGTTTTGTTTTTGGTACCTACCAGGTTTTTGTCAATACTGATTCCTTGATGAGGGGTGTAATGATGCCTGAATACCCTGTTTGCATGGTCCACAGGGGTTTGGTACCTTGCACAGGGTTTGTAGCCTGGTTCTCCAGGGCCTGGCAATCCTTCGCTGTTGATGAGGTGGAGGAAGTGTAGCAAGTAGGAAGACCGATGCTTGGGACCAGCCATTGTCTAGTTAAAAATGTAAAATCACTAACTATACACACTATAAGCTCTGAAAAATATAACAGATATATGATAAATAATATATAACTTTATTATAACACCAGAATACTGCCTTAAACTATGATGTATTCACAGTAAAGCAACTAAGAACCGCAGACCAAGAAAGCATTGAACCACCAAGTAAACATATGAGCTCAATACATTTCATTTGTTAAAAAAAATAGGTTTTTTATTTTGGAAAAATAAATGTATATACAAAAACGTCCTAGAAAATGCCCTCTGCAGCACAGTCTTATAAACATCTTATTCTCTCATAACAGTCACCTCATGATGGTTCACGCTATCTGTTAACTATAAAAGTATTTTGTGCATTTACTTCTTTTTCTTTTTTTAATATATTTAAGAATTTTGTTAATGAAGTAACATGCCTTGCACAAATATTTTTCCCCTAGCCTTTAGGAACTGACTTCAGGTATTCTTTTTTGCTGTTCTGAGACAAAATGTCCATCATTGTTACCCTTTGGTCTTCAAAAAAAATTTTTTATAAGCAAAAGGATGCCATCTTGGTGCAAAACTGTGACATAGACCTTGGAGAATTAGGTACTGTCTTGTGCTGCTACCTTTGAGCCAAAAGAGCATGATTTAGACTGAGCTGATAGATCGGCAACCTGAGTGTTCAAGCCACTACCTGATACTCCAGTGGATCGGCACACTCAGCATATAATAGTTAAAATGTTATTAGTGGTGCATTTTTGTATGTTAGGATGGGCAGGTCTTTCATTTTATTGCATTATATTACATTGACTAAAGGACCCATTCTTTACCCAAGTCTGTCTTAAAAAATCTATCCTGAAATAAAAAATGCTTGGTCGTGGGTTCAAGTCCCGATGAGGTCATTGGATTTTTTTTAATTGACCTAATCCTTCCAGCCACACTATGGCCCTGGGGTTGACTCAGTCTCTAACAGAAATGAATACTAGGAATTAATTAAATAATTTTCCTGGGGAGTAAAGCGCGGCCAGCGCGTAAGGCTGACAACCTTACTGCCATCTTTGAGCCGATTGTCTAGATAATATGGGAGCCTCAACGTCTCACAACCCTATGGGCCTTCATGGCCTGTTACAAGGATAGCTTTACTTTTCATTTGGTATGACAGTCTCATGTATCTGTGTGCACCTGTATGTCTTTGCAGTGACTGCACTCTCTCGTCCTGAACTTCATATAGAATTTATAGTATATTAGTCATGAAAGACTCACACTGGAGATGTCACCAATATTGCATTGCCGTAATGAAATATAAAAAGAAGCAGACTCTTCATACATATTTCTGCAGTTAATTTCACCTTTACATCTGCAGTAACAGCCTTCGTTTGAGAGATACATAGCTTCAGTTTTACATGTTACTTCTTTCTGACTGAGTGTCTTGTTGGTTTTTGTCTTTTCTCCAGGAAAATCTAGGACTAGTTTTTGTGCCACAAGAATGACTGATATGCTTCCTTTTCATCATACTGCTTGTCTAGGTAGCCTTCCTGCCTCCCAGTCTAGTAGCAGTAAACCCCCAACCTCTGGGAATGATTCACTGAGGTGAGAATTGGCATTAAGACCACATTTATACTGAAGTATCAGTGAATGGAATAGAGCACCATGTAACAAAATCACAAGTACAGTTACTTTCACCCAGAAATTTGCAAATTTTATCTTTTGAATATTGATATGAGGGTTGCTCCATAACTAATGCCTCCAATATTTTTTTTTTCTTGGCTGTCACTGAAGATATGCAAATTAAATTTATATGTCATATTCTTCAAGCCTTTAAGTACTTACATTCATTTTACAAGTATTCACCACCATTCTGTATACAATTTCTCCATTACAGAACTGAAGCCTGCATCCTTCTCTCATAGAAGTTGCTGTTGGCCTCCAAGAGACCCTTCTTGACAGGCACACTGACAGCATCATCAGTGGGAAGGTGTTTTCCAGAAATCCCATCCTAAATTGGACCAAACAGGTGAAAATCATATGGTTCAAGATCTGGACTGTATGATAGACGTGGCTGAATAATCCACCTGAATTCTGTAGGGATCCCTTTTGCCAGAATGCTGATATGGAGCCTGGTATTGTTATGCTGAAGGAAAATTTTTCCTTCTTTGGCCTCACTCTTGCAGACTGTCTTCACGAAACAAGTAGTGTTGATCATGTTTCCTTGTTCCAGGATGTCCTCAAGGATAACCCCCACTCTTAGCCCAAAAGATGGAACATACCAATTTTCTGATGGATTTGTTGAATTTCTTCTTTGTCAGGGAATCCTTGTATCACCACTTCATAGACTGCTGCTTTAGTCCTGGTTTTTAGTTGTATACCCAAGTCTCATCTCCAGTGACAGTGCTGACAAGGAAATTGCTATCCATGGTCTCCTACAGCTCCAGAAGACTGGCATGAGCCCACACACTACCCCATGTGATCTGGTATTAGCATTCATGGAACCCACTTGGAACACAATTTCGTGTGTCCCAGGATGTCTAGAATTGATTTCAATACATTAAGCCTGTTCCCATTTTCATACACATTTCTCAAATCTTAATGCTGTCAGCCTTGATGAATCAGTTCATCCACTCTCCTCATTTTCTGCCATCCATGCAGTATGAGGACAGCTTGACCTTTGCATGTTCTTCAGCCCCTGTCACCATTACTGACATGCCTAGCCTACAGACATTGATTGTCATGTCCTCTTAAATGTTCTTCAGAAATCTGTGGATCTCAATGAATCTTGTTCTGTTTGCATTCAGAAGTCAGTAATATGCTGGTTCTTCATATGCACGTCAATGTGTTTAATTTTCGTAGACTCCTGCAGCTCAGCCACTTAGTGTTCAGTGCGTAAATTTGCAGGATATTGGTGGTAATGTTTAAATTTTCACATGACACCAATACAGTTTGTATGTAACATCACTTGAGCAGGGAAAAAAATTTGGAGGTATTAGTTTCAGAATGACCCTTATACATATTACATTGTCAGCTTACTGAACTGATTTCTCTTCATCAGAACCCTTTTTGAGACACTTTTCAGGATTTATGTTAGAATTTCACTACCAGTGTTAATGTATAGTATGTACTTACTGTAAATGATTGTGGCAAGCATTCTCCCATTTTTGTGTTCTCCATCTTTCATGGGGTGTTGACATTGGAAGGCCATAAGGTACTGAGGAATGAGACGAAATTTGACTTCACAATTTTATCATTTGAACCCCGGCATCCTGAGGAGTTTTCTCAGAGTATCCAGATAAATTGTGGGATAATATGGTACAGTAGGCCATAGTAGATTCCTCTCATACCCTCTGCAACTTATCCTTCATGAATGCCCTACTGCCTCTCATTCAGTACCAGGATTAGGAGCTCTGTATATGCACATTGCAGCCATGTTTAACAGTGTTGCCATAATCTCCAGTAATGAGTAAATACAGAATACAGGTTTTGAGAAGATTGTCTGAGTAAGCATTTTTCATGAAAATGATGACTCATGAGAATGTTGGTAGATGCACCTACTGGCAGAGTTAGTACTACCCGTACGTAACTCTCACATGCAATGCTGTGTCAGTACACTGTAAATGTAACTTCATCAAACATTTGATCATCAAATTACATAAATCAACACAACTCCATTTTTAATACTAAACTTTGTAACAATGAAATATATTTTTGTTCTCTAGGAATGTTGCAGCAAATTATTATGAATACTGAAGTTTAAAAAAAATAACTGTTACAGGCGCACAACACTTCAGTTCAATAACATTAACTATTATAAGAATTATGTAAGCATATCACATCATCAGCGTTTACTAATCTGGAGACTGAAAAAGCACTGTCAAATTTGCTACTACAAACTGTTTGCCTGTAACTATTATGAAATACTGTTTTCTCTGCTGCATTGTCTGAAACCTACATTATAGCTGTCCATTTGTCATCCATGCATGAATTGAATTCTCTGGCTAAACAGATGGCGCCATGCCAGCTTACATTCCCCAATAGAACATTCAGGACATTTCTTTCATTAAACTTCAAATGATCAATCAATTTTAAATTGTGTAAAAACAGACGACATTATGTTATGCCTAATGCTTATGCTTCTGTGGCAGGAAGATGGATATAGCTATAAACATTTTCAATGAATACTCATTCTGGCATCAAAGTAGGAAATGAAAAGTCATCAGTCAGTAGTGTAACTTTTCATTTTGACAGTGATCTTTAAAACTCGAAAAAATATGTACACATGTAAAAGTTTCAGACTTACAGCAAGCAATTACAGTTTTAAGGCATTTCCTTGTGTACTGACCTCACGAAATCTGAAACCTAATAGCACCTTTAAGACCCGTCTTTTGTTAGGATGGGAAACACCTCTTAAGCAGTATTTGGTATGGCAATAAAGCGACAACAGAGGGCAGCAATGGTGATGCATATTTGAACAATTTCACAAGCCGTGCTACTATGCTACCATCTGGATCTAGTTTGTTCTGTTATAGCAGTGAATTGTTCCTATGCCAAACAAGACTGTAAAGGTATACAGTGCACACTTAACAATCTGTAGGATTTGGGGTTCTCACAGTGGTCGTTATGGAGAGTGCTGTATTCTGGGATATTACAGCACCTAGTCCATTCATAGTGAATCAGTATTTAAAGGAACATGTCACGTGTATCTTCTGGGTTGAAGAATAAGCCAAACGAGAAAGCAGCATGCAGCATATCCCTGTGTTACCATAGTCTTACACAATATCGGTATGATTTTATATACAGAGAAATAAAGGCATGGTCTTGGACATCAGTTCTTGATAGCTCAAAAACAGGAAGTACCCATATGTAATCAATGACAAAACACTGCATTACAGAATATGTGACTTAAATACACTGTATGTAATGCCTTTTATGAATGTTATATTTTTATTTTGTTTTTTAGTTGCAAGATATTCAGAAGGCAGAACAGAATCAAGCAGACTGTGAAAGAAGAATTAAAGAACTTAGTGATGTTTTGGAAAGGTCTTATACTGATCTTAAGGATTCTCTTAACAGTATGGATATTGGAAAAGTAAGTCAATACTTCACTGTTAGTGTTACCATATATTTTGGCCATGGGTTGTGCGGGAGGTCAAGCCTACAATTTACATGCTTTTAACCTTTATTGTACCAGATTTAAATCAATACCATAGGAACTCATGGCCTGAATTAATTATTCAGTGTTGTAGCATTTAAATCCCTAGTTACTGCTGTCCTGTGGGAGGATTTTATGCCAGGGGACTTAAATTTCAGCTTTATGATGCTAAATCTGTTTCAGAAGGGCATTACGTCCCCAATTATTAAGAGGACTGTAATGACAATTTCAGAGAATATTCATTATACTCTGAAGTTTTTCTAATTGAAGTAGATTTTACCTTAATTTTTGAGCTTTGTATAGTAAGTCTTGAATCAGCCCACAACACCCAGACTGGCCTCACAATCAGAGCACAAAAACACTGTCGCCTTCATCTTGTTGTTCTTATAACACACAACACACCTCTTTGTTGACCTTGACTTTCTTTCAGTTGGAGGAATCCTTTCTGAGAAATGTCTTTTAGGAAGTCTGGGCACTGTGTTGTCCATGGAATGTCACCCTGGCATTTTTCTTTCAACACTACCTCCATGTTGTACAAGTATAACCTGAGCCATGTTAATTCTGAACTCTGCGTAATCAGTTCATTTTTCTTGTGAATTTGCTGTGCAGAGAACCATGGAGCGGAGAATTGTGTCACTGAGGTATCTTCTAAACATTTTGATGTACAATTAGTCTTTTTTTTTCTTTCTTTCTAGAAGGTAAGTGTGAAGGAGCTAATCTTTCAGATCAACTGCTGTCACATTTTGATTGTAGTCAAGAACTGAAACAAGTTTTCCTTTATCCTCCTCCAATTTTGTGACCATGATATGTTGAGATCATTGTAACTTTTTTTTTTTTGTCGCACCATTTCAACAAGACACTGGGCCAGAATTCTGATCTATAATTTCCCTTTCCTCAGTTTCTTCCATATCACAATTTTTGGTACATCTTTCCTGTTCATGTGCAGAGTTCCAACTCAATCAATTTTCATAAATTTTAGTCTATAGCCAGTGCTGGTGCATTGTAGAAGTTGTCCATCCACAATGCATGTCCTTTACCAAGCAACGGTTCCACAAGAGACAACACAGCTTCTATTTATGACATGCTGCCTGAAAGCTGGACTGTAGGACATCCATCACTATGCAGTGGACAATGAGAACGCATGCTACCTAGGAAATCGCTTGAACAACATGAGAACCTAACAGTGGGGTTTCCACCCTTATAAAGAGGCTAGATATGTCTAAGCAACGAATTGTTTGAGGCATTAAACATGTATTCCCATGGCAACAAGAGAGTCATTTCCATAGCAGTGGACGAAACTAAACCCTTCGATAAGAGACCCGTTAGTTTAGCTTCAATGAGAGCTAAGGACAGTTGAGATCCGAGCAGAACAGAAGACACTCCACCGAGAATAGCTGTGCAAGAGTGTTGTAACAGTTGAAGAGGAAACACCTGAAGCCGTTATTAGTTGTGGTTGTATTTATGATTGCAAAAAGTGATTGTCCAGTAAACATATTCGTCTAATCCGAGACCCACGTAAATTTCTTGCCGCATTACCTAGGAAACACTCAACAATATCATTTAAAAGCAAAACAAGACAGCATGCACCTAGAATTTTTTAATTGTGGATGTAAATTGCCACTGTCCTGAAGAAGCTCCTTAGTTTCCGGAAGAAGTTCCTGGAATGTGAATAAAACTTTTGCTGTACTCAACCAGCAGACTTTAGTATGGAATAACAAGTATCCAAAATGCACATAAATTTTTTAATTGTGGATGTAAATTGCCACTGTCCTGAAGAAGCTCCTTAATTTCTGGAACGTGAATAAAACTTTTGCTGTACTCAACCAGCAGACTTTAGTATGGAATAACAAGTATCCAAAATGCACATAAATTTTATGTAATAAATATTTGAAGAGCCTGTGTTGGAAAGACCTAGCATGGATTGAATTTACAATTGTTTGTGTAGCACTCATGACAGTTTTAAAATCAATCACTTTTGTCCAAAGAGCTTGCTGAGGAATGAAACAATGTTAATATAAGAGTCTGGGTAAGTGGAATCTTTTTTGCAGAGCCCATTTGAGCCAACTTTTCACTAGTTCTGACTGGAGTGCCATCTGTGATGATTGACACAGGTTTATGAATGGGAAAATTACTTTCCAGAAGGCTAGCATAAAAATTTTGAATGATGTCTGTACCTCTAGTCTTCCCATATAATGGTATTGTTTCAACAGCTCTGCTTTAATGTTGTTCCGTTGAACACACTGTCCACTTGTCTATTGACAGTCCTTCAAAATAGCTGGAGCTTCTCAATTGCGTTGCTTGTTTCAGTTTAATTTTTAAATTGATTAAATTATGAATCACCTGCCACAGCTATAGGTTCTGTAATCACATTATGATCCTCAAAGGATGTTTCTATTCCTCCTCCTCCCCCCTCTTCTTAGCCAAGATTTCTGTGAATTTTTACAGTACAATGGTAGCCACTTTGGCTGTGTTAATGGACTTAGATTTAAAAAATGTTGGTTGACATGATTGTAAATTATGTTTCAAATCCTCAACTTTGTTTCTATATATTTCGCTGTTGTCAAGGTATTTGCTTATATAGTCTTTGTGCATGGTCATAAAATATTCAACATTACATTTCTTGCTAACAGCACATTAAACACACACATTTGTTATTAAAATTCATGAAGAGATACTTATTCTACTAGTTTTCATTAAAATTATGCACAAATGTATGTAACTTATTTTTATTATCACTGCACTGAGAAGCCAGTTTCTTTTCCTCTCACAAAACACTTAATATATATATATATATATATGCAGTAAAAACAACAAGTCTGTAAAACAGATTCTAAGACTGACAGTAAAAATATTAGAAATAAATTGCTGCTTGTGCCTGCGTATCTGCAAATTAGTTAGAAAACATTCCTTTAACATTATATGTGAGCAGTTTTTGACAAAGTTATTTTAATCCTGGCAGATAACTGCTGCTCGCAATAAGGGTATATGGTACAGTCACCTAGGAATATGGAAATGGTGGTGACTTTTCTCTCATAGTTTGCCAAGAAACAAGTGGAATGCAATCATTGTGCTGTTGCACCACTGCCAGGAAATGGTTAAAAGACTTTTCCTAGTTTCATATGTCTTTGCTAGCAAATTAACACACAACTGTTGCATGTGAGCTACAGGTTGGGCAGGCCTGTGCTGTGCCAAGACATGTTATTTCTGTTAAAAATGAATCATTGTTATATGTTTATTTTCAAACAAGATAAATATCACAAGTTTGTTTTATTCCTTATATTCATTTGGTCTGTAGTGGTTTATTTGGAGATAGTTCTTCTTTTAATTATAGTTCTCTTGTGTAGGACAGTAATCATGATTTGCTGAAGTTAATTTTTCTGTTATTTTGAAATACAGTGCTAATTTATTTCGCAGAATACAACACGTATCCTGTATAGCCAGGACATGAAAATTTTTTGTCAGAAATATGAGGAAAGTCAGGAAACTTTTAAGAATTTGAAAGCTGAATTTAGCTACTTATTATTCAGTTTGAAGTCACATGAAAAGCAGGTAGGTTCTAATTTTTTATTGCTTTTATAACCAAGTTTTCCTTCTTAAGGAAAGAAAGTAGGACTTTTAAGCATGGTCTCTCTTTGTCCTCCCCCCTTCAAATTTACACTAGTTTACTGATTTTAATGAAACTTGGTATGAACTTCATTCCATTGGAGACCCCACAAATGTGGCACTTCTGAGGTAGGAGAAACAATTTAGGGTGCTCAAATGATGTATGGTAATAGAGCTTAAAAAATCTGAAGTTTTTATTATGGGAACTTGTTCCCTAGAATATAAAATAGCCTGTTTACCATGCATAAAGTTTCTTTAGCTTTTGGCATGACCATTGGAGCTATGCATGCGAAATCCGAATATAGCTACATGTCTGGATGAAATACTTTTGTAAATCAGTAGTTCCAAATATAGTAGTAGTGAAAAATATAAGGTTATATCTGAAAAATTTAATGTTCATAGAATCTGTATTTTATTAATAAATTTTCCACAAAACTAAAATAAACTATTTTTTTATTGCTAGTGGAATGGGATGTAAGTCCCTTGTACTGCGGCCACTTCTGGCCTATTGTACCAGCCCCAGATGATAGGTGAGGGTGATTGCGGAGCAATTGGTGGAATGAAGATTAGCAGAGGAAACCGAGGTACTCGGAAAAAACCTGCATCAGCGCTACTTTGTCCACCACAAATCCAACTTGACCAGACCCGGGATCGAACCTGGGCCGCCGTGGTTGGAAGCCAGCGACTAACCACTTGAGCTATGGCATGTCGTAAGAAACTAGTAATAATAGTAATAAATCTCAAGGACTACAAATTTATGCAGTTGGAAAGTATGTGTAAGAATTCTGCTTATAATTCGTTATACTGTGCTGTGCATCTTTAAGACATTTATTAACCTGCATACATTGCTTTGTGTGTGTGCGCACATGCGTGCGTGGATATGTGTTGTTGGGGGCGTGCTTGCTTGCTGTGCGTGTGTGGAAGGGGGCAAAGGTTTGTTATTTTCAAGCCATTTTAGGCTTTAAGTTAATGATGTTTGGTGGCCATAATTTTCTTCAGCTTCATATAAGTTTATACTTTTAGTCTGTAGCTTAACAGTTGAGACTTCACAGCATTTCACATTTTATCATGGGCAGTTTCTCCGTAAGCCTTGCTGTAATAGAGCAAGAAAGAAGTAAATATTATATATAACAGGAACCCTGCAAAACATGTGTGAAGAAATATAGAGAAAGTATAAGCTTATTTGTCTTGATTTTTCAGAAATCTCACTGTCAGTGAACTTTTCATTGTGCATTTCAGTGATCATCAGGCATAGGAATGCAAGAAAGAATTTTTGGTTATGTACATTAATGTTTCTTGAACAATCTAGGACATTGAAGAGAGAGATTTATTTGAGCAAATAAAGTGCAGCTTCATCAACAGGCACATTTTCTATAACTAAACAAGCATCATGTTTTAAGCAGTCACATTACATGAGTAAAAATGCAGCTTATTTATTTTTTACTGTAATATGTTTCAATAAATGCAATTTGTAAGGCTTTGGTGAGTACAATTAAATGTTGTTCATCCTGGAGGTCTGGCTGTTGCAACATTTGAGCATTTCAAATTTGTTTTTGAATAACCTGTTGCTGTTTCAATGAAAATTCCAGATGCATGGATGCTGGATAACTGGAAGTGTTCTGTATGTGATTCCTATGGTGAATTTTGTATAAATTGTTAATGCAATGTAACTTACATTTTGTTTTTAGGTTATATACCTTGGTGGCATCATTAATTCTTTAAATGAGATATTACAAAGAACCCAGCGTGATCAGGAAGATGTTCAGAGTGAAATGTCTATTTTTGTAAGTTGTATTTAATTTTAAAGTAGTTGTTGAAGTAGCAAAGCATAAGAACATATAATTTATAATATCTATTCTTTGAGCTTGACTTTTATAATGGCAGCAGTAAAAATAGCGACAATAAAGACTGCTGTAAAGAGTTCTGCCTTTCGGAATGTAATATCATATGGGCTAGTGAAGTTCAGTGAACATTTTTGAAGAATTTATCACATCTGTCTTCAAGGTTAAAGAGTGATGCAAGCAGGAAACTAGCATGAAGCAGGCAGCAAGTTCTGCTTGACTTACTCTTCAGCACTGAGGATGGAGCCAATATCTTCCTGTGAAATGTCAGTTGACTTTCACCAGACTGCTTGGCATTATATCCCAGAAGATGGTACTCTTCATAAGTGCCACTATGAGAGTCTCAGATCCTACATTATAGACTTTTGTTGCTACTATATCTGCTTGTTTAATAATAGAACATTTCTACCCTCAAGCATCTGATGTGTCATGAATAAATATTCTTATTAAAGCAAAAAATCTTTCTTCCCATGTTCAAAGTAGTGAATAGCAGTTCTTGAAATATTTTCAAGCCTAACACATTACCTTGAAAATGTAAGTGTACTAAGAAGAAACACTATTTTGTTACTAAATTTTTATTATATGTACTTACCACCGTTTATGGCATTAACATTCAAATTATTGTGTGTAAATGATGCTTGATGACAGTATATGACATTTTCTGGCAGAGGCATGATATTGGCTTTGGTGGTGGTATCAAAATCAATGGACTATTATTGTGTGTAATGAAAGGAATTTGATTTTTTTTTATTGCTAGTGGGGTGGGACTAAGTCACTTGTACTGCGGCCACTTCTGGCCTATTGTACCAGCCCCAGATTATAGGTGAGGGTGAGTGTGGAGCAATTGGTGGAATGAAGATTGGCAGGGGAAACCGAAGTACTCGAAGAAAACCTGCCCCAGCGCCACTTTGTCCACCACAAATCCCACTTGACCAGACCCGGGATCGAAGCTGGGCTGCCGCGGTGGAAAGCCAGCGACTAACCGCTTGAGCTATGGCGCGAAGGAATTTGATACTTGAATAAGATCTAAAATGCAGTGACACAAGTGTTTACTTTGTGAATGAATATCGTATGAAACCAGGAAAGTAAGAGTATAATAAACCTCACTGGTAAGAGAGTGAACCTTGTTCTATCACATTTGCCTCTTCTTTTCCCATTTTTATTAGATTAAATAGAACTACATTTGTAATTACAACAAAGGAGGACATGTGGTAGTGTAGTTGGTTGAGGCACTATGCTACAAACTGGAAGGTCACAGGTTCAAGTCCTGGTGTGGTGGAGTTTTACAGTTTACCTAATCCTTCCAGCTGCACTATTTTCCTGGGGTTTACTTAGCCTCTAACAGAAATGAGCACCAGGAAACTTCCTGGGGGTGTAAAGGGCGGCCAGTCGTAAGGCTGACAACCTTACCGCCATCTGTGAGCCAGTTGTCTAGATAATGTGGGACACTCAGTGTCTGAGAACTCTATAGGTCTCCGTGACCCATTATAGGGATAGCTTTACTTTCTTTTTACTTTTTTAATACAACAAAGATCATACTCCCAAAATTTATTTGCAGTCAAAAGAAAAGGAGTCTTTGCAGGAGGATCATGAAGAATGTCAGCAGAAGATTGAAAGATTAGAAAAGTCTTTAAAATATTACCAAGAAGAAAGACAGGCATCTTACACAAAATTGGAAACAACTGCAAAGGTAACAGTGCACTTTATGGTGTTTCAGTGGTTAATGGATTATATTTCATTTTCATTGTCATTTTGTCAAAATATGAAGGAAAATCATGTAACCTGTTATATATTAAGATTAAAATTGAGCCATCAGAATTTCTATCATTCTCAGTCTAAAGGTTTCTGACAGTGGTGTGTAACCATAACTGAGACTGATATCTTTTACTTTGTCTATCATCTTGGTTTTCTTCAAACTACATTTTTTGAAGTTGTTTATGTTTCTGTCATCAGCTCTATATTGCAATCTCTCATAGAATTTTTTATATTCCTGTTGTAATTGTGTGTTGGATTTTGTACCTACCAATAAGGGCAATTTGTCCATTTTTAGTGGCTTCTTCTACAGTTCTTATTTACATTTCCTCTTATCTCGTGCTGATGAGGTTTGATGTTAACAGAGATCTTCTTGCTCTCATTCTCTAATGAATATCTGTAGAATTCCATAAAGGAGGAATTTCTTGGTTAGACAGACTGACATTTTCTTAACCTTTAAATTCTGGCCTTTTTAAATGGTTGTAGGGTGAGCTGGATAGAGTTTATTTAATTCCTGTTGCTGTTGAGCTTTTAAATGTCCTTTGCTGTTTGGAGTTTTAAATAATTGTAAGCACTTTAATAAAAATGCTATATCTGATACAGTTTTTATGGTAAAAGAATTGGATTAACCTTGTTTTTATCAGCAAAGAGCATGATGTCACATATTGTAATACAAGATTTGAAAATGTTTAAGCAAAAAAAAGTTATACTCTTTTTTTCATGCATATTCTCCATTCTTCAAAGAGTGGTTTTGCATTATAACGTCATTCCTTCTTGTAACATTTGACATGCTTCTGCTGTCTCTGCTGTTTGTAAAACATCTGGCACCACTGAAAAGTTTGTTTTATGATTCTGTTTGTAAGAGTCAGATTTTTGTTACACTCTTCAGTTATTCAGCTCAATTGAATAGAAAGATAGAAAAGTGAATGTGTGGCAGTTCAAAAGATACTGGAGAGAAAATTCGTTGTTTCATACATCAAACCCAACCCCTTAGATTGCAGCTGCAAGAAAATATTGTCCTTTCTACAGTCGCAACCAAATGTTTGCATCATAGCCGAGACACAGAGTGCATTCAGTTTTCTGAGAGTTCTTAGTGAATTCTAATATTGTAGTTTCATTTCATCATGCAATGGCAATGAAACATAATTTGGAAGATGAAAAGTTAAAAGGCAGCTGAGGTGCAAGATATGAGACTTGGGACTGCATTCTTGGGTTTTTTGAGGAATACCACACAAGGGTGCAATTCAGTTAGATGACGGGGGTTGGGTGGGCGAAGCAAGAAGATAAGAAAAAAGTTATATACATTGAATTTTACTATATTTAATACTAATTATTTAGAATTGTGCATGCGCTTCTACTAGTGGTATTTAATGCATGAATTTGTGTACTTAGCCACGATGACTGTACCTTTCAGTGTATCAGTGTGTGCACTTCAGACATTGAAGGCTAAGAAGGGCAGTGCACTGTGGAGTTACTTCATTTGGAAATAATAAACTTTGATAACATTTTTAGCAAATTACATGTAAGTGTGTAAAAACCAGTTGTGGACAGAATATCCAGAGGATTTTGTTTCTTTATTTTTAAGTTTGTTGTTTAACGACGTTGACAATATCAGGACTATATATCGCATTGATGATAAGATGACAAATGAATGTGGAGCAGTTGGTGGAATGAGAATAAGAATTGGCAGAGGAAACTGCCCCAGTGCTGCTTCTACCACCACAAATCCCACATGAACCTACCTGAGATAGAACCCAGGCTACTGTGGTAGGAAGCTAGTGACTAAATGCCTGAGCTATGGCATGGCTTGGACATATTTGAATGCTATTTCTGTCCCCTGTTTTCTTTTTGGTTAATGTAATAATAATTTGTGTTTAATTCCTTGGTTGCAGTAAGGCAAATAATTGAACTTTCTATTGTGATTGAGCAATGGATTGAAGAGATGAAAATGGAAACTGTGTAACATGCAACAGAGAGAACAGAATAGTGTAATTCTACTCGTATTTTTTGTGTGACAGTGTGCATTATTTGATCTTAGCTCTGGACTGTAGCACTTAATGCTTTCATTGGAAGCCATTGGAGTCACTGTAGGATACTCAAGGCCATAGAGGGATACTGAAGTGAAACACAAGCCTGCAGATGGTGCTAGAAAATAGGCCTGCAGGGACACTGATAGAAATGCAAGATCAGAGAGACACTAGTATATAACAGAGAGATTCATAGCAAAAACAAATTCATAAATGCCAATACTTACCTACTCATGGAGCTGAGCCCTTCTGGAGAAGCCACCAATTCTGCAGCTATTCAAGAATTTCCCAGCATTTTATGGAACCCAAAGGTTCATTACCGTGTTCACAAGAGTCCTCCACTGGTCCCTATCCTGAGCCAGATCAGTCCAATCAATACCATCCCATCATATCTCTCTAAGATCCATTTTAATATTGTCCACCCACCTACGCCTTGGTCTTCCCAGTGGTCTGTTTCCTTGTGGCTTTTCCTCATAAATGCTAATAGGAAACACAAAACCATAGTGACACTGATAGGAAACACAAGACCATAGGAACGCTGACAGAAAATACAAGGCCATAGAAACAGTGGTGGGGAACTCAAGCCCATACAAACCATGGCAGACAGCACAGGGCCATGCAAACAGTGTTGGGGAATACAGACCTTTACAGATGCTAACAGAAAACACAAGCTCATAGAGGCACTGACAGAGAACACTGTACTTTACATCTTCACTCAGGATATTGGGTTGAAGAATTTTTGGAGATCACTATTTTAGTTATGGTCTTTATTCAGAGGAGAAATAAGATGAATTGTGATCCAGTAGTAGTATGTAGCTTGTGCATGTGCATGACAGGTTACATTTTTGTATTCAACAGAAAAGCTACATCATTTATGCTGAGTTTCTGTTTTGGCATGTTCTACCGGTTTCTTTTTTCTGCAGGAAACAATTGATGAAGCTCTCCAAGAGGAACACGAAAAGTTGAAAGTTGAAATGGAGAAATTGCAGAGCAGTTTAATATCAAGAGAAAAAGTTGTACGTAATTTAATAATTATTTTTGTATAGTAAATTTCTTCTTCCAAATCTTTAATGCCTGTTATAATCCTTATTAATTTCCTCATTTATTTCATGTGTAATACATGTGCACACAGAGTTTGCCCCCCTTTTTTTATGTCTGTACTTTACTACAGTTTCTCTTGGCATGAGCTTTACAGGTAAAGAAACTGTAAACCATGATCCCTTCACTTCTTAATTTTCAGATTGAGTGACATAAACATTTACTGGCTCGTAGTAAGGAATTTATAACCATAATGTAATAACACAAAATGTGATTGTAATGTATATTCTTGGTTTTGGGGCTTAAGTCATGTCACCTTTTTTAATTGTACTCATATCTGACATTTCAGCAGATATCATGGTTGCAATCTTGTGGTTTAGTGTCTAGAATAGTTAGTTATTTTATTTTGCTGTCTGAGGGGGGGGGGAAGTGCAGTGAGGTTTGTTAGTAATTGGTTAGTATCGTGATGCATGTGCTAGCAAATCTGAGACTGGCTTAGGAACAGTAGTAACTGTTAATACTTTCATGTGTTGCTGAATATGTAGCCATCTTCTCTTTTGTTGTGTCTTGACTCTTTAATTGGTATTATGCAGAATGATCAGTGTGTATTCTTTTTTACTCTGCCTAGTTATCATACACAGTGAGCATTATGTGAAATAATTTCCAGTTATTGATTCTAAGTACCAGTGTGCAGATATAGACCGAGACTTGCTTTCTTATTTGTAATACTGTAATGTAGCAAGTGAAAAATGCCATGCAACCTTCCTTAAGTGTATTCCTAGTCTAATGCATGTCTGTATAATTTCAGCATTTTTACATGCTTTTCTTTGTATTTTTAAACAAATGTTTACTGTTTACATACTTCTGTGGTTGACAGATTGTTAGCATTTAGCAGCAGAAACTAAGACTCGATATTTGGTGAGTTCGAGACTTGTTGCTGCTGCCATCTGGTACAAGGTATGAGTACTAGCTTAAGTGATTGAAGTTGTTTTTCTATTCTAGGCTCAAAATCAAGAAGAAATGATAAATATTTTGCAGGATTCAGTAAATATTGCACAGAAAGAACAGCAAGACCTCCAGCAGAAACTGAAGGATGCTGTAAGTTCATATAAAGATAACATTGTTGGTAGTCTCCTTCAAATGTTGCTTGATTTATAATATAAAGTTCACTGCTTTTGTTTCAGGAGACTGAAAAAGAAAAATTATTAAATGCTTTACATGAGGAAGGCAAAAAGGTAATGTATGTTGTGTTCAACAGTAAAGGGATAAAATTATTGCATTTTATTGGTGCCATACTGTCTTGTTAGCCCAAAGATGGCTGTCATTTGGCTGATTAGCTGTCCTGATGTTTCTTACATTTTTGCTTGTTCTCGCAAAATGTAACTTACAAATACCTGTACATAGGTCTCTTTTCTGATTCATGAGCATGTCAGCATATGTTGTTACCTCCATAGGCTTTAGAGTAGAAGTTGTGGGTGTAAATCCAGAAAAGTAATATGAAAGCAATTTATTTCATTTTTTATTTTAATTCACTGGTTATCAGATACCATGTACTTTGATTTTGTAGGCTGTTAACCTGCAACAAGCCTTGTTGGCCACTAAACAACAGCTTGAAGACCTACAAGGGAATAAATATGAAGTGAGTGTGAATTCTGGCATGTCCTGGGGATGGTCACACAGCAACAGAAATAGTCACATTAACAAACGGACTGTGCATGATGTCTGAGTGTCAGGGATGGAATGTGCACTTTACATTACTGTATTTGCTGCCATCTGGAGTCTCATGAGCAATGTGAAGTGTCTGTCAAAGTACTCTAATTGACTTCATAAGTAAATGTCTTAGCATTCTGTAGTGCTCATGATTCTCAACATTCAAAAGTACATGTAAATAAGTACCCATTTTTGGTGCTGCATTTATTCAGAAGCTATGAAAAGGATTGTACTGCCTACACAGTCATTTAGAAATATATAACATTGAGGATGAAATGCATGATTTAGTTTTATTTTATCTAATGTCATGTTTAAAAAAGAAATGGCAGTGATGTGAATTAATTCAGTATAGTATTTCTATAACATGAATGCATTTAGTACTGTGCTGAATGATAAATATAAAATGAAACATTATTTTGTGAAAGAAATTGTTGACTGTGTTCTGTTAAGTAAAGCAGCTAGTTTTGTTAATGTTTTTGTTATTTTTAGGTAATGCATTTTAAAGTGAGTACCTCTTTGAAATCATACTGTTTACATCAGAGTGCAGTGACTCATAGATTAATGCTTGTGTGTGCAGTACTGTGCAATTTTGACGGTTGTCTTTGCCAGTTAGTGTGCCTTAGTAAACCATGATGTAAAATATCTCTGTCACACTCTTTTTATGGCTAGCTTGATACTAATTGTACAGTTTATATTGAAGTTTTAATACTTTTATCTCTGAGCCATTATTAACACTCATATAATATCCACCAAACATAACTCATTTCATAACAAACAAACAAAGACATCAAAGCTGAAAATGTCACAATGTTAATAAAGAGCACATTGTAACAAACTTGATTGCTTTAAGCATGCATAACTCTGTATCAATCCATAATCAGTCAGACCTGAATATTGTTCTTCTTTACCAGTTCCATGAAAAGTACAGCTCTCTGACAAAAAATGAGTTTTTGAATGACAAATTGTTTGTAAAGTAGGTTTCTAAAATGTTCAGCTTAGTAGTTCTTAGATTCCAGTCAATTGTTATCTGTGGATTAGATATTGTGCAGCTGCAATATATACAGCTGCAGAAAATTCCGTTCTAAATACAAATTTAAAACGTTCTTTGTGCTCAATCAATTGTATGAATCAAATTTGAGTACAGTGAACCTTAACATATTGTGACATGTCAAACCATTGTTGGGCAATGGTATGTGGAATGAGTTACCACAGAAACAGACTCTTGATAAACGGTTGGTTGCCAAGTTCAGCAGTGGAATGAGGTTATGCAACAGTAAGGAAAGTGGTGTTTCTGCATGCCGAGCCGAGCCAAACCGAACCTAGCTGCTTGCTACGCAGCAGTAAACAACTCTCGGCAGCATTGCCAAGCAATGCCTCTGTAAACGCAGTGTCACGCAACAGTGAAGCAAACTGCGTTTTCTCCCTGCCCGAGATGTTACAAAACTCCAGCTTCAGCAAGAGACAAGTCAGTTGGTGTTTGACCTTTAAAGAGATCAGTCAGTGGTAGTCAGTCTTCAGTTTGGCTTCGACTATAGCAGAAGCAGTAATTGTGATACTGAAGTTGTGAATAAGTGCACGAGTGTGTGTGTACAAATAAGAGTCCAATAAAAGAAATCACTCTGTTCCGAAGATCCACACAATTTATTCATGTTGAGTCACACAGCCGACACATTACAATATTTAACAGTAATATTTAATTAGCTTCCGGTTTTTGTGTAGAAATGTTACTGTTTGCTTTGAGATGTAGAAGAATATTCTATTGAGTTTTGTATCTAGTCATTTGAGGCTGAGGCCATTGTTGATTTATTGTCTAATATTTTGGCTGAGGAAATTAATACTGATGTTGGTGCTTTCCTCTAGTTAATCTTTAACTGGACTAAACTGGTATATGCGCTGAGATATTCTGCTAAAGATCTAAGCAACAGCCTGCTGCCTTTTCATGTTTCCTGTCATAATTTTGTAATGGTGGTTTTTACGTTAGACAAAATGTTTGTCATTCAAATGCTTGAAAACCAAAATTCAATCAGTATTCTATTGGATATCTTCAATTCCAAGCAAAGTATAAAGCTGGAGGCTGTAGACAAAGGTGTGAGGGATATACTTTGCTGCATCATGCTAGTGTTTTGAGTGAGAATGCCAGTAACTCCAAATATTTGTGGTTATCAGCAGTGGATTACTTGTGTATTTGTATTGTAATGGATTTGATAAACACATTGCTAGGCAACAGCTCTGTAAACATGGTCCAACACACAGCAATAGATGTGGCTGTGTTTTCTATGTTGTCCGAACTGAGCGGTGGTGGAACAGTGGGGTTATGCAATCCATTTCTAAGTAACGGCTTGGTAAATGCACTTCTGCCTAGGCGGTGACATCACACAACCGTGGATAGCGACCACATGATGTGTTTTTTTATAGATTCGCGCTGAAGGTTTATAGGGGACCATGCAGGTCGTTTGCAGGAAGTTGTAAGCTGGAGGAGTGAGTGAGTGAATACGTAAATAAGTGAGTAAGCTGTTGTCAACCAGAGTATAACGGTAAGCTGGAGGAGTACAGCAAGCAAGCAAGCAAGCAATAAGCTTGAGGAGCATAGAAGAGTACAAGAGGTCAGCCTGTGGAGATTTAACATGTGATTTGAAAATTTTATGTGTACTGTAGTGCAGTGGTATTGGGAGTGTGTGTGATTTAGGGAGTCTTTATAGTTCCTGTGTTATAAATCCACGAAGACTGGTGGGAATAGACTGAAGAGATTAGTGTGGAGTGCTTTGTATTGTGAAAATCAGTAACAGTGTAAACATTAATTGTAGCTAGGCCAGTAAGTGGTCAGTAAATCCAGTTACCAGTCCGAACCCCATCTTCAGTCACTGATACATGTGACTTATCGTGTCCTAGTCCAGTGCACACTCGCACATATGCCTTGGTGTTTTGAATGAGTAAATATTGTTTTCCAATACTATTAATTTATTATTACACTAATAGAAAGTACTAGATTTTAGAGAGTGTGATCTCTGTTTACTTAATTCCTGGAGTTAAAGATATAATTTACATCATGGTTTAAATGTGTTACATGGAGTCATTCCTATGATAACGTAGCTTGCATTATATGACAGTAACAGTATACTAACCACATATCAATTATTGAACTAATTATGACACTTTTCTGTTAACAAGAACAGCAGTTAAATACAGTATGATTTGCATTTTGCTTAGTGTTCAAATGCATGGAAGGTTGAGGATTATGCACCTGCGGCTTGGAATATGAAGTAATTTTCTTGAATTGCATTTTTGAGAACCAATGCAGTTACTACCTGTACAAAAGTCTAGTACTGCAGTGAAGGAGTTGTAGTTTTTGTACCGGAAGTCATGCTAGGTCTGATTTCTGGACTAGCTGTGTTTTTGAAAGGAGGAGAAAGGTATGTTGTATGTTTTGTAAGCTTTATGATATAAGCAGCTACTCAAATTGGTATTTTTCCCTAATATTGGGACCATAAATATTTGAATAAACACTCTAGAAAACAACATATATAGCTCTTAGCTTGGAATCTTGTAATTCTGGGCATATTTGTATAAGCATAACAGTTAGTTTTATCAGAAATTTAAAATTATGACACTTGAGCATTATTAGTGGACTAGAAGCTATTCTGCTGTTCAGTGAAACTGGGCACATTAATAGCTGGCTAGCAGCAACTATATATCTTTTGCAGTGTGGACATGAAGTGCTGCAGAATTAGTATATTAGTTAAACAAGTTATGCTTAGGTATATCAGAATTGAAGAGCTAATACAGTTTGGAGTTACCTACATGTTTTGATTCAACATTTTATGTATTGAAATAATCTTAGTGAGAACTGTCAGAGTGTGTGAGATTGTGGTTTGCTGGTTTGAATTTGGTTTGCCTGAGAAGGTATAACCCCTAATTAGTGTATGGCCATGCCATAGCTCAAGCGGTTAGTCACTGGCTTCCCATTGCGGCGGCCCAGATTCGATCCCAGGGTCTGGTCAAGTGGGATTTGTGGTGGACAAAGTGGCTCTGGGGCAGGTTTTCTCTGAGTACTTCGGTTTCCCTGCCAATCTCCATTCCACCAATTGCTCCACAATCACCCTCACCTATTATCTGGGGCTGGTACAATAGGCCAGAAGTGGCCACAGTACAAGGGACTTAGTCCCACCCCACTAGCAATTGAATAGAAATAATTGGTCTTTGCTCCCCTGATCCTGTTTATCTTAATAGCAGTCACTTCATAATACTGATTAATTGTGAAGACTGTATATGTAAATAAAAGCAAATTCTGAATTTAAATATTGAAAGTAGGGGCTTTCAAATCTTTAATTCAGTGCACCCATAAAAATTAAAAGAAAATGATGTGACTTGTTTATGTGTATAAAAACAGTAATTATTAAATTATGCCTGACTTCTCTTTATTTAGGTTAAATGTTTCTCATAACTCTTCTGGGCCCAGCTTTTATGTTTGTAATCTCAAGTTATTCATTCAGAAGAGGAGTAGAGCTGTAACATGCTATTTTATTAGAACTTTCCATGTATTAAAATATCAAAACTATCAGACTGGAGATAATTGCATTATTATGACAGCTTATGGCCACATGCTTAGAGATTTTTCCATGTATTTAATTAGCAGAGAATTCCCAATTGTTCTTGTAATGAAGTTGATAAGGGTATGAACTCACATCTTTAAGAGACTAACATGTTACAATTTTTAGATTATTAATACTGTGACTACTTGAACAAATCAGAAGCAAATCTGTTAATAATAACATAGTTATGACAGTTAAATGACTGGTCGAATTAAATAATGTACAGGGGCAGGTGCTTTTTGCATCTCCTCATTCTGTCACTAGTCGCTACTGCACATTGGCTTAAATGGATAGGTTTTGATGTAAGGTCATAATTATGTCATATATTTAATGTGAAGTTATTTATTTAATGAAATAGACAAATGTGTGTGTGTGTTTGTATATATATATATATATATATTCTGAGGAGTGTTTCTGCTAGAATGCTCTTCTCTCAAGGAACCTAAAGTGAGGAAGACTGTATAACAACTGCTGCATTTAGTAATGGTGTAAACCACCAGCTCGGTAACAGATTGTCATGTTATGTTCAATAAGCTAACCATGAACTTCAGACACCTGCCATAGAAAGTTAATCAGGCACTGGCTGCACACTTACAGATATCTAACATAAAGTTTTAATGTTAGGAAGTCATGCTTCTCTATTTATTATTATTATTATTATTATTAGAGGGGGTGGGTTTCCCCATGCACTTAGACCAGTTATTGGTTCATTGTGCGTCCCCTTTAATTTCTACTGTCACCATACCCTACCGGTACTGGTGCGTACTATCAGCCCCATTGAGCCAACGAGGTTGGCCTTCAGTACCTGATATTTCCCCCATCTACCAGAGGCACTGGAAACTACTTGGGCAGGAAATGTGTTGCCTAATTTTGCTCAGAGGTCTCCTAGAGACATGAGGATCTTTTACATGCTGT